GGAATGCATTTCATATTGGGGAACAAAATATGCTGCTGATTAGAAGGGTAATCCAACGATATTTGCGAGACTTCTTGAAAAGTTATACAACTAAGGATTCAAACCGAAAATTGAATTATAATTGTTTGAATTAACTGAAGAATAAAGGGAAAAATTAAAAAGTTATAGTATGCCAACTGAATAATAAAAATAAAAAATCGATATGAATGATATTAGTAAAGAGGAATTGAACAAAATGTATCAAGAAATGTTTAGTTAAACTAATGATTTGGTTGAGAGTTTAGAATAGAATTTAAAAGGAGAAGATTAAGCAACAGAGATTATGGACTAATGTAAACTGTTAATTTATTTTAGTGATGGAAAATGCTTGTAATGATGCTGAAAAAATAAAACAAAATTTGGATTTATTGTAGGCTAAACAAAATTAATTAGGTGAAGGTTAAAGAAAGCAAGTTGGTTATAGATTTAAAATAATTACAACTTTAATTGAAGCTAACAAAAATATGCGTGAATAAGGATTTACCAATGAAAACTATTAGAATTTTCGTTATGAAGTCTTATTAGCAACAAGAGAAATTACTGGATCAGAAAAACCAAAACCACCTGCAAATTATGCGAAACCTACTTAATAATAACCTTAATAATAATAAGTTAATACATAACCTGATTAAAGATTTTAATAGTAATAGATTCCAAAACCACCTCAATATTCTGAAAAGAGATAACCTCCAACTTAACAATATCCTACAAGGAAAGAACCAGAAATTTAAAAATAGATCTAATAACCTATTTATTAACCTCCATTATAACAAACCTAATAATATAATAGAGCACCATAACCATAAAAATAGCAATAAACTAAATAGTAGAATTAACCTTATTAACAACCAGAAAGGTATTTACAATAGGCCCCTCCTTCTTTTAAAAAATTACCTATAAATAAATCACATGAGCATTTTTAAAGTCCGAATAAAGGATAATTTGAAGATCAATTTGATAATAGAAGTTAAAGTTCATAGTTTTCAGGGAAAGATTTTTATATGAAAGGACAATTAGGATTGGTAACAAAAAGTTATGAAGGTTAATTTATTCCTTATGATGATAGAAATTTTTCTATTTTTGAAGAGATTTATAATCATAAAGGATTAAATAGAATAAAAAGAGCAAATTTAAGGAAAAGATATTCAATATTTGAATCTCCAGAAATTCAAATTGGATTTGATTCAAATTTAGTTTATCATGAGATAACAAATCGTTATTATTTAAGAATTCGTTTATGTTTTGGAAATAAAACATAATAAATATTATAAAATTTCTAAATTTCATTTGAAGGAGATTCTTGTATGGGTTTATGGACATAGGATCCAATTCATTAACATAGTTAAATTATATAAAAGGATTAATAAGGAAGGATGATATTGTATCCAAATAAATAGTTAAATGTTCCAATTTGTTTAAATTATAATCGTGTTCCTTATGAAATAATTTCAGGAACATTTAGTTATGAAATGGAAGATGAAGCAAAAATGTCTCATTTCATTGTACCTTGTTTATTAACTAAATTTATGAATTTTAGAGATACAACTATAGATTCTTTTAAAGCAAGATGGGAGTATAAATCAAAAAGTATATTAAAGACAGAGTAACTACTTCTAAATCGATAAATAGTTAAATCAAAAGATGATTTGATTAATAGTTTTGGATCTAACAATGTGTTAATTTTAAGTGGAGAAGATACTTAAATCAATGAATGTAATTAATATTGTAGATTTTAGTGGATAAAGAAATGATTGGTGCTGAATTTGGTTTAGCATTTACATTAAGTAGTCCATAAATAGAATTTTTACTGAAAATAATTATATTCCCAAATCAAACAGTAATATTTCAGATAATACCTTATTCATCTTATTAAACTTAAGCTGAAGCATTTTTGAATACTCTAGTATTTATATTTTGTTAACCTGATTGACTTATTATTTAATTTAATATAAATATAATTGTTATTTAATAAGTAGATTGTTTATATATGGGATATGTAATAGTATAAATGACTCTAAAAAACTATTTACTAATTTGACTATTTATTAATATGTATATGATTTATATTAATAAATAAGAGATTTTCCTAAAATATAAATAATGAATGAGCTCAATATATTGCAAAAGATTGGGAATGGAGCATTTAGTTAAGTCTACTTGGGCACTTACAAGAGTAGGTAAGTTGCAATCAAGGTAAGTGTGGAGAAGTAAGTTAGGTGTTGGATAAATCAGTTCCCAGTTATTGTGAATTGTTTAATCGTGAAGTAGAAATACTAGAACAACTGTAACATCCTAATTTAGTGAAGTATATTGCAGTATATTCTATAATTATTATCAAAGAGTTATGAAACATTTGACAAATTATATATCATAATGGATTATGTAGAGGGTTCAAATTTGACAGAATTGAGCAAATCCAATTTGAGTGAAGAGATGATCAAAAGTATAATCAAATAATTACTTATTGTTTTAACTTATTTACATAATAAAGACATTACTCATAGAGATATCAAGCCTGGTAATATGGATTATAAATTTAGATAATATCTTGGTTGGACTTGATGGCAGAGTCAGATTAATAGATTTTGGATTATCTTAACAATCAGAATCTAAAATCTCATATGATAAATGTGGAACTCTTCTATTCATGGCTCCAGAAATGATATTAAAAATGCCATATCTAAAAAGTGTAGATATGTGGAGTATTGGAATTATCTAATATTTATTGTATGAGAGGAAACATCCTTTTAATTATGAAAATCTTATAGAGAGCATCTAATCATATAATGTCAACTTCACTATCATGGATAAGTCAGCATAGAACTTTTTCAAAAAATGTGCTGCAATCAATCCTGAAGCTAGAATGTCAGCTGAACAGGCTCTTATGCATCCTTGGATTACTGGAGAAGGAGATTTAGGATAGCCCATCACTATACATGATAGAATGGCTATTTTTTAAAATAAATAAAAGTTAATCTGTTTGATAAATGCTCTCTCATTTATTAAATATTGTGCTTCATTTGTTAAAGCAATTAGATTAATTATTCCCTTAAATGAATAAGTCTCTTAATAAGAGATTACTATTAGATAACAGAATTAAGATGCTACTCAAAGAAAATCTACATCAAGGATAAAGTAAGCCAGATCAACTAGTTAATTATTCTTTGAGACAAATGTTGCTAGTCCATTTAAGAAATAATCTCCATTTCGAATTACTTAACAAAGATAATCACAAACAAAATTGTTGTAACATTCTAATTCTATGCAACTTGCTCAAATGGCTAAAAGAGGATCATTAAATAAATTACCGTATTATTGTATTTTATAAGGATATTAGCCCACTTAATTCTAGTAATTCACCAATAGAAAAGAGAAGAACTAATATCAGAATGCGTTAACTTTGATACATAATATTATTTATTAATAAATACAGATTTCTATTGTCTCATTAAATAATATTTTTTAATTTAATTTCTATTTTTTATTGTAAAATTATAATATTAATATAGTCATATCTCTTTTGGATAAAACAAAAATACAATTTAATAAATTCAATCTTTAATACTTTTATACAATTTTGAGTTTGTGTTAAAAATCAAAATAATATTTGAATAAAAACTCCCTATTGTGAAGAAAGACAACTTTTAATTAATTTATTTAAATTTAAACATGTATAGAACAAGTAATTAAGCTTATGGAAGTGCCGTTGTTACAAGAAATAAAGAGCAGATGAGTTAAAAGACTTATGATGTAGATCCGATAAGGATTGGAATTGAAAATATTGGCAATACTTGTTACATGTATGCAAGAACAATAAGCATCCTAGAAACTCAATGTTACAATGTTTATTCAATACTCCTGCCATTAGTACAGCTATGAAGTAGTATAAAGACAATAAAAACAGCACTGAGTTGTTTAAACAATTTTATAAAATATGGTTTAGCATTCAAGCAGGAATAGAACCTGAACATAATGACATAATTCAATTTAAAAAATTAATGAACTAGCATAAAGAGTTTGATAATTTTAATCAATAAGATTGCATTGAATTCTTCCATGTTTTTTTGGATTTTGTAAATACAGCCTTTCTTACATAACCTTTCTTTGGTTAATTGACTTATTAAATAAATTGCTAAAATTGTAATAACTCTAGCAAATAAACTGAACAATTTATTAATTTATCCATCTACATATAGTAATCATGTAGACTTAGTCAATTGCTCTTTGACTATTTCAAACCAGAATAATTAAACTCTTAAGAAAAATGTAAAAAATGTCAAAAGACAAGTCCTTTAATAAGAAAAACAAATTTGAGTGCTACTCCTATGGTGTTAGTAATTTAGCTAAAAAGATATGATTCAAGACAAGCCAGATCTAATAATGCTATTGAGATAGAATAAAATCTTATTCTTAAAGGATTTTGTGATTAGTCTCCTTAGTATAAATTATATGCAGTTATCAATCATTAAGGATACAGTATCTAAAGTGGACATTATACATGGTAAATTAATTAAATAAAAAATCATAGTTTAATAAAGGGGAAAGACTGTTGGTATAACTTTAATGATTAAAGAGTTTCGGAATACTCAAATAAAGTAGTAGATGATGAATTATTAAAATCGTAGAACTCCTATGTATTATTTTATCAGAGACAATGAATGTAATTAATATATTTTGTTATCATTTTTCATACTCTGAATTAATCATTTTAATTATAAAGTGTTTTATCAATAATATAGAATTGAGATAGTTAAATTATCTCTTTTTCTGTTTGTTCAGACAATATATATAAAAATAATATTAACTTTAAGATTTTTATTCAATAAGTTAATTATTACTTTTATATAGTAAAATAAAATAAAAATATATGATTAATGTTATTTTATAATTTAGTAAGATTATCTAATTATAAATAATATTAAATTATTTGTTTATTAAATTAGCTTGGAAAAAAGTATAAGTCATTTTAACTATTTTTTTCTTGCCGCCATCTGTGCTGCCATCTAATTTCTGGAATAAATGAGTAATTCATCCTCTTTGAATCTCAATTTTCCTTAAAGTAGACTTTCATTATTTGGTATTACATGTACTTCTTCTCTTAAATTTGATTCTTCAACAGATGAAGCAGCTTATTATTCAGTCAAAGAAGATATATCATTAAATGGATTTTATTAAAATTTACGACTTTAAATTAATGTAGAAACATTAACAGATGGAGAATGATATATTGGTGGAGGTTCAGTTGGTTTTACAACTTTTATTCCTTAGCCATATGTGCCAATCAATTTTTCTATTTTCTACTTATATTTATCAGACATTGTTTATGATGGAATATTTAAACTACTTGAAAATTTTTTCATTTAATTAAAACTAAAATCAGTTTCAGAGCAATAAAATTTTTCAATTAGATCACAAATCTTTTATGGAGATTTATACATAGTTCCTTTATCATTAATTAAATGATATAACTATTGTTTAATTCCTTCCAAATAAATATCAGAGGCAATATCAAATTACTTAATTTCATATAATTAATTTAAAAGTTATTTGATTGTTATCAATAAATATGCTAAACCTTTAGCCCAAACTTAAATTTCTTTTTATCTATATTATTCAAGTATTTTTTCAATAATATAATTATAACGCATATCAGAATATTGTTTAAAAGCCTAAACTAAATAATGAATATCTTAAGTAAAACTCTTAGCAAGATCTTTAATTTATTCTTTATTACCATCTAAACATTATTCAACTTTTTATTAATCAATCTCTTAAGATTATATTTATTCCATCATCATTACTTAAATTTCTTTTGGGAATTAAATAGTTTAATAATATGTACTATCTTGTAAGAACTTTTCTGCTAAAGCCTACTTTTCTTAAAGCTAACAACTGGATAAATTACTGAAAGTATATTATTTTAGTTTTAGTATAATATTGATAAGAAATTTTAAGAAATCTTTGTCTTATTATTTTGATTATTAATTTTATAAGGATTATTGTTTTTATTATTATTCTTAAAGATCTTTTATAGTTTCTTTTAATTCAGCTATCTATTTTAATAAATCACCATTGTCTAAAGTTTCTTCATCTTAAATTGGTATTATTTTTTATGGTCTCAACACTACATCCTTACACCTTTAGGCAAACATCAATGTTTAAAGAGTTTCATTAGTACTTTCAGCTAATTTTGTGATTGTACATATAAGAGAAATTTATGATTCTCCAGTTAAATAACCTTATAAAGTTCTAGTTAATTTTGATTCTCTATATGGAACATGTTATTAATTAGGTTATCCTAAAGCAGCAATTACATTTCCTAAAGCTGATAAAGATTCATTTATATAGGTTGCTTCATCAAGTCTTAAACCTTTAGACAATGACTTTTTATTTCTTTCACTACCAGCTAAATCAATAAAAGCAACTTTTGAACATATAACTTTATCTTAAACTTACTTTTTTATATAAATTGTTAAAAGTGTATGAGATCTTGAAGAATTGACATTCATTACTTGAGATGCTACTACTCTATTTTTTATCCCAAAAGAAACTAATTATATTCCATCATTTTAATCTTCAATAGAAATTTAGACAGCACCTTATATATATGGAATGGAATCTTTAGATTCTCTTATTTACAATTATTATCCATTATTGTTTAATAGATCATATATTTTATCCATGTATATCTATATAAAACTCATTTCAATTTTAAAATTACTACCATTTTCATTTTACTCTCTAATCTATTAAAATATATCAGACATAGCCAATTATATAACTCCTTTTGATTATTCAAGTAATCCCATAGTATGAGTCTTACCAGATCCTGTTTATCCATATACAATTACTACTCCATTTGCTCTTCCAGCAATACAATCTGATACAATTTATTTACTAGTTAAATTATACACTTCCTCTTAAGATGAATTATCTAGAATAGTATCAAATTCAAATTATCTATTTGTATCCTCAAATGTATGGACTGCTAAATGTTAATTAGATAATTTCTTAACTACAGATTTCTCATTTGTTAGGTTTGGCTTTATTCTTATATAGATTTAAACTTTTTCTTTCTGTTTATTAACAATATTAGTATGAATAGGTATATTTTTCTCTATATTCTATGAAATGAATTAATGGTTTATAGGAGTAGCTGGACTAGGAACACTTTATTATTTTGGAGGTGTTTAAGCATTGATATGTGTTATTTTAGGAATATAGTTAGCTTTTAAACTACGTTGATAGATGGTCTAGAAATCAGAAGTTTATTTGACTGGAATTTCTTATTCAACAGCTGTTTATGTTTGAGATCTACCAGTTGCTCCACTTCTCTTGGAAATTAGTTCCTATTGCCAAAAAGTAACGTTGTATAAATACAGTGATGATTGTTGATGTTTAACGGGTAGGCTAAGTATCAATTGGTGAATGGAATCTAGATTACGATTTTTAAGTTTCTTTTAATGGCGTTTTTGTTCTTTATATTGGTGATTTGTTTGGTGTTTTATTTGGTTAAGGAGACAAGTCAACATTAAGAAATAAAGGCCTTTATTTCATTTTATAAATTAATGTAACCAAAGAAATCTTTTGTTGCTCTTGCTCCTGGACCTATTAAATTTAATATAAAGTCATATGAAAGACCAGGATTCACAGAGGAAGAAATTAAGGAAATTAAGGAAGCTTTTGATATATTTGATGAAGATGGGTAAATATTTTTGAATAAATTTAAAGTGGTGGAGAAATAGATCCAAGAGAATTAAAAACAGTAATGGCATCATTGGGTTTTGCAGCTGATGAATAATTATTAAATAATTTAATTGAGATTGCATAAACAAATAAGAAGGATGGAAAAATAGATTTTGATGAATTTTTAGATCTTATGACAGTTCGATTATCAGATATTAAATCTAAAGAAAATTTAAAAGAAGTATTTGATCTTCTTAAACCAAACGAAAAAGGTTGTTTAGAATTGGAATCTTTGAAATAAATTTGTAGGGAAGTTGGTGAAAATATAGATGAAAATGAATTAAATGAGATGTTAAAACGAGCAGACTTTGATAAAGATGATATGGTGAATTTCGAAGACTTTTATAAAATTATTACTTATTAAAAATGAATTAGATATTCAACATATTATATTTATAAGTTAATAAATTTTAGAATAATATAATTTTATTAGTTTAAATATATTATATATTCAATAATATTGGTATACTAATATATATATTTAAATTTTAATTAGTTTATCTTATTATATATGTAAGTTATTAATTGATTTATTTCATTTTTTTAAAAGTATCATTTATTAATAAGATTAAGTTGATAATAAATTAAAAAAAAATGTTAGTCGTTTTTGTTAATACAATTTTTTTCATAATTATTTTTAATGAAAACAGTGTTGCTTATTGCTTTGATCACTATAGCATTCACTGCTAGAGTTTAGTAAAAGAATATGGCAAAAATCACAACTGATTTGAAAAAAAGCACTTATGGAAATGCACTCCTTCATTTAGTTGAACTTCATTCAATGGCTGGAGGACCTGTATAAGAATTGATTGATGCTATTGAAGAGCTTATTAATGACCTTGAAGAAGAATTAGATGAATTAGAATTTAATTTCTAATAAAGAACAAATGAACATAATTCATTAGTCATTGGATATGAATAAGATATTTAGGATGCTGTAATTGGTAACATAATTAAATAATAATTTAGATGTTAATAATACATAAGATACCTTGGATAACTTACTTTTCCCAAGAAGAGAATAACTTTAAGTTAGAATTGAATAAATTCAAGAAAATTAGGAAGCCAATAGAAAAAATTATGATGAAGCAGTACTTACTAGAGAATAAGAACATGAAGATTTTGAATTTTAAGTTGCAGAATTAAATGATGCTACAGCTGCTGTTGATGATGCTCTTGCCCTTCTTTCATCACTTACAAATCCATCACTTCTCTAGATTAAGAGATTCTAAAATTCATTGAAAAATATTGAATCCAAAATTAAATCTAGATCTAAGATGGCACCTATGATCAAAGCTCTTATCACCTTAGCTTCTAATTAAAACTTCTCAGATTAAGGAGTTATTGGTTAAATTGTAGATGCACTTAATGAATTCAGAAATGCTATTGTTGATTCAATTAATGCTTAAACAGCTGCTGAAGCTGATGCTTAAGCTGATCATGAAGAATATTTAGAATAATTAGATGCTGAATATGCAGAATTCTAAAGACAAATCAATAGAGTTAATGTTGACTTGACAGCCACAAATGGTAATTAAATAAAAATTAATCAAATTAGAAAAAATCGACTAATTAAGTGAATTTAGAGATTAAAGAGAAGCTGATAGAAAACAATATATTGCAGAACTTGAGTTAGAAAATAACACATATGCTGAGGAAACCGATATTTACACTAACTTAAAGAATGAATTCACAAGAGAATTAGGAATAAGTGAATAAGCCTTATCAGTTGTCTAAAGTGCTGACTTTACCAACATTTAAGTTTGAGAAATAAATTTAAATTTCTTATTATTATGCACAAATATATTTTATATATCTTAAAATAAATTCTTTTTTAGTTTAACATATTTAACTATTTAAAGTTGATAATCATAGTTTAGAATATATTTTGATAACTTTACAACTCTATACAATAAGCTTTTTTCTCTATTTCTCCTAAATAGGACTCAATTCTAAATCCGATAAAGGCTCTACTGGACTTTCCTTGGGACTATTTTTTTAAATATATTATTACTGAATTTTAGGAGAATCAGGCTCCTTATTAAAATAATTTAAGTATTCTTAATATGTCATGGCTGATTGTTGTCTTAATCTAATATCCATATTAGTTTTTATATTATTAATTATGATTAAAGAAACTAGTAAATTATATACAACCCCTATTAATTATCAAAATTATCAATTATCTCTTCTTAAATTTCATAAATACTTAACTACTTCATATTTTTAAATTAAAATAGAGAAAATATTATTCGACTGAATTTCTTTCAAGCTTTTTATATTCAGAATTGAATTAATTAATAAAAGACAACCTATATTAGAAATTTTGTATATAAATGTGATTTATTAATTGTTCTTAAATAGTCTGAATTAGAATATTTAAATACAATCATATATACATTATAAAATTAGAAACCCAAACAATACATATATAAATGAAGATTAACAATAATGCAGATAATGATATAATGAATCCAAGTTATATATTATTAAATTATGATTTAAAAATTTGATCAATTCTTGATTGAATTATAAGAAGAAGAGACATGTAATAACATAACTCTAAGCAACGCTATTGTCCTTTTTAGTAAGGGTGGTCAATCCAATTCTCACTTTGAATAAGTAGAGTGTTATACCAAAACAATCATACTTCTAACTTCAATGGGAAAAGTTAGCAAGAATATTGAAAAATTTATAGAAAAATGTTAATAGTGTTTAGACCAATGTTAAATGAATCCTTATAGATTGAATGATTGCAAACCAACATTAAATGAATCTCTTGAATAAATTCATCATATTGATAAGTTAGAAGAAAAAGTGAGTATTAAATAATATAATAGGTGACTTTTTTGATCAAAAAATGGAATATATTACTTCTTAAAGGAGGGCTTATAACATAATACGTAATGTTTAGACCCAAAATATTTATTTCAGACCCAGAACATAAATATAAGGCAGCTCTATTCAAAAATGCTGTTGCTGCTATTGATAAAGTGTGTCATATTAATATCTATAGATGACTGTCCTATATAGATATACACCTGAGGCAGAAATAGGAGAGCTATCTTAAGAGTTGAAGGAACAATTCATGTTGGTTTATAAAGATTACTTAAAATAAAGAAATAAGGTGAATGATGATCTATTATACTGGTTACAGATGTTTTTTAGAAGTGCTAGTTCCCTAAATGAATTAATTATAGAAAGAAGTTCGAGAATTGAAAAATAAACAAAGTTATAGATTTATACTTATTTACAAAAATTAATGGAAATATGTTTATTAGAAATAATATAATAAATTAAGAATAATCTTAAGAAAGTAAAAGTATCTCAGCAATCATGAATAATAAAACTCATTATAAAGATATTTAAATTATAAATGCTTTATTATTCTATTCTCAATCCTATAATACATATGTAAATTATCTAATCAGATATTACATTTTGATTTAGGATATTATAAAAATTTTATATTAATTTAATTTTACATAATATCATTTTAATAAAAAAATTATTAATATAAATTTTCGCATTATTGTGAGCATCATAACCAACATAAATAAATCCTTTAAATTATTATTAAATAGTAAAAATGATACAATTATAAGTCCATTATAAAGTTGATTTTGGATAGGCCCTATATATTTCTGGTAAATCAAAATATTTAGGTAAATGGAATCCTGAAAAAGCAATAAGGATGAATTGGACCTGGGTATATATTAAATTCATATTTAGGATGATATTTGGATAAGTGATGTAGCTTATCACACTATGGAATATAAATATTTCATTTCTGATTATGATAAAGTTTAAAATATATTTTGGGAATCAGGACCCTACAGAGTTACTAATAAACATTCAATTGATGTATGGAACCACAGAAAAATATGTTTTCAATGTTCAAATCCAAAGAATTTATAAATTTACATTGCTGGTTCATAAGCTTCGATGGGTCAATTTTAGAGTAGAGTTCAATTAAAAAATAAAGATGGAATATCTTAATAAAAATTTCTAATTAACATAGATGACTCTTAAATTCATTATCAATATCATATTGTTGATAAATGTGAGTTTTCTAGTCCAATTTATATTGTGGATATAAATAGTTAATGTAAACAGTAGTAATATTTAATTTAGAATAATATTATAAAGATGCTCTACTCATCTTCTAAGATGGACTTACAAATCCCAAAAAAATGGTATATTAGCTAACTAAAAATATCTGTTATGGTTATGTTCCTAATGAATAGAATGATTATTAAGTTTTAAAGAAAGCTAATTTAAAAACAATTATTGAGTTTTGTAATATGAAAGAATAGAGTACACTTGAATAAAAAACAATAAATGAAGAAATTGTACATTTGATTGTCAATCTCTATTATTTCAAATAGGAAAGCTTCACTTAGAGTCTACTTTAACTAATTCAAGTTTTAATTCAAAAGTATTAAGTAATATATATTAATATATATTATTTTTAGTTACTTTATATATGCAACAATTCTCTAACTCATCTAAGAAAATATTTATCTGCTTATGAAAAACTCACTTTTAGTCCGGAGTGATGAAAAAAGAATCAAAAAAAGTTTTAATTTTTTTTTAATGATATACTTTTAATTATCACAAAAAATTTATAAATCATTTTTTTCCAATCAATGTAGTATACTTATAATTCCAGTATTAAGTGTTGACATCAACCCAATTATTAAGGTCTCTATTAATTTAATCACCTTCATTATAATTCAAAAGTATCTCTTGTTCTGGATATATATCTTTTAAAGCAAATATTGCTAACTGAAATTTTCCTAAAATTAAAAATTATTTTAATACCTGATGAATATATTTATCTAGTTTTACAATTCATTAAATTTGAACTATTATGATTAATAAATCTACTTTCATTTCCACAGAATCTACTTTCTAATGAATATTTGTCATCATTTAAAGAATAATTATAAAATGTAAATGTATCATCAAATTAATCTCTTATTTCATCTTCATCATCAATAAGTACTTCTCCAATATATAAAATTATTAATTCATCTTTCATTATGTAATTTCTTGCAAATACTCCTAATCCATTACATACTCCTGATCTTCCTAATAATGTAGGTTTAACGTTATTGATTAAAATCTGGGTATTTGAACATATTAAATTTGAATCAATAGTACAGCATTTACATACTAATGGATCACATTCTACATTATCTCTTCTACATGAACATTTACTATCTATAGAGCATCTATCTTTACAAGCACATCCTTTAAGCTTTTTTGAACACCAATCTTGTTGACAATCACAATATTTTGAACAAAATTTATCACAATTACAATTTTCACATTTGAAATCTTATTAATGACAACAAGGAATATATAAATTTGCATTATTAAATGGATAATTAATAAGTGCTGCTTTATCTTGATTTTCTTATATCTATTTAATCGATTATAAATATTATTCTTTAATTTCTTTATATCTATATCTAGCTTATGTAAAAATTGATATACAATCCTACTCATATATTTAAGCCAATAAACATGGATCTCTATCAATTATAATTGGTTAAAATTCTTCATTTAATTCATTATTATTAGGTTTCTTCCTTAATAATTCAAAATTATTTTTATTTTTATAACATCTTATTCCACATTAATTTTATGCATTAGCCTTTATAACATCATAACACCATTATGGTTTTTTTGTGTTTGGTTTATAATTTAAAATACAACAAAATTCTAAAAAATTCTTAATTTAAGCCAAATGATTAGTAAATTTACATTTACATAAATTTTTAAATAATGAACAAGAATTACAAATAAATGCTAAATCTTTTTAAAGATATTCATTAGTTCTATATGATTTTAAAGATAATTTCTAAATTGATGTTAAATCAAATTATTAAATAAGATTTATTTTTTAAAATATTGTTTATTTTATTTCAGAAAACTAATTATTTTATAATTATAAATAGATCTGAATTAATGAGTTTAAATTTATTTCTAAATTTATATTCTTTTTAATTATTTATTTTTAGAGGTATTCAGATATTTCTTCTAAAGATAATTTTGAAATATTTTCTTTTTCAATTAAATATAAATATTAAGAATAAATTTAAACTAGAATTTAATTATAATAATCTTACTAAAATCCATTTGATTAAGAGCATATTTTTTATTAAGCATTATCATTTCTTTGACTCCTTCTTATGATCTCCATAATTATTTATTTACTTTAAGAACATCAATTTTATATTTTTCTCTTAAATCTGAAGTAAAATTGTACTTAAAATTTAGATCTTGAGTTTCTTATCTCTATTTTATACATACTACTTACTTTTATGTTTTAATCTATTTTTAAATAATTAGTATATTAATGTATTAATTATGGCTCAATATTGTGAATAATAACTTATTCATCAGTTGAATATACAGCCTATTAATCTGAATATTATAATTATTTAGCCACCTTTTTCTAAATAATTAAATTATGGTTCCATTAAGCTTTTGGATATTTAATTAGTTTAACATTTCTACGATTGACTTTCAAAAACTAATTATGAAATTAACTTTTACATTTTCAATTTGAGGTTTTAAGAATAATTTTAGTTTTGAAGCTATTTATTCCAAAGTACTATTGTCCTCTACTTAGATTTAGAATAAATCTTCTATATTAACAAAACCACTCTACTTAAGATTGTAGTTCCAAAATGAATCAATCTCTTCCAATTTCACATCAGTTGAAGAATTACATTATATATTTTATTATTCACTTTAATGGTGTAACTTTTTTGTTTCTTAATCCTTGTCCATTGAAAAAATTAGTATGAAAATTTTATTATTTGGTCTAATTTTTAGAGAATTTAATTTTTTAGTTAAAAATATTTAGAGTTAGTATTTTATATAATTAAATTATATTATAAAAATTAAGCATTTTTAATATGAATCAATTTTATAACAAATTTAATTTAATTACTGATTTTACTAGTGTTTAAAATACATTAATTCTTATTACCATATTTAAATAATGGTTGATGATGATATTTTATTGAATTTGCATAATTATAGAGCAAATATTTATGAAAATATCAGTATTTATTATTTCTCAAAAAAACATTTTCCGAGATGGAGTTATTTAGAATTCTTTAGGTAAACCTCTATTAGGACTTTTATAAAATGTAAATTCCATTTGATTTGGACTTTAAAGCCTAAAATTAGTTTTTGACTGTTAAATATCTCTTTCATGAGGAATATGAAGACTAGTAACTCTTTTAATATCTGTTCTTTCATCAATCAACATTTCTATTAATTTATTTTTCTTATCATTCTATTCTTTCAATTTAATGTTCTCTTGTAATAATTAATTTATTATTTATTTTCTATCATTAGAATCTCTATCCTATATCAAAGCTTTATTTGTTAAACAATTCAGTTGTCTTTAATCTGTAGCATAAGTTAACTGATGTTTAATGTTCTAATAACTAATAACCCTTAGATTTGAATACCTTATTTATTTTGCCATTAGTACTTGTAAAACAATCTAATTTTTAAATGGTCTTAATTTCATGACCTTTGTTATTTGAATGACATTTGTTACTTTAAGGAGATGTAATTCTCTTGACAGACATTAAATTCTTATGATTTTTACAATAAAATAATTAAATTATATATATTATTTTTAGATTCATAGCTTTACTCATATAAAATATTTTTTTTTGCTACAAGGTTGAATTTAGAATTCTTTAGGTAACCTAAGTTTGTTCTCTTAAGTCTTAGGACTATAAAAAGTGAATTTATATAAATCAGCAATGATTTAAGATGATTTCAACTAAGGCATTAAGGGTAGTGTTTATTTATTTTAATTTGGTTCTGTGTTAATATTTCCTTATTTTTTTATTTTTTTATTAGACTTTGAAGATGATGATATTAATTCTTTGATGTCAATTTATTTTAAAGGTTTGATTTGATGAAGTTGAATACTATTCTCATTCAAAAACTTACTAATTAACTAGGATTATAATGATTTTTCTACTGTTTAATTTGTCATAACTAAGAATTATAGAATATAGTTTTACTATTTTATTCTGAATTTTTAACTCTTCTTAAAGTGTATTTTGGAATAAAAAAAAGATTTTCATCTATTTGTTAATCTAAAATTTATTGACTTTAAGAATAGTAATGAGATTTCTTCAATTAGACATTGTTAGGATGCACTAATTTATTGATTGTTATGTTTGACATAGATTCCTTATTATTTTTGAATTTTGTTCCAACAGATGTAGAATTCATTTGAGTACTCAGACTTATCTGAATAAAAATAATAAATATAAATTTACAGCTAAATAAATAATAAATTAATTCAAAATATCTTTCTTTAATAACAAATTATAAATTTTACTGTTATTTAATATGATCATCTTATTTAAATATTAAATTACATAAAGGTTTGCTTTCATACATGAAAAAAAAGAACATAATAATAAATGTGTATTAAAAATACATTCTAAGCTTATATAATAATAAAAACCTATATCTAATTATGTTTTTTATTTGACCCATTTTTAATTTGATTTTTTAATTATAATTAGTGCATACATACATGTTATTTTAATTGGTCTAAATCTTAAATAAAAAAAGAACTTTTTATTCACTCTCTTTTAAAAATGAAATGAATGAAAAAAGTTAATTTTTATTATACATAAAATAAATTAATTGTAAATAAACCGAAATAAAATATATTGCAAATCTGTTTATTCAATGATTATTGATAAGTATACTTTAGTATATGTCATTATTATATTATTACTAATGTTCTTTAATGTGGAAGTGTCGAATTCATCATATTTAGACAAAAGCGTTGATGATGCATAAATTAAACAATGAATTAAAAGATAGTTAGTGAATACTTGAATTTAATTTAACAAAATAGATAAGTCAAATGACTTAAAAAAAAAGCAAGAGATCTTTGGATATTTTGAAGAAATAGAAAAAAATAATGATGATCGATGATTATATAGAAAGTAAAGTTCTTATGTAGGAGAATCGAAATGAATTAATTAGAAAAAGAGAAGAGTATGAATATATTTGCGTAATGATTATAAGTGAATGATATATAATACATTTATAATGTATTTGTTATTTTAGTTAATAAATTTTCCTTTCTGAAACTTCATATGAATTGTTAAAATTCGAAATGCAGCAAGGATATACCTTATAATTCAATTTTAAATGGAACTCAAGTCACTTGTGATAGCTGTTCAAACGCATTTTACTGTTCAACCAAATGTAGAGATTTTGATTGGTATAATAATGATTGATAATTTGGTAGGGAAGGATACCATTATTTAGTTTGTAATGGTTTATTTGAATTAGTTCCAAAGATCTCTTTAAGTTAATTGAATGATTAGATGGATTTGATAGGTTCAGGAAGTTTTGGATAAGTTTATTTAAAATAACTGAATGGATATAATTTTGCAATAAAAAAAATCAATAAATATATTGGGAATAGAGAACTCAAAATTCATAAGCTACTTAAGCATAAATACATAATTTAATTATTATAATTTCTAGAGAAAGATGATAATTTATATTTAGTATTGGAATATGCAAGTATTTTATTAATAAAAACTTAGAATATGGACATTTGACAACAAATTTGTAAATTGATCCCAAATAGGTAATATTACAATTATGTAATGCTTTGTAATACCTACATTCATAAGGCATCATTCATAGAGACATTAAACCAAGTAATGTGTTGATAGACCAGAAAAAAAATGTTAAATTATGTGATTTTGGTTTGGCTACACATATAGATATCATAAGCAATTTTAGTGGAACATATGAATTTATGGCTCCAGAAATCTTAAGGAACTATCCTTAAACTTATTCTGTAGATATCTGGAGTTTGGGATGTTTACTTTATTGGATGCTTGAGAAAAAACCAATAATAACAGGTATAGAAAATAGATAAGGTAGGTACTGAAGCAGAAATGATAGAATAGATTTTAATATTCACAGAACCAAAATTTACAATTGAGGATACATATGCAAAAGACTTAATATTGAAAATGTTAAATCCAAATCCTAATGAGAGGATTTCTTTAAATCAAATATTCTTACATCCATTTCTAATAAGAGATGATCAAAATAAGACAAAAGTAGAAGAGTCTTCAAATTCGTATTCTGATGAAACCTAAGCGAGTTATCATCCATAATAAATTGTTTCTTAATAAAAAAATAATAATACAGATAGAACTGTGTTCTAAAAGATTGCCAGTTTATTTACTTGCATGGCTAGAGATAAATGAAACAAAATGACTAACTAATAGAGTTATAATATATATATTATATTATGACATAAATAATAAAATTATATAATAATAATTTATAATAATAATATGAATTATTCTATGATATGGGGGTTCTTATATACATAATCATAACATAAATATATATTTTATAAAAATTTATTTATGAGGAATTGCATTAGATCAGCTTTTCGTTAAAATCTTTAACTTAGAGGTGCATGGTCTTAAAATTATTTATAAAGGCCTGGAGAAGGAGCATTAAAAAATGTTACTTTAATACCTGGAGTAGGAATTGGACCTGAAATAACAAGTATTAAAATATAGCAAATTTTAGATAGTGTTAGAACTGTATTTGAAGCATTACATGTTCCAATCAAATTTGATGTGTTAGACAATTTCAATTTTGAGAATGATGATTCAAAAAAACAATTAAGAAAAAATGAATGCATTCTATTAGGTGTAATGACTGAAAAGAATTAAAAATATACAGACAATTACAAATTCTATAAATATTTAGATTTGTATGCCAATATTACTTTTGCTTTCTCTTTTGAAGGAATAATATAAAGACATCATAATACAGACATAGTTGTGATTAGAGAAAATACTGAAGGTAAATATCATAATTATATATTTCTCAGGTGAATACTCTGGTGTAGAACATGAAGTCTATCCAGGAGTTGTAGAATCAATCAAAGTAACTACAAAATAAGCATCATTAAGAATTGCTGAATATGCATTTGAATTTGCTCATCTTAGTGGTAGAAAGAAGGTCACAGCTGTTCATAAAGCTAATATTATGAAACTTGTTGATGGACTATTCTTATAAGCCTGTAGAGAAGTGGCATAAAGATATTCATTTATTAAATATGAAGAAATGATCATTGATAATTGTTGTATGTAATTGGTCAAAAATCCTACACAATTTGATGTAATGGTTATGCCAAATCTTTATGGATCAATTGTATAAAATGTTGTAGCTGGTATTACTGGAGGAGTAGGTATGGCTGCAGGAGCATCAATTGGTAAAGATCATGCTCTCTTTTCTTAAGGTTGTAGACATACAGGAAGAGATATAGCAGGTAATAAAGTATATATTTTAGGTAAAAATGTTGTGAATCCTTCTGCTATGCTTGTTTCTTCCACTCTTTTATTAAGACATCTAGGTTTACCAAACTTTGCTGATTAAATTTGTAGAGCTGTTTAACATACTATTTAAGATAAAAATGTAACCATTTATATTTAATGTTTTAGATTAAAACTAAAGACATTGGTGGAAATGCCACAACAGATCAATTTACAAGTGAAGTTATTAAAAGCTTAGGAAGATGATATTTTTATATATATTAAGTCATCGTATTTATATTTATTATCTAATAAGCTTTTATCATTGAATCATTATTATGTATATGTATTTATTAAATAAAGTCAGTATGTTATTATTCTTAATAAATTGGAAAGCATTTCTAAATCTACTATAATTAATCCGATCTTGTATTTATTTCTTAAATTTAAGTTATATTTTGAAACAAAAATAATAAATGAAAAATTATTTCCCTTATTTTTATTTAATTTTATATTTGATTAAATGTATCCAAAAATTTTATAATAAAATTTTATTCCATTGATTTTTTACATTATAATCATCTATTTTTGAATAATTTATAGTTTTGAATGATTATAAACAATAAAAATGAATAAGTTTTTTTGTTTTTTATTTTATAATTGTAAAATATATTATATAAATTATTTATTAATATCAAATCTAATCATAAATTTAATTATATTATATAAAAGTTTTCATTCATAAAGATAAAACATTAAATATTTATAATTTTCTAAGTTTAGTTAAATTTATTATTTACATTTATTTTTTTTAGTTTGTTTTTAATTTATTTTTATGTTAAATAGTAAAATTTATTTATCACCTAATACAACTAAAAATACAAACTCTTCATAATTAGTTTCTTAAATTTATGGAAGTTAAAGTAAGTAAACTTGTAAAATTATATAGATTCTAGTACTAGAGCATATATAGAAGAGATTAGATTTAGGCATTCATAATTGTAAATAAATGATTAGTATTCTTTGAAAAAAGAAGTTTATGAGGAAAAACTAAATTAGATTGATGAAAAGTTTTAGAATGCTTATAAAAATGATATTCAGAGAATTACATCATTATAAAATCAGTTGAATAAGATAGGTGAGATGTTAACAAATGAATAAAATATTAGAAATGTATTTAAATAAAATTTATTGATAGAATAATAATGATAATTTTAGAAAGAAAGATTTAAAATAATTAGAATCACATGTTAAGAATGAATTAATGAAAGACAAAATAAAGAGAACAGATAATTAAGTAAAAATTACTAAGTAGATTGATGTATAATCACATAAAATAAAAATGCAATTATTAAGATAAAGATAATACAGATAAGAAACTGAGACATAGTACTCAAATGATATTAAAAATAAAATAGATGAATTAAGAGAGAATGTTGATAATGAAAGAAGAGAAAGGTAAGGAACTTATATATTTAAAGAGATGTGTATTGTTAGAATATTATAGGTAGAATAGGAGAATAAGTACTATCAGTTTAAGAAACAATAAATATGGAGAAATAATAAAGGTAAGAATCACAGAATCAGATGTAAATGATGATTTAAGAAATAACAAATATTTTATCATTGTAATTAGCTGAAGAAAAATAATAAAGAGAGGAAACAGAGAGAACAATTATTAGATTAATTAATGAAACTTGTAATAGAGTAGAGAATTCAATAAAAAAATGATTTGAATTAAGTTTAACATTTTTATATTTCTATTCAATGACGAATCTATAATTTAAGTAAGTTTTATATATATATTTTATCCATAATTTTTATAACATCTAATTGATACTAAAATCTATTAAGAATGCAGACTTAAGTATAGATTACTATCTATATTTTATAAAAAATAATAGTTTTTTATCTTTAAATGATTAAATTCTAATATTTTTCATTTTTATATCTTTTAAGTAATAAAGGAATGATTTCAATGAATTAAAGCATTTCAAATTATTTAGAATGTCTTGATTCTTTTTTGATGAGAATGATACATATATTATGAATAGTAGATATAAATGTTGTAATTTGATAATTAATTATATAATAAAAGGATGCTATAGTTATCATAAATATAGAAATCAAATCAAGTGCAATCCTTAAAGCAATTGAATAGATTTAATTTAAATTCAAGAAATAGAACACTTGATAATACAGAAGCCAGTAAAATGAGAGCTAAATATATAATTCATGATAAAGAGAGTCTATATGAAGAAGTTTAAAATCTGAAATAAGAAAACAATCAATTAAAATTAGCATTACGATAGTTTTAATCTAAAAATTAATATTTCAAGAGAGAAGTGCAATCATTTATAAAAGAAGATAGTTCTTCTTAGAAGAATTATATTAGAATGAAATAAGGGTTTTTGGATAAAATAACAAAGCTGGAGGTATATTATTTATTAATGTAGGATATGAACTTCAAATTGTAACAATAATTATAGGAATAAATATCATATATGAATTAATTACAGAGTCCATAGAACAAAAACAATGTTGAAGGATTGTGTATGTCTTTAAGTGAGGATAATATGAGAATGACGTAATTAATTTAACAATTAGAATAGTCAGTTATATAAACATAAGTACTGAAAATTAATTAAATTTAGAATAATTACAGTAAAATGAACATTAAATATAATGCAATCTTAAATAAATATAAATAAATCAAGAATCTTAATGCATAATTGTTATTAGAAATTGCAGAACTAAAAAAAAAAGACACATTATTTTTAGAAAGACCTTAATAGAAAGATAATAAGAAAATTGAAGAACAATTACAGTTGGGTTATGATTAAGCATTGGTTGATTTAAGAAATGAAAAATAAAAGAATAAATATTTGGAAAATCAAATGTAAAAACTTTAGGCAGATCATTAAGAATAAATAGATAATCTTGAAAAAAGAAATGCTGAATAAAAGAGACAATTTGAAACTTTATAAAGAGAATATGAATTAGAAAAATTATAAAAATATTAATCTAAAAGAACTATATTAATAAAAAATAATGGTCCTTAACAACCTGAAGAATAAGGATAATTATAAGAAGAAATTGAATTATAAAAAAAGAAATTTATAAATGTTGATAAAAATGATATTTTAGCTATAGCAAGATAAGTAAAATTGAATTTGATTGGATTAAAGATTTCATTATAATAAGTAGAAGAATACTTATTGACGGATGAAATACTAACTTAATAATAATTAAAATAAAATTTATCAAATAGAATCTTTGGTTTATCATCAAATGAATAAGTTGAAATGGCAGCTATTTATTTAGCTGATGTTGAAAATGAAACAGAAACAACTACTAGTGCTAGAGTAAAAAGTATCTTTAAAACTTTGATGGAAAACTATTAAATCTTAAATATAGAATAACTTAGTAATATAAATCAATAGATAATGAAAAAAAAGAATGAAATATCAGACATTTTAATTAAAAAATATCCAGATACTTACACTAGTGGATATATTACAATTGATGTAAATCTATTTAATAAATAATAGTCTTATTTAGAAATACTTAATTAAGTTGAAATTTAATTAAGCAAAATAGAAATTGATCATTTTTATGCTTTAATCTAAAGATAAAATAGATCATCAAGAATATTTCTATAATAAATACATTCCCCTTTTGATGTAAGTTAAGAAGAAGAAGATATAGATGAATAATAATAGAATTTTAATATTGGAGATGTTTAACCATAAAGTGTAAAAATGTCAAATAGTGAAATGTTAATAATCAATAATCATAAAGATTCTGAATTAGTTAATTTGATTGAAGATGATGATGATAATATATAAAAATCTAATTAAAAGTAGGTTGAAGACCATATACAGAATGAAAACAAAAATAATGAAGAATAACTAAAGTAATCAAATAAATTGAATTTGGAATTGTCAGTTGAAGAAAAGAATCCATTCCATGACGTGTAGCATGAAGAATCTGAGATGAAAATGATTAATTCGTAAGAATTAAGAAAATAAAGTTAACCTGAATTATAATAATTTTGAATTTAAATAATGGATAACCGATTAGAGAGAAATGTCAATAAACTCATGGATCGTTATAAGAAAACTAGTCAATAGATCGACTAGATCATGTAATATGAGCCCACTCCTCAATAACCTGTCACATATTTTATAGGTAGATCAAGACCAAGTAAGCTCAATGATGATGAGTAATTCATATTTATCTATAATTTAAGTGATGATTCTTCAAGAGAAAGAAGGAGATAAAGTGGATCATTAGAGTAAATTAGTAGATTAAGAGAAACCTTAAATGCTAAGGATTTTTAGGAAAGAGAAAAATATGAAAGAATAAGAGTCTTAAATAAGGAGTTAAAAGTATATTTCTATATATACTCTATTAGATTACACTTAAGGAATATATGACTGTTAATAAAGAATTAGAAGGTAAGTTATCAGCTAAGGATAAATAAATAAGAGCATTAGAATAAGAAAATAGATAATTATTGGATTCTATTAATAAAGGTGATGCAAATACTAAAGAAGTTAAAATTAAAGCAGAGACTTCTGAAAAGTTAATTGAAGAATTACAATAGCAAAATCATATATTAAAATAAAAATTAGGAGATAAGAAATAAAAATTAACTGCTTTGAGGGATTAGTTAAAATAAGCAGAAACAGTTTATGAAGAATAAGGATAAAATTTTGGGAGAGAACTTGAAAGAGTATAAAAATTATGTGAAGATTTTTCAAATGAAATGTAATCATATTTATTAGATATAGAAAAAACTAAGAAGAATAAAATAAAGAATTAGAAGGACAATTATTAAAATAAAGAGATGAATTAATTAATAGAGATGAATAAATTAGATATTTTGAATAAATGTATTAGGATATTAGATATAGAGATGCTGATTAACAATCTTAGATAGAATATTTAAATTAATAAGTCAATTATTTTAAGTAATAGTTAGATTAAGCTACATATAAATAAGATGAAGCTTATGCTTAATTAGCTAAAGTTGAAAAACAGTAGTAAGTATTTTTGTAGTCTTAAGAATCAGAAATTGAAAAGAGGGTTTCAAATTATAAAGATTTACTTGAAAAAAAAAAATAAAAAATTAATGAATAAAAAATATCAATTGATAATTTAAATTAAAAAATCACTGATTTTTAGAGATTACTTGATAATGAAGAGAAAAATAATTAAATTTAACTTTAAGATTATTAGAAATTATAATAAATTAATTCTGAACTTAAATCTGTTATTGATAATTAGTAAAACAAATTATTAACAGCTGAGAATAGAATTTAAAGTCTTGTTCTTGAAATTTAAGATTAAAAATCAATATTATAAACAAAAAAACAAAAAACTGAAGAATTTGAAATATAATCTCGATAAGATTTTCGTACAATTGAATAAGTAAATTACAAATATAATATTTAAGCTAAAAAATTAAGTAATTCATTTATAGGAACAATTAACTAAAACTTAATAGTATAATAGAGATTTAGAAAATGATATTTAATTGACAAAACATGAAAATGATAAAACAATGGATGAAATTGAAATTAAAATTGATCATCTTGTTAAATAATTAGCTTAAAGTAAAGAAGAGATTAAGGAATATAAAAATAGAGAGAATGAATTTAAACAAAAAATAAAATCTCAAGAAGAGGAAATCCTTAAGCATGCTTAAAAATCAGCTAAATATAAATAATAGATTGAATAGAGTCAGTATTCATTAAAATAAGTAAATAATTTAAAATAATTAATAGATTGAAGAGAAAGTTAGAATTTATGAAAGTGAAAGAGAAATTCAGTCAAGATAAGTATTATAAGTGAAATAAGAATAAACTACAACATAAAATAAACTTAGAGTTTTGGAAGATATTCATTCCCTAATCAAAATGCATAAAAAAATTTGATTATGAAATTTATATATTAACAAACTAATTATACAATAAATATTTAAAGTATCATTTAATGATTAATAATAAATAAATTATCAAATGAGCAAGCTAAACTATTTTGAATTGCTTGCATAATTATATTTAAAAGGGGAATCTTGGGTATTTCCTTATATTTAGAGTTTTGCTTCTCATCAAAACATAGAGCTATCAAATAAATAGTTTATTGCCTCTCAAAATTCGATAATAGTTGAAAATGATAAATTAAATACTATAGGATTTAGCAACACTATTCAATTATAAGCTTCAAAACTTTTAGATTTGGATGATTTAGTTTAGTCAGGTAAAGTATATGAAGATGATTAATGTTAATCAATAATTCAATAAATTTAAACAAGAAATCAAAAGAATAAAAGTAAAGTATCTAAATCTGAATTAAAATAAAATAAAATGAAGAATAAAGTTGAATAAGTGTAAAAGATAGAAAAAAATATTCATTTGGGTACACAATGTTAATAGTTACAGTTTCCAAGTTCAAGCCTTCGTCCTAGATGTGTTAGAATTTACTAAAGAAATGAAGAACTATGTATGAAAAGATTTTAGTTAGTTTAATTGTTATTTGAGGAAGTGTAATAAATATATCCTTAGTGTACAGATTGGGATGTAATTCTATTATTAGATTTGTCCAAAAGAAGTTTTGACACTGCTTTTAAATTATTAAAAGAAAGTAGTTATTTTGTATAATACTATCTATAAGGTAAATATAATATCTTTAATAAAAAAAAGTATAATCCTTAAGCAATATTGATAGAAATGGATTAGAAAATAGATGGAAAAAAAGATGATTAAAAAATGGAATTAAATAATATATATAAGTGTTTTAAATCATCTCATTCAAAAGCAGATACGTAGACATTGTTTCTATTAACAATTTTGTCGTTTAGTTATTAATATTTCATCCTTAATATTTATAAATCTTATTATCTTTTAGTAATTTCCATTTCCAATTAATTTATATCAAATTTTTATGGTTAAAAGTATTTATTATTTTTACTATCTGATTAATAAGGCATTTTATCAATTACAGTATTGATAGTATTAAGAATTCTATGTTATTAAGAGGATGATCTATTTCTATTCTAGGTTTCATATTAAATCAGTTGTTTAATAAACCCTGAATTTGGTTTGACTTAAGGTCTCCTTGCAATAACTGAATTCAGAGTTCTTTGAAATCCCCAATTGAACTTTTGCATTATATATGCAATAACAACTGATGCACTTCTAGAGATCCCAGCAAAACAATGAACCATAACATTAGTATGTTATCTATGCCTTTCAATGAATTCATTGGTTTTGGGGAAAAATTCTTAAATGTTTTATTCAGTGCAATCTGGAATGTTAATAACTTGATGAATGATATTTGGAGAAGTAGTTACTTTAGGTTCATCAATAACACTAAGCAAGGCTCCAACTTATAAGGATTATAATAATTCTTAGCTTAATGCACAATCTATATCAGCCAGATATATACCTCCACTAAAATGATTAATTAGTAACTTACATCTATTAATTGTTTTTGATAATAGGGTCAATTATGCAATCCCACTTGTTTAATTTTTATATCATTTAACAGACAAATATTTAATAAATAAATAATATAATTAGTCAATTGGTATTCATATTTATTTTACATTAATTACTATATCTTCTTAATGTAATTCATTATTAGTTTAAAATGATTATTAATTATCTTTATCTTTTTCAACATTTGGAATAATTGTGGCTTATTCATTTTGATTTATTTTTGTTTGGACTACAATTTTATCAGGATGTTTATAACAAGTGAATCTAAAATTTAGAAAATTGAAATTACTATTTATTATAAGATTTGCCTTTATCCTTAAATTGAATGTATAGTAAGACTCTTCCAATTTAGTAAAGCACTTTTTGCAATGATGGTAAATTATACTTGAGTAATTTATTAGATTAAGCATATAGTAGAGTTCCAAATTTGGAATTATTGTCTTATAAAATAAGTTTGAATTAATTGTCTTCTTGTTTAATAACTTTTATTAAGGCATGACTTCTTGATACTGATATATCTTTTAGTTTAATATCACAGTCAGGTATTCTCCCAATTTTAATTTCTGCTTTATCTTAGAGTTCCATAACCTAAATGATTCCTTCCTTAGATTTGTCATCCGAAGTAATTTTCCAAATCATATAAGGAACAACAGGCTTCTAAATTTGCATAATACAAAAGATTTATGTTTGATATGTATATGTGCTTTTTAATGGCATCTTACAAATTTCACATTCCATTTTCTTCCAAATGTATTAAGTTGAAGATTATTGATTTTTAACTTTAATTGATTATTATATCCAAACTTATAAACAATGTAGATGAACATATTTCATAGAACCAATACCTGAAATTTAAATTGAATGAATTTACATTTGCATGGACTAAATAGAGGATTTGAAATTGTTGCACTTTTTTAAAAACAAATTCTACATTAACAACCATCTGGGTCTAAATCTTAAGATTATATTTCTTCATCATTGATATCAGTTTGGTCTCTTTATTATTATAATGCATCTAAATCATAATTAAAATCCAGTAATTGTAATTTCATTCTTCCTAATTTAATTATGTCTCCTCTTTATAGTTCCCATTCCTTTTTGTTTACATTTATATTTATACATTCAATGATTCAAATTCTGGTCTTCTGCATAATATAGCCCATACTCTCTAATCTGATTTCTAGCTCATACCTGATAGAGTAACATAATCTTATTCACAATCCACTCTAAGCAGCTAAACCTGTTTTTTAACATATTCCTTTATAATAGTGATAATAAATTTACGTTTTCACTTAATGCTAGAATTTAATTATCAACCATTGAAAGTGTTGCTAATCAATATTTAACAAGGTTACCTGAAAAATCTAGTTCTAACTCTTTTCGGCAAGCTTGATTACTCTCAAAATCGAATAAGTTATGACTTTCTTTATTCCATATGAAAGCTGTTATACAAACTCTTAAATTATAATATATTTTTTACTTATAAGCTGCAATTTAAATATTTCCATCTATTTTTTTTAATTTCATTGATGCACATGATCCCATTTTTTATAAAAAATTATTAAATAAATAAATATGCTCTAATAATCTCAAAATATTGATTACTTGTATATACCTACTAGTAAGAATTTATAATCGCTCCTTAAAACATCAACATTCAAAATGACTGCCAATGTTCAATAAACTTATTTGATTAAGTCTTAATTGATAAATCTAACCAAAAGTCAAAAATATGAATATGCATTAACTAAAGATGGTTAATTTATCAAATTTGGACATCAAACAACTAAATGTTATAATCTCTTTAGCAGTCTATATATTCTATCCTATAGTGATAAAAGTTTTATATTGACTTCATATGACAGAGTAAAAGAGTATCATTGCACTGACCAAAAATAATTAAAAAATTGGATTGAACATCTATTAAGATTTTGTATAACAAGGGGCCAGATCTAAACTAGATTTAGATTCTTAAGTCAAATCAATAATGGAAATTATTCAAAAGTAATGTATGTTAAAAAAAGGGCTATCTCATAGAGGACAATAAGTAGAGACAATTTGTATGTAAGACCTTCCAAAAGACTGATTTGATCAAAGTTACAAAGCTTAGAGATTCTGTAATTGGTGAAATGTTGTTACTTAGACCTATTGATCATCCAAATGTGATTAAGTTATTGGAAATTCATGAAGACAATAAATAAATATATTTGATATATGAATATGCAAAGGGTGAATTATTTTAAGAATTCTAAAAGAAGAAAATAGAGAAATCCTAATTTAGTGAATAATAGATTAGCAATTTTATGAAACAAATTTTTGAAGGTCTTAAACATATACATTCCCTTAATATTATGCATAGAGATATTAAATTAGAAAATATTTTAGTAAAAGATTCTTAAACTATTGTAATTGCAGATTTTGGATTAGCAGCAAAGAAAATACCAAAATTTGAATATAAAAAATATGGAACACCAGGTTATATTGCTCCTGAAGTATTAAATTTGAAAATTTATAATGAAAAAATTGATATATTTAGTGCAGGAGTAGTTGCTTATATTTTATTAACTTAACAACCTTTGTTTTCAGGAAATACTATAAGTGCTATTTTAAATTAAAATACTGCAGGAAGAATTGATTTTAATAATTCTAAATTTATTTGTTTAAGTCAAGATGCACAATAGTTTCTAAAAAGAGTCTTATGTTTAGAAGAAAATTAAAGACCATCTGCAGCAGATTGTTTAGATTCTTCATTTCTATAATTATAAATACTTAATAATGAATTAGGAACACCTTTATAGTAAAAAAAAGAAGTAATTATTAAAATAAATTAATAGGTTAGATTAAGTTATTTGGGTTCCTCTGTTTTACCTGAATAGATTAATCTTTCTAAAGCAAAAAGAAGATCCATGAGATAATATATATTATTAAAATAAGCCATAATTACTGAAAAATAGAAAGCATAAATGATGTAACAAATAGCTGAATAATAATAAGGAGATGAAGAAGATTAAGAAAATTTAATTGTTTAAGAAACAGTAAAGAATGTAAAAATAATTAATTTAATTTAGATTGCAGGTTCTTTCTATACTGAAACAAAGAATGAATCAAATAATGAATAATTATCAGAAAGTGATTCAGGGGAGAGTATGAATGGAGAATCTTCTGAGAGTGATGATGATGCTAATTTGTTTTTAGAGGATGATTCATGTCATAATCTATCTTCAAAGTTATCTCAATTAGGTGGATTTGAAATTAAAATGAAAAGATGAATTAAATTAGACATTATATATATATATATATAAGATCTATTATGATTCTAAATAATAATTTATTTTGAGACATAATATATTAGTAAATTTTATAATTGATTATAATAATTATAGAGAATTTCCAGATATTTATTTAACATATTAATGTTTATCATATCTTCTTCTTTTTCTTTTTCATTAAATTTACCATATTTTTTTCCCAATTAGGTGGTAATTTAGGTTATTGTTTTTCATTATCTGGTAAATTTGTCATGGCGCATTCTAGTCTTCTTTCAAAATCCTTAATTTCATCAATGCCTTATTCACATTAACTATATGTTAACCAATTAGTCATAAGGTCTTAATGTGTTGTAATTTTGGGTTTGAAATATTGAAATACAAGAGAACCAAAATAACATTCTATCAGCTAATTGAATTTGTAGATTCTGCAAATCTCTCTTAATGCAAAATTAATCTTGTTATCTTAAAATATCCTATCTTAAAACTTTATCCTATGATATTCTTAAATCTAAATTAATTTCAAATTTACTCTAAAGCCATTACTTAATTATTAGTATTTACTCAACTCTTATGCAATATTCTATATTCTAATCCAATGACTATTCAGTTATTCAATGTAGAACTTTGCAGAATCTTAATCATTATAACTATACGAATGTAAATTGTTTTGTACTGTCTACTTGTTAATAAAATATTACATCAAGATAATTTTTAACATAATTTTCCATAAGAGACGCAACTTCATCATAAGGACATTGATCTATTTTTTCTTTAACATTTTCATAGGGCTCTCCTTAAAAATACAATTCTTTAAATGCTTAATTTACTTAATCCATTTTTATTATATTAAAGTAACAATGAATTCATAAGCAAATTAATTATTAGAAAAGATGAACAATTGTCATATACACATCAAATAAAAATCTAAACCATCAATTCATTTTAAAAAAATGGTTCTAACTTATCATTGGAGTTTAGCAATTAATAAACTATAAAAAATTTTCACTTTAAGATGTAAATTGCCATTATAAAAAATAAAAAATGAAGAACTAATAATTAAATAATCAAGATCGATGTAAAATAGTTAAATATTTAATAACCAAAAATCAAATAAGCATATTCGATATTTATCATAATAACCTTAACAAATTGAAACTTATTCTTAATTAGATTCAAATTTGATTTCAGAAGAAATGAATGATTTAGCCTCATTATCAAAGAATAATCATACTTAAAATAGATCTCGAAAATTAAATATTGTAAAAATTTAGAATCAGTAAAATGACTTAAAACAATCAGATTATTTACAGTCATAGAATAGTTTAGATCAATTAAAGTTCAATGAAGAATTTCTAAATCTATTTAAAAAACAAAAAGAATTGAGTTAATTTGGATAGTTGGGTAAATATAGAAAGTTTAATTATAGGTATAAATAAAATCAAAGAATAAGAAATGTTAATATAGAAAATAATTGAGAGTAGACCAAGTAAACCAAATCCAGATTTTAAAATATTTCTTTCTCTAAATAAAAAACCATAAATTGAAATTCCACAACAAGCTAAAATATAATAATAAAATTAATAGCCTGTATTTCTAATTCTTGTAATTTTTTTCATTAGCTTGATTAGTATGTATATAATAGTTTGATTTATATAATTAAAAATTTATAATGCAAAAACGATTCTTTATTGCATTTTTAACTCTAATGCTAGTTTAGACAAAATCAGTAATGAAGGGTGTTATTGAATTTACAGCACCAAGTTGTTGTGATCCTATTATGAAAAAGGTCACTTTTCCAGATAAATTTATTGATATACCTTAAATTTTAGTAACAATTAGAGCCATAGAATATGATGCAGGTCCTGTTGGATTTTTCTGTTAAATTTAAGATGTGACTGAATAAGGTAACTACAAAGAATCTATGTAGATTTTACATTTTAATTGACAGTTCTCCATGCCACATTAAAAGTTTTAGCATATGAATATACAGCAATTAATTAAGATGAAGTTGAATTTGGATATTTTAATGTTGATGCACTTTCTATTTTGAAAAAAGCAGAAGCTGGAGATAGAGTTATACCATCTTTATTAACATTTAAAAGAACATTTACTGAAGACCCAATTGTTTAAGTATTCTTAGTTGGAGTAGAATCATAATCAAAGCTCATTTAATTTGAAGTCTCTCCATTAACGGTTTCATTACATGGAGTTTAATTAAATTTTAAGAAGTTTGGAGACACAAGTGTTTAAAAAGTTTAATTAGCATATGTTGCTACTTAATCTAGCAAAGAATTAGCATAATAAGTTACACATACTGGTTAAAAGCAAGCACATATTGAACCTGCAGATCATCAAGAAGAATCTAAATCATCAGAAAAAGCAGAAGAAAATAAAGAATTCTTATAATTAAGAAACAAACCAAAACTTATTTAAATAAATGGAATTAATGGTCTAAGATTTACATCATTACCAGTTGCTTTTATGTGGTAAGGAGATTAAATTGATCCAACTGCTTTGAATGTTAATTTGAGAATAACTTTAGATAAAGGAAATTAAGCAGTTTTAGGATTGTATTATTTTGAAGAGAAAGAATATAAAAAATGTCCTATTGTTTATTCAATGTGTAATTATTAAGGATCAAAAGTATACTTATGTAAAGATGTATCTGATTTTAATTCAATAATGAGATTAGCCAAAAGTATCTATATTCCAGAGAAAGCATCAGTTGTTGTATATTAAGATCCATCTTATAGTGGTGCAAAGAGTAAGATAACAAAAAGTATACCATGTATATCTGATTGGTTTACTGATGTTGCAGAAACAGAGATATCAGATATTAAATAATTTCTATAAATCAATCAAATGAAAAGGCATAAAGATCAATAATATAAAGAAATTCATTTAGAAAATTAAAAATAATTGAACAAATTTAATATGGTTTAATTACCTCATTGGAATGAAGCAGGAGATAAAATTGAGGTAGTTTAAGCAATCTTAGATTCTAATAGTCCTCCTGCAAATTCATATAAACAAGAGCTAAGTATTATTATTCTTATATAATTTTAGTATAAAAATTAAATGAAGAAGAAGAAACATTTCTCAAAAATAGACAAATCTATTGACTGAATTAAAATTTTAATAATAATCAATAAAATAATAAAAAACTAATATTTTATAAAATGCTATTCTCATTTTTTATTCATTTATTAAATAATTATTCTTTGGATAATTTTATGAACTAACTTCTATTAGATAATATGATTAATATAATTAAGAATTTATAGTTGTTGAATAATCAACATAATATTAAGTAGATTCACTATTTAATACAATAATAAATTAGTGAATTTAAATAAAATACTTATAGAATATTTAATTATTTATATTTTTTTCATATTTTACGTTATTTATGTGTTTACAGTTATTATCTAAATTCTCTCCAAGCTTGTAAAATTTCTTTAGAATTTTAAACATCACTTTAACTTTATAATTAAGAAAGTTATTCATCATTAAAATCTAAAATTTTAAATACCTCAAGAATCTTAGTTGAAGTTTGTTGACTTTTAAATTGACCAATAAAATTATATATGATTTTGCCAAAAAGAAATTTTTAATTTTTATCTAAATCTTGTTTTTTTTATATTAATTAGTCAATAAAATGTAAAAAATAAAAGACAGTCCTCTCATCACTTTCATTTTATGCAGTTTAACATATTTTAATAATTTATTCTATATTCTAAGATAGCTCTTCATTGCTTTGTGCTTTTATTGCCCTATATAAATTTCTCCATGATTATACACGAAAAATCCAATCTTTGTTTTAAGCTTAAATTGAACATATGTTTAATATTAATGTCATATTATCTCTGACAATAGAATCATTTTAAGGAATCTTAAATTTATTTTAGAGTAAATCAACTGAAATTTCTTTTACAGGAGGTTATAAATCTTAATTTAAATAGATTAATAATTTGATATGAGTGAGTTTATTACATTCAAAATTCTTAATAACTTATTTTGCTAACTAAGTTCCTAATTTGATTATTTCAAAATTATTATGTAATAAAGAATATCTTAAAACTTCAATGAAATCATTTTAATCAGTATCTTCTACTTGAAGCAATAAATTAAAAGCAGATAATTATGTTTACTTTTAATTAATTAAACAGCATTTCAATAACAAATCAATATAATTATTATTATTAGTTTTAGTTTTAAGTTCTTTTAGTATTTATAATAATGGACTTAATTGAATCTTTGAACAATATTTCTCTTAAACATCTACTTTAGAAGTATGCAATCCAATTAAATTATGATTATTTTAATCTATTTTATATAGAATTTCTATTACTTAAGTAATTAATTATAAATTGAAAATAATCTTAAAAATTTCCAGACAATTATAATGATGAATTCATACTTGATATAAGCTTTTCTTAAATTACTAAATATTCTGATATTTAAAATATATCATTCTAATTCAATAATGATAATAATTTTGATGTATTTTCTTAAAACATCTCCTCTGATTCTTCCAAATATTATGTTAAATTAAGTTTTATAATTTAACTTAATTTTTAAATATCTAAGAAGTTATATTATGATTCAAAATAACACTATAAAATATAAACATGATTATTACTATTAAAATCCAAATTCCAGCATTATTATCTTACCATCTAGAACTTTATAAAAGAATCGTAATTAATATTTATATACTATTTTGCTATATCATTTTTACCTCTCTAAAGCTTCTTTAACAATGATCTAATTAGCATATTTTGATGATTCAACCTATGCATCTAATAAATTTTTCAGTTTCTTAGTTGCCTGAATTCCTCTCTAAAAATCCTCCTCTCCAGCTGCAATTGCATATTAATAAAAATTTTAAAAGTTTTTAGTAAATTTAGTATTATAATTGTCCACATCTCTTAAAAAAATACTGTATTTCTGATTTAGTTCTTCAATCTTTAATTCCATAGAAAACTTAATATTATTTTGATAAAAATATATATGTATATTTATTATTATTTATTTTATAATAAAAATCTTATAAACTACTCATATTTAACTATTTCTGTTTATATTTATATAGATTATATTCTTATAGACAAGGTATGATTACAAAAAGTATGAGTATAAGAAATTTAAAATTTTAGGATATATTTCTAAATTTGAATTGATTGGGAGTACTTAATTTATAGAAAAAGATGATTTAGAATATTAATTGATAAATGATTTACATATTAATAGAGTTAAGTTAAGTTGTTAATGTATTTAAAATAAATTTATTATATTTTTCATATTAGATTAATTTATTATTTACTCTTGTCATAATTTATTATTAAAAAATCTATATAATAGAAGTTTCTGAACCAGTGAGTAAGTTAAAAATAGAGAATTGATCATATAATTAAAAATTAGTTTAGATTTATATATGTTTTGTTAAATTGAAGTTCTAATTAATAGATTTTAGTGTATAAAATAATTTATAAATAGATTTAATTTTAAGAGTTAAGATAATTAAAAAATAACAATAAAAAATTTATTAAAGTATATGATATCAATCATTTTCTAATGAATTAAAGACCAGCTGGATTATGTGTTTAAATTGATAAGAAATACTCATAAACTTCCATTAATTCTTTTTCTGCTACAACTTTAGTTGTACCAGGTTAATCAATAACAATATCTAACATTAAAAATTTGGTCAGATATCTAATACATCTGCTTAATTAAGTAAATTGAAAGCCAAATACAATTTCTATGAATGGCTTATAAATGCGTTAGAAATCAAGTATATCTTTTTCTTAAACTTTATTTTCCACTATTCTTTGATAGGTGCATCCACAATATTGTTTTAGTAAAACCAAATAAAGTAAGGATGAAACTATTTCTCTATTAGTAAATTAATATAATTTGATATCTAAAATAGCACAATCTAAAAAGGTCATGAAATGTCTAAATAATGCATATGATGATTGAGTTGGTTATTTAATTTATAGGTTGGCTTAAGGATAATATATATCCCATTAGGATAGATACCATGAACTCCATAGATAAAGAGTGGGAGGATTGATCATCCATTTTAATTCAGTTAAAATATCTTATTCTTTATCTAAGATTTATTACTCTGTGAATCCATAATTGCTAGCTGATGAAAAATCATTAACTTTTGGTGGATAGATTTCCTAGAATAAGTAATAATAAATACTTCAATTTTACATGCAATTAATAAACTTGCTAAGCCACATAATTAGAGTTCTGACTTACTAATAGATGCTTTAGACATATATCTATCTAGATTATGAATACACAAATGAAAAGTTTCTCTCTTTAATGTAAATTCTTTACAAACTTCACTAATCCAGTCATATAAAATAGATCTCATTTATGGAGATATATGACATTAATGATCAAAGAATTATGGATGAATTTTATATTCCAACTCTTTTTAATACAATAGTCTTAATGTATTTTCATCAAATATTCCTTCTTTTTGATCATTAATTTCTATCTATTCTTGACATCCAATATCTATCTTCTTCAATTTGGTTCTTTAAGATTAAGATGTTTTTTTTATTAATTGGCTAATTTATTTTCTTATATCTTCTGTATTAGTATTTTAAGAAGTTTTTTGTTTCCTCTAAGTATCGTTGCTATTCATATTTTCCTTATTCTTTAATCCACCAATTGAAGCCTTCCTTATAGTGATTTACTTAGGTGAAGGATCAAAAAGAGCAACAGCACTTAAATTCTTGCGTCTTGCATCCTGAATTATTAGTCGACTCTGTAGAGGCTGCTTCATTCAAATTTAAATAACGAAAATAAACATAATTAACTTTATCTATAATATTATCATTTCTATTCACATCCTCTATAAATCAATCTTATACTCATCTTTCCTTCTAGTTTATGAATAGATGAAGTACACAAACCTGTATAAATTAAAGATTTTCTCAATCTACATGAATTTGGAATATTCAATAAATAATTTAGTCAATATCATTTTAATTGATTAAGCTATATGATGATTAGATGTAAAAAATATACAATCAGAATAGTTTAAAATATATTCAATAATTGTTCATCCAAATATAATCTAACATAGATGATTGAAGAAATTAAGTGATCAAAATTTGTATTGAATATATACTTTTGATTTATAATGAACTAATTGTCTATATTCAATTAAATTTAATGAACACTTTATTTACTAATAAAATTGGTCTTTATTATTATCATTAATTAAAATGTAAGTGTTTACAATATATGAACAAGTCTTAAAGAATTTCTATAATCCTTAAATGACTATGTTTTAGGATGTATATTGTTTATGTTTATACTTCTTCACAGAACAACTTCTATATTATGAATTCTAATTAATTTCTATTCAAATTAAAGAAGATTATTTATTAAGTAAAACTTTTAGTAATAAATAATATTGAAGTTAAATCCTTGCTGATGTATGTATTTATGAACTAATATTAAATAATATTATCATCATTATTTTTATTATTTATCCAAGCTTTCAAATATTCTATATGAATGTTCTGGATTCATGATGAGCATTTTATTGTAGGAACTTGCACATAATCCACTATATTGATTTGATCTACCAAATCTACAAGCCTTTGCTATTGATTTTTCATTAGCAACTATATAAGCAGCCTTACCATCAACAGGAGCCTTTATAATATATATGATTAAAAACCTAATCAAAAAAACAAACAACATATTCTATATATTTGTCTACTGATTTCTTAATAGCTCTTCCACATCCAAATTGTGAAATTGTTGCAATAACTAATTATTCAGCATTTTGTTAATTTTACTTCCATTTTTTCACAATATCTTAAGGGTTCCATTCAACTCCTGATGATTCTACTATTCTTTAATGAAAGAGTAATCCAAAATCACCTTTTAACTTAGTATGATTTATAAAATACGTTTTTACAAGTATTGATAGAATCAGGACATCTTTCAGCACAATTTTAAGCTCCTCTTGACAATCCAATTGACCATGTAGTTATTTACATATTAGCAGCATATTCAAATAATCCCAAATGATTTGGTTATCTTGCCTATGCAACTTCATTTCTCAATTAATTTATGGATCTTTCAAATTCATAAATCTATTTAGAAAATATTCCTTTAATAGTAGTTGTGCATTCTTAACTATAAGAAACTACAAAGATTCCGTAAAACAGAAATAAAATCATTTTAATATATATTTATTAATAATACTTTTAATTAAATATATCTATACTCATATAATACTTCAATAAAAAAAAATTATTTTTTAGACAAACTTTTGTTCAAGTTACATACAAGATTATTAAAAATAATACAGATATTTAGTGAATATTTAATATATTTAGTATATCAATATAACCTCAGAAATATGATATACTAAATTATTAATTTAAGCTATTTCTTATTGTTTATTTGAATATTTAACTCTATTCTTCTATTCAAGCCAACATTTAAACTTATTATAATAATAAGTCAATCAATCAATTATAGATCTTTTGTATTTATATATTATTAATTACAGACTGAATAATATGTATGCATATAATAATAAAAAGTATAAAGATATAGATCTATATAATAATCCTTAAACAAACTATGTATAATTTTATTAACATCCTTTAAGACTAATGCTTTGGTCTTTTTAAAATTAAATTTAAATTAAGTTTCAATTGTTAAGATTTCATTTAAAATAAATGGTTTTGGTTAGATAATTCAAGATTTATATTCCTCTTGATTTTAAATATTATGATGATCAGTATTATATTGAATATTAGTTAAACTTTAAATTTTCAATAATTTGTTTATTTACTTATATAGGTTTCTCTTATATTATAGATAATGATAATTAGTTAAATATGAATATGTTATAATATGTGAATGATTATTATTATATTTTGTAATGAAGAATTGTTAAAAAATATAATAAAAAGTTCCTTTGGTAAACTTTTCCAGTAATTTCTAATTTCTAATTAATCAAAAAGTTAATGATTTAAGTTGTTCTGTAATTGAAGGGAGAATGGATTGTAAATAACATTAGCATCATCTTATTATAAATGATACTTAATTTTATTGAAGAATTGATAAGTAGTTTTAATATGCTTATAGCGATAATATATTTTATAAAAAATGAAAGTTGTGATTTTCTTTGAAGTTATCATATCGTTTGAAATCATTTGGAATTTGATTTTTAGAATGGAAAATGATAAACTTGGATTTATAGTGAGTGCTGTAGTTCTACATTATATTAATTTTTTGATCAAATGCATCTTAATCAATCTAGAATCCCAGAAGTGGTAATTTTGGGGTGCCTTAATTGTAAGTGAGTCGATTAGCATGGGATTATTAAGTATGCAGTGGTAGAACAAAATAGATCTGATACAAGTAAATATTGATGTATAGAAGGTTTTAATAGTTATATAATGTGGATGGGGATTGAATATACAATAGTACTTTATTCCAGGAATGTTCTTAGGGTTGTACTCTTTGATACTTGAATTTTTTAAATAAGGATCTTCTATATATGATCTAATCAAAACTATCATTATTATGATTCTTTGTGTGCTCCTTGCATATAAGATGAGACCAGAATAACATAAAGATAGGGAAGCTTCACCTATTCCAAAGGTGGAACTTTAAATGTCAATAAAGTTTGATATAAAGAATCACATTCTTGAATTAGTGTAATAAATAAAGATATTATATAACTAGTCCGTGGTTAACCGAATAAAAATTTATTGTTTTTAATGAAAAAATGCTTGTTCTTTATGAATAGGCCCAATTATTATAATTTTTTGACAGTTCTGTTGATGAGGAGGAGGAAATGAGTGATTCATAGTTAGTGAAACATTTATTAGATTGTAAATGTGATTCATTATCTTCTGGGTTACTCAAACTTTTATAGGGGTATACCTATTGCTATAATAGAGTCCATAACCAAAAAAAAGAGCATTTTTGAAGCCTGATTTGAAATCAATTTGTTAAACACTCTTAGAGAATGGGAATTCTATATATAATTATTATTCAGCTGGAGAAATAGAAAGTAAACAGTTTAAATTGTAGAACTTTAAATTCAATTTTATAATATTAAGTGATATAAGTTAATTTGAGAATGTACTTATCCTTCATATTGAATAATAATTAGAACGTAAGAATTAATTTAGTAAATCTTTACATACTATAAGTGTTCATTAAAATCATTCAAGTGCTAATAATTCTAAAACTGTAGATAATAATACAATTTCTAGTTCATTATTATATAATATCTTTTAATCTGTTTCACATGAATTTGGAACATATTTAAATTGTATTATGACTGTTAGTTAAGAAGCCTTAAATAGTTCAAATATAAAAAAAGAAATTAAAGAAGTGTTTTTTGATCCAATTTAGATTAATTCATAATTGTTAAATTATATTTTACGTAATATTCGAGATTACAATTCTATCCTATTACAATAATTTACATTAAAATTATAAGAATTTAGTCCATATTAAACTATAATGGAAATCATAAATTTAATGGATAAATAATTAAATTTTAGATCTAATATTGTTAAAGTTGATTGTCCTGTTGATTTAAAAGTATATAATGATGCTGAAAGATACAAATAAATTATTTATTAATTACTTTCAAATTCTGCTAGATTTACTTCTGAAGGTTTAATTACAATTGAAGTTACAATGAATCAAGATAAATTAAGAACCAAAATTACAGATACTGGTATTGGTATGAGTATATCAGAATCTTAAAAATTAACTGAAATGTTAAAAGATAATAAAAAAATGTTGAGAGTATCTTCAAATTCAGTTGGTTGTGGATTAGGTTTAAGTATTTCAAATGCTATTGTATAAAAGATGCATGGAAAAAAAGGTTTGGAATTCAAATCTACATAAAGTAAAGGAACTGAATTCTAATTTTCTATTAGAAATTCTTAATAATTATATAATGAAAGTGCATATTAAACTAGTTAAACATATTTAAAAATTGTCAATCAAATTTATTATGTTGAATAATAACCTTCAGAAGCATCAATCAAATAAATGTTGGCTTCTAAATATGAAGCAAGTTTAAGGAGTTAAAGTAATAGTGGAGGTATTCATAGAGGATAAAAACACATTAAAAGTTTCTCAATTAGAAAACATTCAGCAGAAACTTAATAATAGTTTTTACATAGAATCACAGATATTAATTAAATTAAATAAGATATAGATGCTGAATAAAATGATGATGAAGAGGAAGAAGAAAATGAAAATGATCCCAGTTTATATAAATAATCTTTAATAGTAATACCAAGTTTAGAAACTAATTTTAAAACTTAAATTGTACAATATAATATTAGTTCAAAATGTTGTAGTAGAGTTTTAATTGTAGATGATGAAGTTTTCAATATTATTTCAATGTAATTAATACTATCAAAATTCTAAGTCAAAAGTGATAAAGCTTGTAATGGTATTGAAGCTATTCGAAAATGTGAAGAAAAAAAACTTAAACCATGCAAAATCTGTTCTTGTGCTGGATATGCTGCTATATTTTTAGATATAAATATGCCTCTAATGAATGGAATTGATACTGTAAGAATAATTAAAAAAAAAATTAATGAAGGTTCCATTCCAAGAGGACTTTGTATAGCTAACACTGGATATTGTGATTTTGAAACTAAAAAATTCGCAATTGCTTAAGGTATGGATTATTACTTTACTAAACCCATTGACGTCAAAGAATTAGAAAATTATTTAAAAGCTAAATTTCCACTTAACTAATGAAAATATGAATAATTGTATTTTTTTGCTTAAAATATTTTATATATATTTAATTTTATGGTCTAAGAATTGTAATAGATTTTGAATTATTAAGAAATATTAAAGCCTATTCATGAATATGAATAAATCAAACAATAATCAGGATATGATTTGAATTATATTTATGAACAAATACAGACTGATCAAGAGTTTTTAGATTTAGAACTAAAAATTCAATTTCATAAATTACAAAACTAAAATGAAAATTAAGAATCGACTTTATTCAATTTAATAAAGATTAATTAATGTTTCATTCAATATGTGAATATATTACAAAAGAGGAACTAAGTGAATATTAAATTTCAACTAATTGATAAATATCATAAGAATTTTTTTTATTATCTTTAACACTAATTATCGCAAAATTAGAATCATATTAAAGTATATCTTGATAAGGGTCATATCAATTTTTCATTTAGCATATATGTGAATTAGAATACTAAAATTGAATAACTTAAACAGTTTATAAAAAATAATTTAGAAATGATATTGAATTTCATAAACAAATATGAAAAATAAAAAATGTTTAGATAGAGTTCAAAAATAAATAGCATAAAATTAAATATAGTTTAATCTAAACCACTTTAAAAATCTACTTAATTAATTTAAAAATAAAATGTGAGATTATTTGAATACTTAAAAGTTGTAAATTGTGAACCAGAATCTTAAACATTAATTACACAAATTATAGGTTACAACAATCTTTTAAAAATTTAATACAAAAATTCTGTTGATATAGATAAAAGTTTATTACTTTTAATTTAAAATGGAGAATTATAAAACTTAGAAAAAAAAATAAATTCATTACTTAAATCTTTTGATATTAACATTCAGGAAATTATTAGTAATTTATTTTCTAAAATTTATTTGGAATGCTAGTTAAAAAATTATTATTAATTTATAGAATTTTAGACACTATCAGAATATTTTAATAATTAATAACAATAATAAGATACATTTGAAATAAGGATCTAATTACTTATCTAAATATTATGTATTTATTTATTAAAAAGATAATTAAATCTTGATTTAGCATTTCCCTAAAAAGATGTTATTATAATTGATTCAAAAAAATAAATTAAACTTGATATGTTTGCATATTTAAAATACACATCAATTAAAAATGAAAAATTAGAATAATCAGAAGAATTATATGAAATATAAGAAATATAAGAAATATTCAATTATTTTTAATTTTTATTTCCTCTTAGAGTAATTATATTTATTTTATTAAAGGAAAAATAAGTCATTATCGAAAATTACAACATTACTAAGGAACTTGAAAACATGAAATAACAAATAAAGGAAAATAAAATAAATTTGTATTTTTTCATTTCTTAGTTAATTGAGATCGAAAAGCTAATAAAACAATAATTAAGCTTTTGATAATTCTGTATAAATATAAATTTAGTTATAAATTATTATTTAATTTTAAGTATCTATCTATTAATTCCTAATTGATTAAGGATTAAAGAAGAAAAAGTATAATTAAAATATATAAATATAGAATTGATAGTTTTATTAATCTTCTAAGTTAATTTTATAGATCAATAAATACTTGATTTTTATATTAATCTTTTGAAATCATATGTCTTAATATTTGATATATGATATTGTGTATTTTTGGATAAGTTGGAATGTAAAAATAGAATAATAAAGAACAAAAATGATATTAGAAAAGTTTATTATTTTAATAATGTTTAAAATTAATCAAGATTTATTGTCAAAACACAAATACACAGCTTTATCAATAGTTGCTAGTGTTGGTTTATTAATGTTATCTTTTAGGAAGAGGAAATTAAACCCATTTGAATCAACATACAGAAGAGTAGCATAAGAGATATAATAAAAAGTTCTAACAGCAAAGTATGTTATATAAACAGAGTTAAAGCTATCTAATGAAGATAAAACTCTTATTTTAGACAGTTCTATTCCTTAAATTCATAAATTTTACGAATCTAAAAAGTTTACATGTTTGGATGTATTATTAACATTTTTAGAAGTATCATTGGAAAAAGGATTCAAGATGGGTTATTTGAATGACGTAAATTTTGAGGATGCAATATAAAAAGCTAGATAATTAGATTAAGAATTAAAGAGTAAAAATTATAAGATTGAGAATATGCCTTTATTTGGTATTCCTGTAAGTGTGAAAGACACATTTATTATAAAAGGTACGTATTAAGCATTTGGATGTGGAGCATATGCTTAAAAGAGATCAGAAATAGATGGAATATAAGGATATTTAATAAATAAATCAGGAGGAATAGTATTTGCAAAAACAAATTTACCATAATTTGGATTTTCATATGAAAGTTGGAATTATTTATTTGGAAGATCTATACATCCTTAAGATCCTACTAGAACTTCTGGTGGTTCAACAGGAGGAGAAGGTGGATTGATAGCAGTAAATGGTTCTCCATTGGGATTAGGTAGTGATAGTGGAGGAAGTATTAGAATTCCTTCTCATTTTTGTGGTTTGTATGGATATAAGCCAAGTTCTAAAAGATTAATAATGAGAGGTTAGGCAAAAGGAGTTCCAACATGGGATGGAATCAGGAATATTGCATCTTGTTATGGTCCTATGTGTAAGAATTGATTTATATATTAAAGCTAAGCATTTTCCTAATTTAGTCAATATGATGTCAGCATTAACAACTAATTATGAATAGGCTCCAATTAATANTATATGATATTGTGTATTTTTGGATAAGTTGGAATGTAAAAATAGAATAATAAAGAACAAAAATGATATTAGAAAAGTTTATTATTTTAATAATGTTTAAAATTAATCAAGATTTATTGTCAAAACACAAATACACAGCTTTATCAATAGTTGCTAGTGTTGGTTTATTAATGTTATCTTTTAGGAAGAGGAAATTAAACCCATTTGAATCAACATACAGAAGAGTAGCATAAGAGATATAATAAAAAGTTCTAACAGCAAAGTATGTTATATAAACAGAGTTAAAGCTATCTAATGAAGATAAAACTCTTATTTTAGACAGTTCTATTCCTTAAATTCATAAATTTTACGAATCTAAAAAGTTTACATGTTTGGATGTATTATTAACATTTTTAGAAGTATCATTGGAAAAAGGATTCAAGATGGGTTATTTGAATGACGTAAATTTTGAGGATGCAATATAAAAAGCTAGATAATTAGATTAAGAATTAAAGAGTAAAAATTATAAGATTGAGAATATGCCTTTATTTGGTATTCCTGTAAGTGTGAAAGACACATTTATTATAAAAGGTACGTATTAAGCATTTGGATGTGGAGCATATGCTTAAAAGAGATCAGAAATAGATGGAATATAAGGATATTTAATAAATAAATCAGGAGGAATAGTATTTGCAAAAACAAATTTACCATAATTTGGATTTTCATATGAAAGTTGGAATTATTTATTTGGAAGATCTATACATCCTTAAGATCCTACTAGAACTTCTGGTGGTTCAACAGGAGGAGAAGGTGGATTGATAGCAGTAAATGGTTCTCCATTGGGATTAGGTAGTGATAGTGGAGGAAGTATTAGAATTCCTTCTCATTTTTGTGGTTTGTATGGATATAAGCCAAGTTCTAAAAGATTAATAATGAGAGGTTAGGCAAAAGGAGTTCCAACATGGGATGGAATCAGGAATATTGCATCTTGTTATGGTCCTATGTGTAAGAATTGATTTATATATTAAAGCTAAGCATTTTCCTAATTTAGTCAATATGATGTCAGCATTAACAACTAATTATGAATAGGCTCCAATTAATATAAAAGATATCAATTTTGTGATGAAATAGTTTGATGAAAAAGAGTGTTATAATAATAATAAAAAATATAAAATAGGAGTTTTAAGAAAGATAAATCTACTTTTACCTTGTAAAGCAAATTAAAGAGCTTTAGATATAGCAGTAGAGAAGTTAAAAGCATAAGGACACACAGTTATAGAATTTGAAATTGATTAAAGTATTTTTGAGAATGTTTTCTAACATGTTTATGATGTAATGTTGGGAGATGGAGGAATGAAAGGAACTTATGAATTATATAAAGGAGAACCATGGATTTCTCATTTTGATAATTTTAAGAAGGCTACTCATTCATGTTGGCTTTGGAAGAAGATCTATTAAAAATGGTTGAAATTTTAGGATCGCAAAAGAGAATTAATGATTTGGAAAGCAGGAGATCATGGATTATCTTATTATGAAAATCTTCATATAACAACTAGATTAACAGCATATCAAATTTAAATGATTCAAATTTGGCATGATTTATAATTAGATGCAGTCATTAGTCCTGTGACTGCTGGAGTTGCTGTTAAACATAATACTGCATAAAATTGTTTTAGTGGAATAAGTTATACATTTATTTGGAATATGATTGATTTTAGTTGTGGATCAGTTCCTATTACAACAGTCTAAGAGGATGAACAATATTACAATGAACAATCATTATTTGGCAAAAAGGATATTGAATATAAGGTTTTAGAAGAAACTATGGAACACAGTGCTGGTTTACCTGTGGGCATTTAAGTTATCTCCAAACCATTAGAGGATGAAGTTTGTTTAAATATTATGAGATAATGTGGATAATGAGTATTTATATATAAAAAAAAGAATAAATCATTTATATTCTGTTAATAAATTAATAAATCCACCTCCAATAATAACAAATGGTATTGGAATACCTTTATATAGGCATAAACAACTGAGGATTCCTATGCCTATTGGAACTACAAAAGCCTAACTACAAGAATTTATTATCAAATGCACTATTGCACTTAATATAAATCCAACTGCAACTGCTGCTATTCCTTATAATACTGCTCTTATAGTTCTTAATCCTCTGTATTTCTTCCAATAAGGCAATATTCCAAATATTGTAAAGAATCCAGGAAGAAACATAAATATTTCTGCCAAAATAGCCATTGGAATACCTCCTATTAAGGCTCCTAAATAAATTGCAATATTAAACATTGGTCCAGGCATACATGAGACTAAAGCAAAAGCATTCCAAAATTATTCTGTAGTCAAATAATTTGATAAAGAAAATTATATCATAGGTAAAACTACATGACCCCCTCCAATAACCAAACTGCCAGTCTTGAATAGATTACTGCAAATTGCTATTGGCATCCAATCAATATAAGATAAAAAGAAAAATAAAACAAATGAAATTCCATAACCAACCAATGATCTATATCCTAGCAACCAACTATCAAAAGTGTGTTAAACTTATTCTTCTTATGGAATTAACAATTATTATCCAATTTAACGATCTGATACATAGTTTGAAATTGCTCCAATTACAATCATTAATACAGCAATAGAAGGTGTTGGAAAAAATGTGGTTACGATTGCACTTACAATCCACAGAAATAAATGAAATTTATTTTTAATGGCTCCATTTGATAATTTATAAGCTGCTTCTATTATTACTCCAATTGATGCATATTTAAAACCATTTATCAATAATTATATCCATGGTATTTATAAATTTGGTACAGTGAGACCTAGTATCATCATTACAAAAGCTGATGGCATACTAAAATATAGAAATGCTACTAATCCTCCCAAACAACTATGTGTAAGATTAGCACCTACTGCAATTACCATTTAAGTAGAAGTTGGACCAGGTAATGTTTAACATAATGCAAACAATTCTTGAAATTCATCTTCAGTGGTGTAATTTTTAAATCTTTCTCTTAATACATTGATATGAGCTAATGGACCACCATAAGTAATAAATCCAAGAGGAAACATAACATCTCCTAATTACTTTAAATTCATTTATTTTGAAGAACTAGTATCCATAGGAATCATTATTAATAATTTTATTATATTTATTCAATACTTCCTAATTCACTTTCACTGTAAGTACCATGGAAAAAGGTAGATCCAGATCCCTCTAACAATCTAAAATGACTAATGAAACAATACTTGTTTCGGTATTTCAATTCTAAATTTGATCTAAATTAATACACCTTTCTAATTGTATTCACTTTCAAAAGGGTTGAATTAAATCCATATTAAAATACTAATATCATTAAGTTTATCTCCATTGCTATTGAACATATATTATTTATCATGAGAATCTATTCCACTTATAACCAGTATTGAATATTGAAAGAGACAAAATAAGAGAGGATCAGCACTGATGTAATTATTGGAAAAATCAAAGTTTCACGATAGGATTGCTCTAAAAATGTAAATCTACTCTTTTGTCTATAATCAATTATATAAATCACTTTTCTAAGAATTTTGTACTCTTAAGAGAGTCAATGATTCCAAATATCAAAAAGATTAATTGGAATGCAAAAAAGAAGAAAAATTAGAGCACTTTTGTTAACAGCAATTCTTTCGAATTAAACTTTATTGCACAAATCTATGAATTTTTATGAAAATCAGTATTCCTCATCACCAATAATGAAATCAAATAAAATACAACAGGAACAACATATGCCATTACTAGCATTGTCTATTATATATAAATTCTATTTTTTACTTTTTAAGCAGCATTCCATACAATCACTTTATTTGTAGATGTTGCATACATAGTAAAAGATTGCCATACACAAATTGCACTTAAACCAATAAATGTAAATGACCATGAAACTTGGCAATTCACTATAGCCATTAGACATCCTAAACAAATTAAAAGCACACTAACTAAATATTGAATTATCAATACACAGCAAATTCAAAATCGTAAATGTGAATTTATTGTCAATGCACTTCATATTTATTATAATGCAATATAAATCTATTACACCAATCAATAAAGCCAAAACTAAATAAACTAAGTAAACAACTTCCATTAATTTTATAATTATATAAATACAAATACCATTTACTAAGCAAATATAATTAATTACATCATTTTAAACTATTATTCAATATTTACTATTATCTAATATATACACAAATATCTACAATATAAATCCATTCTATTTAGATATTCTCTATTCTTTTTATCAAATTATTCCCCTTCTTTTTTATTAATTTAAAAATGTAGAATAATTTATTATATCATACAAAAATAATTGATATCATCTGAATTGAATTGAATAGCTCTTTATGGTGCTTAAAAAATATAATTTATAAGTCAAGAATTATATTTTATCAAATAAAATGTTATTTCTCTTAAGTAATTAATAGAATATTATTTAATTCAATTAAGATATTTTATCAAGGTAGATTATCTTATATGTTGGATATTTAATTAAGTGTAAGTTTACTTCTTATAACCTAAAATATAATCATTTTTTAGTTTAATTACCATAAAAATATTTTTATCCAAAGATTTTTTTCATAAATACATAATAGCTTCAATTTTTTAATGTGTATTTAGCATAACTAACTCTATCTTTTCCTTGATATCTTATTCCAAAACATTCTTAATATTATTTGTTTAGTAAAGTAATCTATTAGTATTAATTTTACGTCTAATTAAATTCAAATTTTATAATCTTGCAAAATGTCTCACTATATAAAAAATAAATAAAATAGTATTCAAAAAATAATATTAAAAGATGAATAATTTAGAATAGAATTGATTTTATATTAAAAAAAATAATTGTAGTGAAAACTTTGTTGATAAAGATTTATATTTTGTACAAATGCTTATGATATAATATTTCATTCTCATTATGGTTTGTTTGAAGGCACTGGCTATTATGGTTATTATGGTCTAGCACCAACTTAAGGATAACTTGGATAAACCTAAGATATATATAATAAATTGATAATACTGGTGCATAAGCTGGTCTAACACCTGAATAAGTGAGTGCTGGAGCAACTACTGGTTGAGCATAGACTGGAGCTTAGGCTATAGGTCTAGCAACTGAATAAGTGAGTTGTTGAACTGGTTGAACGATGGATTAAACAACAGGTTAAACAGGAACGGTCTAGACAGGTTGATATTACTAATATAAATAAATATATTTAAATTACCACTCTTTATACTTCTCTCTCAACAGCATCATATTCAACTCTAGGTACTGTTTTAGTGACTGGTACATATTCAGTTTATTATTCATAAACTGTTCTAGGGATGTACTCAGTTTAGTATTCAACTGGATAATAATCAGTCACATATTTAGTTTTTGGTACTTGAACTTAAATAGTTTCTGTTTCCATTTCAACAACAGGTCTTTGATATTCTCTGTATTCAACTCTAGATTCTCCTTTAATTGGAGCTTATTATGGAGCAGCTACAACTGATTAGGTAAGAATTGGTTAAGCAACAACTGATTATTGAACAACAGGTTAAGGCACATATTAAACTGGTTATGGAACATATTAGACTGGTTGAGCATAAGTCACAGGTTGGGCATAGCTTACTGGTTAAACAACACTCAATGGAGCAGGAATAGAACTTGTAAGAGGTGCTGTTGGATAGATAGGCATTCTTTTTATATTCAATAAATATTATATTTAATATCCATTAGATAATAAATTTTATTTGAAATTTAATTGTTCACTTGATTATCAATGCATTTCTTATATCTAATTTGTATGTATTTATATTAATAATTATATTTTTATCAATACCTCTTTCTATAATTTAAATGAAAAGTGAAGGAATCAAATATTTATATAATTAAATTAATTTTATGGCAGATGAATAAGCTGAATTCTTTAAGGAAGTCTTAAAGTTGATATCTAATTTACACTTTGAAAATAAAATAACAGAGGATTAGAAGTCAGAATTAAAGAAATTATTGATGGATGATGAGGACTTCGTTAAACAACTATAAGAAGAATATCAAATTGATGGTCTTAAAGGAATAGTAAATATTATAATTGGTGATACGATTTCAGATTGTAGTTTCAGAGATTTATTAGATTTCAATTAGGAAAAAAGAAAACGATCCTAATCATTAACTATTTAAACAGACTCTTCAGATTGAGTCAATTTCTGCTAATCTTAGCACTGTTGAGGCATTTTGATTTATGTATTATATACATATCAATATATGTATGTCATTAAAGAAAGATGTAATTAATTTTAAAGGAAATAATATTTCTTATTCTAATAAAAAATATTAATGAATATTTTTATTATGATGTAAGTCACTTTAATGATAATTAACAATAAAAATGATGGATTATATTTAATTACAGAAGAATGCATAAATAAAACAAGGATCATAATTTATTAATCAAATAAATGAATTTTCACTCTCCTCTTTAATTATATTGCTAGTATCATTATTATTTTTTGTTTGATTTAACCTTTACTTCAATATCATTTTTTTCTGTCCTTTTCCATATAATATTTAATTAATTTCAGTATTTAAGCTTTCATTTTATGAATGAGATTCATTCAGATAATTTACTTATTATCTGGCAATAACTTCTAAATTTGGTTTCCTAAGTTATTCTTCAGAACTTTGAATGGTTCTATAAGCAAATGTTGGACCCCCTAATTTTTTTTAAATTGCTGGTTAATCCATACTAACTTATCTTGGATTCAATTTTGTTGGTCTGAATGAATATTATGCTTTGTAAACTAGACGATAAAAATTTTATTATGTTTTTGGAAACTCAATTTTATTTTTGGATTCCATAATTGTCTTTCCTTTAACTAAACCTTAAAAAAATTAACCAACTGGTGCTTTTTATTCTTCAGATTCAATTAGATTATTGATTTTTGATTTCAAAGTTGGGAGTTAAAATCTTTATTCTTATTTAGAATGTATCCTAGGCATACTCCTACTCTATAAATTATCTTAAAGTGTAGTGAGTGGACTACTTAACTATCTCATCTGAATTTATTATTTAATTATAACATAAATAATTAAGTTTAATAACATTCTTCTGAAAATAGTACATAGTAAGTAATTTATGAGAAAAAGGAATTATGTATTTAAAGTTCTAAAAAGTAATTGTAATTTTCTTGTTTATTTATATATATATATTTAAATATCATTATTTAGGAGTCACACGAGTTTTTTTAATTGCTTTAGGTTTGGATGGTCCTAATTATAAAAATATTAAATACTTTTTCTTTTGGATTTCTCTAATGTTTTATTAGGATCATTTGTATCTTTTCTATCAATGTACTTATTAATAAATAGATAAGGGAATAAAAGATATCTTTTAAGTTTTTTTAATCCTCTAAACTTTCTTGGTTTTTAAGATGTCTTTTTTACAACTAAATCAACATTCCATTATCTATTAAAAATTTCATAATTTTTTAATTATTCAAAATTAGCCATATCATCAAAATCTTCTTTAAGATTAGAAAGTTTTTTATACCAAAATTCAATCTATTCTTACTCCTTATTTGGAAATAGTAATAAATTATTCATTTTAGTTCTTAATTCATCAAAGAAATTAATTTCCTCTATTAATTATAATTATTCATCTTCAAGAGATTTAGCTTAAATAATCTTTTTTAGATTATATTTTGATATAATTTAAGTAGATGGATTAATTTAGTTATATTGAGATACCATTAAAAGAGGTGATTATTATTATTAGATATGTTTACTTAATCTTTCTTTTTTCATTTTTTCAAGTACTTAATATTTAATTAAATTTTTAGATGATAGATTTGGAATTTATTTACTTGCTCTTCTTGAATTAAAATTCTATTCTGAAAAACTTTGATCTTTTAATTCATCTGGATTTTCATTCTCAGATTCGCTTTGACTATCTACACTAATTGGTTATTCAATATTAGGAAATAATTATTCCAAATAAAATTAATTTTCATTTTTAAATTTTATCACAGCATCTTCAATCATTTTTTAATTAGTCTTAGTATTTATAAACTTAATTTATTTTAATTTATTATCTTCATTATCATCTATTTAATTTACAAAAACCAATCTTAATTTTCTCTCTTACGATACTCTCTTTTTTTATTTCTTTCTGTATAAATACTTTTTTATTACAACTTCTTTATTAGGAATAAAATGCACCATAGGACATAATTAAGTTTTATGAGATTTTGTTTTACAAATAAAGCAAAAATTCGATAAATAAGAAGATGAAGTTAAAAGATTATGAAATTTTTAATTTTCAAGATCATTTTGAGATAAAATCTTATGAAAGTAAGAATAAGGTATAGAAAGAACACTTGTAAATGCAGTACTTTTAAAAGTAATATTTGGATTAGCTTATTAACTTATAAACTCTTCTAGACCAAAATAGTCATACTTTTCTAATGTTTGAATTATTTTCTATTATTAATATTAAATTTCTATACTTTTTTATACATTACATCGACTTATCCTTATTCAATAATATGAATATAAAACTCTTCCTTAGAATGAATCATTGCTCCTGGTTGATACATTTGAAAATTCACTTCTTCAAGCAACTAATTTAAAATATCCTTTGAAAAATTATCACTAAAAAATGAACATTTATTAAGTAGAGATTTAGCTGCTTCTATTTTAAGACTGTGCTATAAATCTTCAGGAAGCAATTATATGATTTCAGATTATTCATTTACTTATTAAATGATTTCTTATTTTAAATAAAAGTACAACTATTCTCTTACTCTAATTATATTAGCTTAATTTTTACTTAAATTATAAAGTGGGACTTATAGATTTATTATGCATATATTAATTAATTGCAGTTAATTTTGACTTAATCTTCTCACTGCTCTCCTTTATTTATGTTAATATACTTCCAATAGTATTAACTGTGTAAGAGAACAAAAGCATACATAAGAACATATAGATTATAGTGAATATTTATTCTGGTGGATCTGTTAATATATTAATAATATTTACTTTTTGGAGTTAAATCACCGTAACCAACTGTAAATGTTGTTACACATATAAAATAAAAGGATTACAAAAATTAAAATGACCAATCATCATTATCATATTTATTTAACCAAGAATCTTCTTAATTTTAAAGAGAATACACTCCAAATACAATCCATACACAACTGAATATATGTTATACTAATAAAATCATAGTAATCAATTTTATTAGATCAACTATAGATGTTTACATCCTACTTAATTTAAGTGAGTATTAGGATACATCAATAAATTTTAATATATTGATTACTTAAATATATAATAATGCTAATAAAAATTTAGGCCATCCATCTCCCAAGATGTATTTATCTATTATCTTATCATCTTCAATTGTAATAATTATAGTATAAATAAAACTGAAAAATTCTAAGGCAGTGGAAAAATTTAATTATTTTTTAAATAATAAGTATCTATCCCTTACAGGTAATCCTTAATCATATGTAATAGTAAATGCTCTAATTACTATATCAAAAATCAATGCAATTGAGAATAGTAACAAGGGTACTAATTATTTATCAACAAAATTTTATCCATGAAATACTATAATTACTGGTATCACTACAATTAAATATATTCTTATAGCAAAACAAATTAAATCCCAAACAAATTTTGCATTACTCATTGGCTCTATTAATGGAATCTGATTATGTATATGAGTTAGATACTACTTACATTTTGTCTTTATAGTTCTGAATTTCAATCTTAATTAAATTCTAATATCAATAAGTGAAATATATTGATGAATTAAGCTCTTCTAAGTTTCTTGACCTCTTCCTAATTAAAATTTATAGGAAGCACTTAAATCATTTATCAAATTAAAATGTCTTAAAGTAAAATTTGAAGTTAATTTGAATGGATTTAATAACATTTTTATAAAATCTTTCTGATGGAAATAAACAATAAGTTTTCTGAATGATTTTGATTATTTTAGTAAATCAACATGTCCAAATGTTTACAATCTCTCTGTTATTGTTTCATTTTTTGGAGTGATAAGTTATTAAGGATTATTGTATTACTATATTAATTATTCTTAGTGTCCTGAATTTGATCGTAATATTGGAGATAATTTCTCTCTTTTCCTCAATTAGGTTTCATGAGAAAATATTTCTATACCAGTCTTATCTTATGGATCATCAACATTAATTTATTATTGATTGACTTAAAAATTTCGATGCTCAGATATTTTAGGTTGCGGTTTCATAAGAATGATGAAATAATCAAATAAATTTAAAATAATATAAATAATTAGATATTTTCCTTTTTATTAATTGAATATGACTTCATGGATATATACTTTATTATAATTAGTACTATTATGATTATATATATTCATTTTATTGGATAAACCTATATTGATCTTTTCATTGATCGTATATTTTATTATTTTTTTCTCATTAAAGCAGAAGATAATCTACGTTCTTATTGTCTTACAACCATAGACTTTCTTGGTAATCCTAATCTATTAACATTGAATCTATATTGATTTATGAAATCATAAGGAAAGAACATATATTTCAACCAAGAATTACCACTTATTAATTAAAATTAATCTAAACTTTTTGAAGTTTAAGTAATTATGTATCTCACAGGATGAATTAATTTCTTTAATACTAAGTTAATATTTGCTTTTTAATTAAAAGTCTAATATTCTTATTATTAATCTAATTCAATTTTATCTTCTAAATTTAGTTTAAGCTCTAAAATTCTAATCAGATACTCCATTTATTAAATATCCTTATCTGTATATAAATCCTTATGATGCAGTTTATCTTTTAAAGACTTTAATGTTTACAATTCAAATGAAAAGTGTATTTTTAAGTCCAAAATTTCTTTTTCTGATTTATTAGACTTTTGATAAAAATCGAGATAAGATCTACTTTCAAGATCTTTTATTAAAATTCCCACTGAATCCATATCTTTTTTATTTATATATTCTAATTTTAATATTATAGAATACCTTAACTTTCATATTGTGTTGTTTCATCTTCAATAATTTGATATTTCTAAAAAAACATACTGTCATTTTTAACTTTAACCATTTAAGCAGCTTCCTTAATAATTTCTTAATCAGTTGAAGCATGATATAATTATTTTATTCTAATTGAATTTCTTCTAAATTTTTATCTATCTTAATTTTAATAAAAATTGAATTATTTAATGACCTTCTCTCTATCAGAAATATAATGCACTTATTTACATAGATCTGGTGGATGTCTTTTTGATTCACAAACAGCACATTTTAATTCTGAATAATTATTAATTTTCAGATTCCAAAATGTTTCAAAATCAGATTAATATTTTTATAATATTGAATGAAACTTAGATCTAGGTATTACTAAAGTACTAACAAATCCTGAACTTTTGTATTCATATTTATAATTTTTTTAATTATTTAAGAATTCATTTAATCCAAAATGTTCATTTGATTTAAAACAACCTATTAAAACTTTTTTATCATAAGATTTATCATAAATATCAACCTATCCAGATTCAATTATATGTATGAAATGATCATCATCATTAAATATATTTATTGTAGATGAAGGTTAATAAGCCTGAAATTGAAGATGTTTCAAAAGTTCATTCAAAAATTCAGTTGAAAAATTCTTATAAAAGAAATCACAATTCTTAAGAACTATGCTATTTGATTCAACTGCTATTTATTTTCTTAAATCATCAGATAACTAACTTAAAATTTCTGTCTATTCTTTTGTTTATTGTGTTTATTCTTGATACCAATAATAATTTAGATATTCCCTTACTTAAAATTGCAATTAATGACTTATTTTTTTATTATGCATGTATTAATTTATGAATATAAGTTTTTTGTTAATGATATCATTATTATTTTTCATTCTTGTTAAAATTTCACCTATTGTATTCAAACTAAAGGAAAGTTAGAATGTACATACAAATACAAATAAAAAAGCAAACATTTTTTCAGAAATATCTAAAATACATTAATAAATAATTACTTATTGGATGTAAATCACCATATCCCACAGTGTACATTGTTACACTAGTGTAATACATTGATTCTATATATAAATCTGTCCATGAAATATGTTCCAAGTTGAAAAAAGTAATCCAATTTGAATTTCCCAAAAGAAGATGATATTTTCCAATAATCAACCATATACAACTAAATATATGTTATATTATAAGTAACAAACCTATCAATTTAAATAACTCAATTAATGATGATGCTAATTAGCCCATTAAAAAAGATTACTACCATGATCCTATAAAATTTAATAGATTTTTTAACTAAATAAAATATAAGAGCATCCATAATTTAGGCCATCCTCCAAATAATATGAATTAGTTATTAAAATCAAATTTGAAATAAGCCATAGCAAAGAGCAAACAAATCTCCATTAATTCAATTAGGTTAGTAACATGATATTAATTTTTTACTATCTAATAACGATCAACAACAGGTAGACCTTAATCATAATATATTGTAATATTTCTTAATAGTAAATCAATTGCAAATACAATTTATGATATAATAATTATATAATCGTAATCTTCAATTAGTTATTCAAATGTAATTATGATTGGTATAATATACATAAGATAAATTCTGAATATATTTAGGAGAAGATCCCAAATGATTTTGATTTTATATGATGGATCTATCAATGGTATCTATTCAAATAAGTACAATATTTTTTATTAAAAATTTATTAGACCTTGTCTATATTGATATCTCATTCTTACAAAGAAATTAACTTCCTCTAGACTTGGATATTGCATAACTGTTGATTTGGATTTACCAGCATAACTGATAAAATCTTTAATATTGCCTGAACTTTTATCATTGATGAGTTAGTAATGTTTAGGTTTAAAAGATTAATCTGGTTTAATATATTTCAATAGTTTTCTTACAAAAAATCCAATATGATAGTAGATAATTAATTTTTGAAAAGGTTTGAAAACAGTTTAATTGAAACCAGGAATATCAGGACTTGGAGCTTCAATTTTTTTAAGTAATATAATTGATGATGAGTCGCATTCATTATTTACAGGAATATTCTTGCAGATAGATGTATCTTATTAGCCAACTGTATTAATATTATCTAGATGTACGCTATTAAGACTATGCATAAATTGTATATAATATTTATAAAATTTACACACTAAAACCTAATATTAAATCCATAACTTTTTTTTGATAATAATATTATTGATTTAATTTATAATTCATTCTTTCTCATGTATTAAACCCTTAACAACCAAGTAATCAAAAACTCCTGTGACACGTTCTTTGTCTAATTTGAAGTTTTGTAGTGCCTAATCTTTCTTAATAATTCCATTTTTAACTGATTCTCTTACTAGTACTTCTTTCAGTATCAAGTATTCTTATTCAGATAATCCTAATTTTTGACATAATTAGTATTCTTCTTCACAAAATGATGGACCTGATTTATTTTTATCACGTCCTTCCATCAATGGAATAAATCTAGTTCTTCTTTGCATAAACCTTTATTTTTATGAATCATAAACAAATGAATCATTTTATTTTTATCTTCTTTAATATTGTTCATCTCTCTTTCTTTTATCAGCTAAATATTCTTCAACTTCTTCAAAAGTCTTCATTCCTAATTTTCTATAATATCTCAACTCTTCAATTTTAGCTCTTAGTTATTTTTCTTTAATTAGATTTTAAACTAATCTTTCATGATCATCTGGTTTATTAAATCTTGCAAATGGTTTCATTAAATTATGTAATTCTTTCTCCTCTTTTGATCTAGATTTATCTTAGATATTCTATTTCTTTAAATTGAGTAAATCTCTTTCAATAACAAATTTCTTTCTTTTGATTCTTTCATCTAATCTTATATTGTAAATATCAAGAACTTTTAATTTCATATCAATTTCAAATGGTTTGTCATCATCATTAAATTCCATTTCTGCTAATAATAGTTCTGCATCATTATCAAATTCAATATCAAAATCTCCTCTTTTAGGCATAAATCCTACTATTTCTTAACCACTCTATGAAGACATATTAGGTGTTAAACGACCAGTTTTAGTTATATTCTATTCTTCCTTTATTCTCTTTGGTGCTGTTTATGCTCTTTTTGGTTTTATTAATTCAAGAGTATCTTAGTTTCTTTTTGATAATAAAGGCATCTAAAAATATATAAATTATATAAAAACCAACCTTTCTAAATTCACCACTTAAAATAATATCATCATAATGTTATGCTATTTCTTCTTATGCTTTATCTCCACCAAGCATCTCTGCTATATCTTGCCAATTACCAAATCCCTTCTTCTCCAATCCTTCTAACAATAATAATTCTTCTTCAGCAGTCCAATCCTCTACAAATATTGGAAAATTTAATTTGTTTATTATAGAGTAAGAATGACTAATTACATGAGATTCTGCAATATTAGTAATAATTATACCAAATTCTTATAGATTTAAAAAGCAATTCATGCAAATATCTATAGCATTAGGACAGTCGTTGCATAGAATTCGCGCTTATTTTGTAATATCTTTTTCACAATTATCGCAATGTACTTTATTATATGGAAAATATAGATTCTAATGTAAAAATCAAATAAATACATGATAAATAATTTCTTCTCGATTACCCTCCTACTCCATTTTTTAGTTCTGATTTTTCTTTGTTTTCTTTTTTCCGCTACATATTAAAGTAATATTTACTTTTCTTTGTCACTCAAGAACTTCCTAAAACTTATATACTATTATACATTTTAATATTGTGGCAAATATACTGTTTTAATTAAAAATAATCAAAGGATAATTGTAAAATAATTGTATTTTAATTAAAATTAATTATCTAAATGGGATGTCATTAAGCAAAGATTAAAGAGTAAAAATAAATAACAGAATCATAAATTAAGATAAAAATTGAAAGTGTAACAATCTAATACTATTATAGCTCAAATAATATGCTATATTAAAAAAAAATTAAGATATATCTAAAATACTTGAATAAGAGTAATAATTAAATCAGCTATTAAAGAGTAATTTAAGGAATAAAGATTAAGAATATGCATTATTTTCTAAACTGAGTTAACAAATTAAATATCTAGAAACTATTAATTTCATTATTGTTTATTGTTAAATATTATCAGATTAAGTTCTTAAAATTTTGAGATGCTAAGGTAAAACTAATAGTCTTTAAGAATTAATGATTTATATAGAAAGTGTTATATATGCTTCTGATAAGTTGAACTTGAAGCAAGCAGAAGAATTTAATTTATATTTTTTATTCTATTTCAAATTAGATGTAAATAATTTAAGAAATGTTAATCCAAAAATTACATAGATGTTTTAATCCTTATTTCCTAATTCTTATGAAATCAATGATTATGCTAAAAGTTTTGCAAATAAATATGGAATTAGTGAAATTGAACTTAATTAAGTTGGACATCAATTTATACTAAATAATATAATTTCATAATAAATTAATAATTCTAATAATTTTGATTTTTCATCAAAAAATCCTTATGAAAATCTTGAAATAAATGATGAAAATAAAAATAATAATTTTAATCTGTGTTCAATATCAGTGAAACATAATAAAAAAAGGATTTTAGATTTAAAAAATTGATGATTATGATTACGAATAAACTTATTTGAGAATTAAAAAAAAATATTAAATTAATTTACTAATTTTATATGCTTTTTAAATAAATTATAAAAATTCTTATCTTAATATATATCAATTTAATTTCACTAATACCTATTAATCATACCATTTATTAATTTAACATAATTATATATGAATTTCAATTATAAATTTATTTTATTTTATATCTATGAAGTTATAAAAAGCAGTTTTGAATTTTATATTGGTAATGTGGCAGAGTTAAATAAAAAACTAAAAATTTATATTTATTTATTTCAAATCTAATACTAAAATTAAGTTACAACTTAATTATAAGACTAATGAAAATACTGTATTTATGGTATGCATATTAAACTCATTTTTATCATTACAAATAATTAAATATTTCTATGTATTTAAATTATATGTATAATAATTAATCAAGACGGAGATACAAATTTATCCAAATTAAAAGTTTGTTCAGATGACCTATAATAATTAAAAAATTCTTTATTTAACAATTATTTAAATTTCATATTAGTTAATTTATATAACTTTAAAATAGATATATTACAAATTTGGTAGAATCCAACACTTAATCCAGAGTATATTTATCAATAGTTTTAGATTTAATAATAAACTCTAAATATTTTAACAACAATCACATAATCACTAAAGACTCTATATAATAATTAGGTCAAAACTAAAGAGAAAGGCAGGATTATTATCATGCATATATAATAATATTTTAATCATTTTAGCAAATATGAAAGTATAAATATGTATCTCTTGATTTTTCATAATTGTATATATTTATTTAAGCGATATCTAAATTTTTTAAAACCTTAAATAATTCTCAATAAATTCTTATTTATATTTCTGATTTTTAAATTTAATATCAGTATTATTTATTATTTTCAATCTTCTTATTATTCATTATAACTTTTAGCATGATATTGTGAATCCCTAATTTTATATGTTAATTAAAGTTTTACATATTATTGTGCTCAAAATTAATGGTAGAAGCTTCTTCTTTATCACTAATTTGTAGACATCCAAAATATAATATACATATATTTCAATTTTTTATTTAATTACATTTTACCTATTTTTTATTAAAAATGGGAAGCTATTGTTGTGCTTAAGAAGTTGCAAATAGTATTAAATTGTTCTATTAAGGTAACGAAACTTAAATTGAAACCAGGCCTATAGATTTCAACTCAACAGATAAGAAATTTTCATGTCATGCTACAAGTAATTTATTTTCAAATTTCTCCTTTTCCAGAAAAAATAACTTTGCTGAAGGTCAGTCCTGATTTATTTATCCCTATGAAACGTTAAGATATTTATAGTGTTTACTCTCTTGGGAAGGCTTTAGGAGAAGGTATACTTTAATATATATTTTAGGGGCCTATGGTTAAGTTTCAACAGTAACTAACAAAAGAACAGGTAATTGATTGAATTCTACAATTAGGAATGATTAGAGCCATGAAAGCAATAAGAAAGGATAGTTTGTTTGAAGAGGAAGAATAAAAATTATTTTAAGAAATGAATATTTTAAAAGATCTTGATCATCCAAATATAGTTAAGTTATGTGAGTTGTTTTAAGATGAAAAATACTATTATCTTGTTACTGAGTAATAAATGATTATCATCAATTAGATATCTTTAAGGAGGTGAGCTTTTTGATAGAATCTAGAAGGCTAAAACCTTCAGTGAAAAGGATGCTGCCCATATAATGAGATAGATTCTAAGTGGTGTTGCTTATTGTCACACAAAATAAATTGTTCATAGAGATTTAAAACCAGAAAATATTGTATTTACATCTAAAGATGAAGATGCACAACTTAAAATTATTGATTTTGGAACTTCAAGAAGATTTGAATCAAATAAAAAAATGACAAAAAGATTAGGAACTGTATTAATATAAATATATATATAAATATAGCCTTATTATATAGCACCTGAAGTTCTATTAAAATAATATAATGAGAAATGTGATGTATGGTCATGTGGAGTGATTTTATTTATTCTATTAGCAGGATATCCTCCATTTTATGGAAAAAAAGAAGTAGATATTTATCAAAAAATAGTAAAAGCTCATGTTTCATTTCATAGTATTTTTTAGTTTAAATAATTATTAGCTGCAGAATGGTCTAGAGTAAGTGAGCCTGCAAAGTAATTGATTTTAAAAATGCTTTGTAAAAATGTAGATTAAAGAATCAGTGCTTAAGATGCATTAAATGATGCTTGGATGATATAACATAATTAAACAAATTTAGTTGATCAACAATTTTTAAAAAACCTTTCATAATTTAGTGCTAAAAGTAAACTAAAATAATCATTACTTACTTTCATGGCATGTTAAATGATATAATAAAATGAGGTTGAAGATATTCAAAAAAAGTTTAAAGAACTAGATTAAAATGGAGATGGAACTGTATCTAAAGAAGAACTAATTAAAGCATTTTAAGAAAAACTCTTGAGTAAAGATTACTTTGTAGAGTCTTTAGATGAATAAATGGATAAAGTTATTAAATAGATTGATACTAATTTATCTGGTAAAATTGATTATACAGAGTTTATTATTGTTTGTTTGTAACAATAAAGAATGTTAACAGAAGAGAAGATAAAATAAGCCTTTAAAATTCTTGATATGGTAATAATATATATTTTTAATATTAGGATGGAAATAATTTCATTTCCAAAGATGAATTTTAATAGGTTATGGAAGGAGTGGATGATATATTATGGAATGAATTTTTAGAAGAGTGTGATGAAGATAAGGATGGTAAAATATCAGAGGAGGAATTTATTCAAATTATTATGAATAAAATTTGATGCTATTTATATATTTGCTTTATTAGGTCAATTTCTATTTTATATGTATTATAAGACATAGAACAATCATCTGTATTATATTTTATTACTAAATTATTTTTATATAAAATTTTATTTATGCTTAAATTTCTATTCACATCAAAGCTTTCATTTAGATTATTTAAAAGGAGTATAGCATGCTTCTCTTAACAGTCAGCTTTTAAAGAATAGGAGTATTTCTCTGATGGAGAATCTGACCCTGAGTCTAAAGCTTTATTAAGTAAATTTGAAGTGTATTAACATTTTGTAAATGCATAAACAACAGAAGAGGTCATTAAAGCTTTCAATGAGAATAATTTATCATATGAATAGATTCATTTCGCAGCATTTTAATTGATGAACATTGTTACACACAAAAATGTTTAATAAGATTCTTAATTAGATTCTTTCATATAAGAAAAAATAATACCAAATTTTGAGAAATTAAATTCAGAACAAAGTGTTACAATTATTTAACTATTTTTAAAATTATAAAGTAAATCCTATAATATTAAAATAAAAAGACATATAGATTAGAATTTAAAAAACTATACATATTTATAATTGCCATATGTATTTTCATTTTATTCTAAATAAGGATGGAAAATGGCACATATTGGTAAAATATTAAAACATTTATTATCTACTCAAACTTTTACTGCTCATTCATTATGTTAAATAATTAGAGGTTGTTATATTGAACATAGTGCTCTTAAATAAAATTATCATTCAGATTTGGCTTATTTGGCTTGTCAATAATTAATTAATCTTATAGATAATTTAAATTTTCATGGTTTAGTTGCTGTATTTAATTAAATTGCTAGAATGTAATTGGATTAAAATACATAATAAAGAAGATTGCCAGAAGTAATGTATAAACTTTCTGAAAAATTTATTGAAAATTTTGATAAAATCTCATAGTATTCTAAATTGAAACTCTTAGAAGCATATTCTGAATTACCAGAATCATTCCCAAATGATTTGTATTAAAAATTATATCAATCTTTTGAATAAGATAATTTAACTAGTGCTAATTAATTGAAATTATATATCTTTTTAAAAATTCAGAAATAAAAAAATTAACCATCAGCTGAAACTCTTTAAATATTAATAAATAAGATTAATTTTGAAGATATTACAGAGAATGCATTATTGATAAGATTTCTTGATGTTGAAATTGGAGATTAAAATTAAAACATAATCAATTTTTGTGTTAAAAACTTAAAAAAGAATTTTATCAATCTTAGTATAAAATAAAAAGCTGAATTTATAAAAATTATCATAAAATAAAATAAATTAGATGAAATTTTAGATCTAAATTAAATTAATGACAATCTTCTTCTTAAAATTATTGAATCACTCCATAATTGTCATAAAAATATTGAATCCACTAAATCAATTTAATAATAATAAAATATTAAAGCATGTGTTGAATCATTTTTTGATTAAATAGGTAAATTAAATTATGATTTAAAATTAAAAATTGCATCCTTTATACTTACTATAGATCCTTATAATGAAGATCCTTTTTATGAATTTATTGATAGACATATTAAATTGGAATCATTACCAGAATCCTATTTCTAAAATTTTATATTGAGATTAAATAGCAAATCTCATTTTAATTAAGAATTGAGAAAAAGAAGTGAACAATTACTTCCTAATTTTGATCAATTATAAAAAATTATCAATGAAATTAATAACATTGATTTCTTAAATGATAAATTAGTCAAATAAATAGCTAAATGGTTTTATACTTTAACAGATAAAAATATTATAGATGAGTCTTTTAATATTAATTCATCATTGAATTTATTGTTTAAACTAATTCTTAATTGTCCAAATCATTCAATTCATAATATGAGAGGAACTGTATTATAAACAATAAGAGAATTAATAGAATTATTTACTAAATAAGTTTATTAATCTCAACATAATATTGAAATCGATATTGATTTGCTTTTAAAGTTTCATAATTAACTTAATTAATTAGAATTAAGGACAAATCTAATAAATAATATTTGTTAAAAACTTTGTAAATAAATTGATAGTTTTAATGATTTAGAGAAATTATAATTGGCAGCTATCATCACTGAAACTAATATTCATTAATTTTAGAGTATTTCTATTATAAATAATTTCTTGAATGCAGCAATATCAATTGATATAGATAGTTATTAGGCTATTTTGATGAAAACAAAAGTTTTATTATTTTAAATAAAAAATTAAGCAAAATTACGTTAGTAACCAGATGAAGTTTCATTAAAATTCATGATAGATTAATTAAAATAAGAAATTATAAAATTTGATTTAACTAAATCTAAAGAACATTATTTAGATGGTTTGATGATGTTATTGGAATATGATGGTTGGAAATTTAACAATTTAAAATATGAAGATGATGGTTTAAAAGATTTTATAGAATTATATTTTAATAATATTGATCATTTATTAACAATGAATAATATGAGATAAGGTTTGAGGAATATTCTAAAAACAATTGGATAGTATGATACAAAATATCAATTTATAAGGAATTATGAAAAATTATTTTAAAAAATGTTATAAAAATGTCATGATTTAAGGAATAATGAAATGCCTCCAATTTCAATTTGTTTAGATTATATTGAATTTTCTAAGAAAATCAAACTTAATAATGATGACACAATATATGTCTTAACTGAATATATTAAAAGGCAAATAGATAATTTAAAATAAGTATAAATTGTTGAAGTTACAAAAAATTTATCCGAATAAAAAATATATGTGGAATCATTATTTGATGGATTGAGTAAATAAATTTCAAGAAAATTGTAATATTATAGTAATTTTGAATTGTTAGATATTCTTAATTCTCATACCAAGATTGGATATTTTAATGAATCTTTAATATTGAATATTTTAGATAAGTTATAAAATGAATAAAAGATTTAAGTTAATCTTTTAGCATTTGTATAGACTTTATGGAGTGTATTAATTAGTTTAGAATACTTAAAAAAATAAATGAATAAGAATTATTATTATAGATATGAAAAATTGATTACACATTTAATGAATGAGTAATTATATAATAATATACTTTAGAGTATAAAAGTTTCCGAATTTCACTTTGAATGCTAAAATGCCAGCTATTTTTCGTCAATTTATGGATATCTATAATCTATTAGAATTTAGTTTACATTTAGATTTATGTATTATGTTTTATATATTATTTTAAAGAATTAAATTAGAAATAATAATAATTAGGAAAATAAATTATTGAAAATGGAAAAAAATTAGTTAATTCAAAATTTATTCCTAATTAAAAATTAAATTAGTAATTCAAAAGCATTATGCAATTTCTTGATAAATCATAGATTGAGTATAAAGTAAATTATTTCCTTGATAATCAATATGTTGATTTCTATATTTAAATGAGAAATCACATAATATCGATAGATAATTCATTATATGTAACTTATGATATGGTACATAATTGTCTTTATCAAGAAACATTACACTGGTTTTCATTATTTTAATAAATGGATTCTTGAAGGGGCTGCTAAAAAATATGAATTAAAAGTAATTCGGGTTAATGCAAATGAATGGAATTAAATGACAGATGATCAGAGAAGAAAGATTTTGTTAATGTGAAATATTAAAGTTTAAAATATTAAATTTCATTGCTTTTTTAATAAAAATTATCAATTAGAGTAGAATATAAACAATATAATAAAATCATTATAAGAGTATCTTTCATTTTTAATTTTCTTTGATAGTTTTCTATATTCCCTCATTAATTAACGTTATCTTTTCATATTGATAAAATAAACAAATTAAAATTTCATCAATTAGTCCAATTCAAGGTTTCTTTCATTATTAATTTGCTTTTTTTTATATATTTTATATTATTATATATTTTTTGATTGTCTCTTAAATAAATATAATTTAATAAGTAATAAAATTAATTAAATTGATAAAAAGTAAAGTTAAAAACTTGAATAAATTCTAGTATTAAACTATTTTTAATATAATGATGATATACAACTATTTTCATAATTAAATATTAATAAATACATACATAATCAGATTGAAAATGAATGTATTAATTTAAATTAAATAAATACACCACTAATAATTTTTTCAATTTATTTATATTCTAAAATATTCTTATTTAGGAAAGACCTTGGCTATTTTTCATCTGAATTATAGCAATATTTTATTACAAAGGTTTGAATAATAGAAATATAGTAGATTTCATTTTATAAAAGTAATTTAAATCAAAGAGAATTTTATTCTTAATTATGAACAAATCAAATTATTGAAATAATTGGATTTTTTAATAATTATTTTTCTAGAAATTTCTAATAAATATGGCTGAATACATTAGTCTAAATGAAGATGGTGGAATTTAAAAGTTAATTCTTCAAGAAGGTTAAGGAGATTAACCTTAATAAGGAAATGTATGTGAGGTAACAAAAAATATGTATCAAAGATGTTTTATACTGGAAAATTGGAGGATGGAACAGTGTTTGATTCAAATGAAGGAGGAGATCCTTTTAGTTTCACTTTAGGAGAAGGTGAGGTTATTAAAGGATGGGATGTTGGTGTTGCATCAATGAAGAAGGGTGAAAAGGCATAATTAAAAATTAAATCTGATTATGGATATGGTTAATAAGGAAGTCCTCCTAAAATACCAGGTGGAGCTACACTTATTTTTGATGTCTAATTAGTAGATTTTAAAGAAAAAAAGAAGTAGAAATGGTATAAATAATAAAAATATTATTAGGGAAATGAATGATGAAGAAAAAACTAATGAGGCTAAATAATTTAAAGAGTTGGGAACAAATGCATTTAAGGCAAAGAATTATCCTGAGGCTATTAAATAATATCTTGAGGCTGTTAGCTATTTTGATGCAGAAACAGATTTTGCTCATGAATAAAAATTGGCTTCTCATTTAAATCTTAGTCTTTGTTATTATTATACAAAAGATTACAAAGAATCTCTTGAGCATGCATCAAAGGTTATTTAAGATAAACCAAATAATGCTTAATTAGTAAAGGCTTATTATAGAAGAGCAATAGCATATAGTTCTTAGGGTGATTATGTTGAAGCAAAAAGTGACTTGAAGGCAGCTTATGCCATTGATCCAAACAATTAAGCTGTTATTGAGGAAATGCATGAAGTACAAAATAAGATAAATTTATCCAAAAAAAAAGAGAAAGAAATTTATGGAAAATTGTTTTAATAATCTTACTATGAAGAAGATACTACTCCTGTGTCTTTATTAGAAAGTGATCCTAGCAATATAACTACATTTTTTGATATTAAAATTGGAGATGATGAACCAAAAAGAATTGAATTTACATTATTTAAAAAATCTTGTCCTAAAACAGTTGAGAATTTCAGAGCACTTTGTACAGGTGAGAAAGGTAATGGTAAAGAAGGAAAGCCTTTACATTATAAGGGTTGTGAATTTCATAGATTGATTAAAGATTTTATGGTTTAAGGAGGAGATTTTACTTAAGGAAGTATAAATATTTTATATTGTTTAAGATGGTACTGGTGGTGAAAGTATTTATGGAGAGAAATTTGCAGATGAGAATTTTACTCATAAAAATAGTGGAAGAGGATATTTGAGTATGGCTAATGCTGGTCCAAATACAAATGGAAGTCAATTTTTCATTCTATTTAAGGAAGCAGCATGGCTTGATGGTAAATTAATAATTTAAAATTATAGGTAAACATGTTGTTTTTGGTAAAGTGACTAAGGGAATTGAATTACTTGATGTAATTGAGAAAATTGAAACAGAATCAGATAAACCAAAAGTTAGTATTGTTATAGTTGATTGTGGAGAAATAAAACAATGATAATTTAGTGTAAAATAATTATTAATTGTTATAAACAAAAATGGTTTATTATTTAATATATTTTATATCATAATGTATTATTAGTTTTAACTTATCAAAAATTGGATTAATCTTAAAGTAATTATAATTTAATTTTTATTAATTAAAATGAATTTACACTCTAATTAGAGATATGAAAAAATGTAATTTATGCACCATATGTAAAAGAAGATCAGCTATTTCAAAATTATTATAATACAAATTATATTTTTATGTGATGATTCAGTATTAATTAATTTTGATTTCATGATATAAAATGGATTACAAAAGTTTATATTACTATTTGTCTTTAGAAATTAATACTCGATTTAAGATTACGCTTAATTATATATAATAATTTATAATAATGATTCATATCAAGCAACTGTTAAATCATCATTAAAATATAGATGAATTGCTGGTATATACCATTAACTTTCAGGGACTCCTAAATATTCAAATTCATCAGTTTCATCAGGTATTCCATTTGCACTTAATGTTAATTCCATATCTAAAGGTTTTCCCAATCTTTTCCAAGTATAACTGGCAGCATGTGCATTTATCTTTTTATACCTATCAAGAATTTCATTTATAGTTTCTTCAGATGGTACCTTAATTATATATAAAAAATACTTCTATAATATCTTCATGATCTGTTAGCATATTAATAATTTTAACTTTTCTTGTTTTGTGACTCAAATTACCTATACAATATTATTATTCATTGCTCCACCATCTTATAATAATCAATTATAATTTATTACGGTTTTGAATGATTTCCAAGTTCATCATCTCCACAAGGATCAGATGATGGAATATGTAAATATCTACCTTATGGACAATAATAAGTTATCAATCCTGTATTGATATCTACTTATCTATTCAAAATAATCATAAAAATTCGTTACTTTCTTGGTTCTCCTGTTTATTTATCAAACCAATAAGATATATCACTTCCAGCTATTTTGATTAATGGTTCACATAGTTTCAATGAAATATTTTCTTAGACAAGTTATGTAAGATCCCAAACCTTCCCAAAAAAGCTAACCCATAAATCATTGGCTGTATTATGGACTGAAACATCATAAGGAGTATAATAGGCTCTTCTTTTGTAATCTTTAGGCAGATATTGCTTAAGTTATTAGTCCATTTATAATAATAATATTAATTTTCATAACTTTATTAACTTCATCTATAATAATATACAACTTATGGTTATGACTCCAAATCCAATTATTTCAATCCAAAAGATGCTAGTTGTTTTAATATTATTTAATTTCTAAGCTCTAATTATATACATTATTAAAATACCCCTTAAATCCAATATTATTACTTTGTTTATCAAAAACTATGATATATTTTCTCATAACAATATCACCAAATATCATAAGATTCATTTAAGATTCTATTTCAATTCCTATATAACATAATCCTTAATATTAGAAATCTAGTAGCATATAATCATTTATATCTAATTCTAAAATAATTCCTTCCAAATAAAATTTTATTTTTGGATAATTGTCAACCTAATTTCTAGGAATTAAGCAAGGACAAAACACATTGCCATCTAATAACCTGCAATTATTTAAAATCAATTCTTAATATATTGATATTACAACATTCTCAGGTAAGTACAAAAGAGAAGTTCCTGAATCAATTAATGCTTCCTTTATTTTTCCTGATGACATAAAGTTTTCATTTAACTAAATATTTAAGACCTTTACTGTCTATTCTAATTAAATTTAATACCCAATAGTCTTTTCTCAAAACTCTAATCCATTCCACATTATTCATAATTTCGTTAGGAATATCATCGTAGTAAAATAGTGATTAATCATTTATACTTTTCAATTCCATTGCAAAAAGGTTCGATTTTATTTAACCTTATTTATATGCTAAATCAAATATATTGGCAATTTCTTTATCATTACTTAAACCCAATAAACCATCTGATTATACTGCTTCAAATCCAGAATCTTAGTATGTGAATAAAATATTTGTTTATACTCTTGTGTTACTATCTCCCAATAATTAAACATAATCTGAACCCCAAAAACCTTTGCAACCTCCTGATGCATATTCAACTTCATCTGGTTTTGAAAAGTTTTTGTATGTTGATGATTTTGAAGTTTAAAATCTTTTGCTAAGGTGACACTTGAAAATTGAACAATTATCACTAGGAACCCAAAGATATGGGGATCCTGTATCAAATATTACACTTAATTACTAATTTGGTGTTCCAATTTGAATTGGTCCATAATATTACACATTACCATAATTTGATAGTTTAAAAGCATCCATTGATTTCAAAACTTTAAATTTAGAAAGTGGTATCTAAATACATAGAATGGATAGAAGAAAAGTAAAAAAATATAAAATATGCATTAATATTGTTATTAAATAATTACTAATAACATTTATATAATGATATGAATATATTATATAATGGTAAGTTTGTTTCAAAATTATAGCTATATACATTCTTCTTTAAATTCCTCTATTAATTCATTAAAAATTAAATTAGAGATATCCATGAGTACATAAAATTTGAATTCATTATAATTAAGCCAATTCAATTCCTCATTTTAAACCTATCATTGTAAATAAGTCATACTTCTTAGTGAAGATAATCTATCTCAGCTTATTCTAAACTTTTTAAAGGAGCATTCGTTAATGCATTATTTATTTTTGAATCTTAAACATAATGATTTTATTGAAATTGTTGACTAGTCAATAATTATTCATCATTCCATTCTATAGTTTCATGGTAATTCTCTAAATGTTGATATTTAATCTATTCATCAGGAGTTTAAGAAGTAGAAGTATGAGTTTTTAAACGTTTATTCTCAAATTCTTCATTATAATTATTTAATAAAAGAGTTTCATTTTAATTTGATAATTCCTATATAGAGTTTTTATAGACTGAATCTGAAAAGGCTGAAATTGAATAATTAATAAATTGTTAAGAATATGAAATTTGAGAATATTAAGAATACTTCTATTATTGTAAAAATTTAAGTTCTTTTTCAGTTTATATAAAAGTATTATATAATCCTTACCATCCTTTTTCAAAATTGATTTTATTATTTTCAATATCTTCTTATTATTTAGTGACCCATTTTTCTAAAGTTTGATATCTTTCCTCAAAAGTTTTAGGAGATATTAATTTTTATTCAAATTCTTATGTCAAAGCTTAATGTTATGATTTCTATTATTCTTGAACAATTAACTATCTCATTTTTATTAATTCATCCATTTAATTTCTATATAATATTTCATCAAATTATTTTGAAGCAAATTAATGAAATGGTTACTCTTCAAAAATAGATTCATTTTCTAGTTTTATTGAAGATGTAAGTATTTATCTCATTAACTTTTCAGAACACATAGCTTATCTAATTTCACTCATAACCATAGATTCCTATGAAAATTAAGGAACTTATATTTCTAATTTCTTAATTTAAAATTTGCTAAGAGAGCAATCTTAAGAACATTACTATGTGAATAGTTTTAAATCTTTAAGAACTTCATTAATTGTTTTTTCTTAAGTTTGATTCTCTAATTTAGAAATATAATTAAGAAGTTCTTACCACTTCATTTTTTAATACTTAACAAATTTACCAGAAATTTTAGGACTACTTTTATGTTCTTCTTTGTCTACTTTTCCTGATTCTAATTCTAAAATAAAATTAATATCAGTTTAATGAGTTAATTAATTTAAGGTTTGTTCCCTTCCTTATTATATAGATTAACTATCTTTTTCGAATCGAAATTGACTTCTGAATGTTTCTTCATTAAAAATTTCTGGTTACTTATAATAGTATTATTCGAATTACTAATCCAAAATTAATTTTCTAGTCATAAATCCTCTCCAAACTTTCTAAATTTTAGTTGCTGCAGTATGCATTCTATTAAATTTATTTTCGAGAATGCCAAATTCTTTTAATTATATTTTTTCATCTCTATTCAATGAGAATTCTTCAGTTAAAATTAATTATTATTTATTCGAGGTTGGTTAAGAAGGCAATAAATATGGATCTGTATCTGTTAAATATTATACACAACTACTCTCATCAAAAAATGCTGAATATATTTTTGAATATCGAGCTTATAACTTTTTATATTTTTCCAGCAATTCTCCTTCATAACCAGTGAGTTAAGTAGTATTCTCATTTTTAGTTTTTGAACTTGAATTTCTTTAAGTAAATTCTTTTTTTTAAGTTATTGAAGTTATACTCCTTTTTTTACATTTTTATTAAGATAAACTTTCTATAATTTAAAATAGTTTTACTTTTCAAAATATTTCGACTATTTTGCAATTATTTTTTCATATCCTTCTTTCTATTCATTTATTCGTTTTATTTTTACTACTGATGTAATTAATTTTTCTATTTTAAATGTAGTCTTTAATTTTAAGTACTTTACATCTTTTTTGAGTTGTCCTATTAAAAATTGGATAATCCTTAAGTTTTCTATCCTACATACATATAGTGAAGTTATACTTTGAAGAAGCAGTTAAATTTTTTTCTTTGGAATTTTATTTAAAAAATCTAATCCTATTTCCTATCTTCTTTAAATTTCCTTTAACTTTGATTCCTTTCTTACAAAATTATTTTTTTCTTAATTCGTTAATTTGTATATTTTAGAAACCTTACGCTTTTCTACTTAATCTCTCTTCTCAATATGATATGAATCAGTTGGTATTGTTGCTGATGTGCCTCTCTTTTTAACAATTTTATTTGGTGAGATATTGGTTGTCTTACAGATAAGAGAAGTATTAGTTGTTAATGGGTTTCTTTAAGGACTTTTTGATAATCTAAATTTTATATTGAGACATACTTTTTTTATTTCTTTTGTTGCATGATTGGATAATGATAAGTAGGGGATAACGATTTGATTACGTAATATAAATTAATTTGTATTTTTTGAAATAAATTAACAACTTCTATAGTTATTTAATGAAATAATTCTGAATTTGCATTTACATTCTAGCAAACTTATTGAATTATTACTTATACAATACTATATAAAAGTTTAGATAATCAGAATTGTACAACTTTACAAACCAAAAATATAGGATGGATCTAAAAAATATATTGATATAAATTACTAATTGATTTAGAACATATATCTCTTGATCTTCAAGATTATGATCCTTATCAAATAATCTCTAAAATTTTAATGTTGTTCCCTAAGGCTTATTTTAAAGAAATAGTGATTAATACAATAAATGTACAGAAATAATGTTAATCATAATTATTTTAAATATTAAGAATGAAAATAAAATATTTCAACATACAATTTTAATTGGTATAATATATAATTTTAACTGAAATATAAATGATTATGTTTAAATTATATATAAAATAGATATTCAGTTTAAGGTAGGACATATAACATCAATATTACAAAAATCTTTATTCTAAAAATTGTTAAATTTAATACTTAAGTTTTTTATTTATATTATTATTTTTATAATAGTTTATCACTTAATAAAATTTATGAAATTAGTTGTAATTTTATGAATGAAAATGAATAGTATATTATATTTATAGATTACTACAATAATCTTATAATATTAAAGTTTAATTATGAAATTGTTACTAATATTCAAGTTTTAGCAATAAGAATAAATTTTAATAAAAAATACAAAGAAACTTTTAGTTTTTTATAAATTCATTCCTTTATTTATTATAGCACTTATTATTATTCTTCAGTGAAATGCTAGAGATTTTTAAATGATATTTCTAATCCTGGATTAGAACCTATGGAATTTGAAGGTTAAAAATCAGATTCCTTTATTATATCCATTAAGGATTCTTGTTTTTCTTGAGTGAAAACTTAAGCACTTTTAGCTCTACCATGACTTGCTTAAGGAGTTATAGAACAACTGATTAATAGTTTAAAAATCTAATGATTTATTTAAATATTACTCTAACACAATCCATATTTTATTCTCCTATGATATCTTAGACTAAACCTTTTTCTTAATCTAGCAATTTAATAGGATCATTATTTTATTCAAGTAACTAAATGATATGATATATATATACTATTTTCATTTAATAAAATTTTTCATTTCCTAATTTTCGTTTAAGGAAATCAGTTAATAATAAAGATCTATTAGGGGATGTAGGAGTATTTGGATTAAAGAATATATCAACGAAAGTGAATGATTTTTAGTTTTTTAATAGAGTAGGTTAGCTTTCCACTTCTTAATTTCGTTTATTATTATTATCATCAATTTAAGTATTAATAGAAATAGATTTTTAATATTTTAGCTATTTAGAATTGATTTCATTAGATTCTGTTCTTTAAGTGGAAATAGGTGTTTAAGCTTTTTGTTAATCATCAATATAGTCTGGAAGAGTATGTAAATTAGAAACTAATTATTTTCCATTTAATTTAAAATGTGGACTATTTTAATCAACAATATCTGTTTTATAGACTTAATAAGGAGTATTAAGTTTAGATTGACTTCTTCTTGAACAAATTGGTGATTAACCTTGTTATTATTTTGATTTTTCAACTAAAAAGTGTATAGAATTCTGTTGCATTCTGTTACTCTTTTTACTGGATGAGAATCCATTATTCTAATATTTTATATTAGTAGATTGATAGATTTGAGATAATTTTTATATTTCTATTTGAATTTATGGAAATGACAGTATTTTTGAAATTTCTGGCCTTTTTTCTGGTTGTTTCTGTAACATTTCATCTATAAGATTTGATAGAAATTCTGAATAGTGATCAGAGATTTTTGTATGTTATTCATTAATAATTTTAGTGGCCAAAGCCTTTATTTAATATTAATTATATTACATTGATTGATTCAGCAGTAAATGGTTTATGTAATGTACATAATTCATAAATGGCACATCCTAACATCCATATATCAATTTTATGATTATATTACTAATTCTAACATAATTCAGGAGATAAATAAAATGGTGTACCTAAATTATTCGTTTTCTTATAATTAATACCTATTGAGGTTTATGCTAATTCAGATGTGTTTTCTAATGTTCTAGAGATACCAAAATCACCCAATTTCACCTATTATATTTAAATTATCTTACAATTCCATCACTACAAAGGAATATATTTTGTACTTTGATGTCTCTATGAAGTATCTTTTGAGAATGGAGATAATTGAGCGCTACTGCCAATTAGGTTAACCATGCAAGAATCTATAATAATGCATAAATGAAATACAGAACTGTAGATTCTTGAATGAATTGATTATTATGTTTAGCCTCCTTTATTTTTAAACTGAGATCAGCTTAGATTATTTTTTCAAATGTTTACCATTCTCGGCATATTCCATTAGAATACATAGTTTATTATTGTGTACAAATGAATCATAGTGTTTAATGATGTTCTAATGGTCTAACGATTTGAGAACCTTAACTTCATTGAGAGGGTCAACCACAAAGCTTTCTCTCATACTTAAATCCACTCTTTTAAGTGCAAATTGCTGTAAATACAAAGATTTAACATACTTTTCCATCACTTTTTCTTGACACCAAAAGAACATCACCAAAATTACCTTTACCAATTTTTCGAATTCTCTCAAAATGATCCATAATTCGTTAGATAAAATATTAAATAAAAACATCTCATTTATTTTAGTTTAATATTCATAATAGGAGTAATTTGACTGATTTAAGTGAGGAATTACTTCATATCTGATAAAACATTTCAATATTTTTAATGATAACTAGTCAATATTGGAGATTCAAAAAATATTTAATTTTTGAATAAATTCTTTCTAAGTTAAATATCATTGTAGAGCATATTGATATTTAATTAATATTGTTGATAATTTTAATATCATAAGGAGAGAATTTAATTTTATAACATAAATGATCACTATAGGCTTTTTTTATAATAACATAAATTTTAGATAGAAAAACAATCAAATAATATTAGGTCTTATTTAATATATCAGATATATTCCATTAACCGATTAGAAATCAATATTATACGAAATTTTTGAGACAAAAATTTAATTAAATTCATTTATGTTAAGACATCGAAGAAAATACTCTATTCACCATTTGTATTTAAGCTTTTCTTTATAAAAATGGTTTTCCTTTTTTTGGTTATGGAGGTTAACTTCCTGATGTACAAGTAGATTTTTGAGAATGACGAGAGTCTGTGATAAAAGGATTTTGGAGTATTTTAATACTATCTCTACCTCTTAGTATAGTTGTGGAATGCTAACTTATTGATTTTTAATCTGAAACTTTAGAGAGTAGGTATTTTTACTGTATCTTAAGAGGTGGGACTTTTGGATTAGGTTTTGAGTCTGAATTTGCTTTTTTTAATGATATTTAATGGAATATATTTTGTAAATTGTTATGAATAAGGTTTGTTTGGCTATTTCTTCTTTGACATTACTTGAATAATGATTTTTATTAGTATGAGTCGTCTTTTCTACTAAAAGTAGGAATTTCGAGATCAGGTGAACAAATAACTTCATAAGTGCATTTCAATTTTGGAATCTTGAGTTTAGGGTTATGAAAAAATGAAGCTGTCTAATCAAGATTGTCTTGCATTATTTATTAATAAAATTAAAAAAAAAGATGTATATATATTTTAATTAAATAATCACAAATTTTTAATTATTTCAAATAGAAATTCAATAACAATAAATAACTTTTATAAATAGAACTCATTTAAATAATCATTCTAATTTAGGTATTTTGTTTTTACCAACATTTTATTCTTCTTCATCATCATAATATGCCATTCTCATTTATTTAGCTTAAATACTTGTCATTCCTGAAATAACAGATTCACATTCACTTCTTAAAGGAGTGGCAGCAATTGATGATATTTATTATCTTAATGGTGTTTATATTCTACTTGGTCTAAATCCCAAAGTAGCTGTACGTTCACTAATTAATCTTCTCTCTCTATCTTCTTTTTCTCTTCTTCTTAAACATTCTTCACTTTTCATTTCATGTTCTCTTTTAGCTTTTTCAATAGATAATTCAATTTCTCTTTTACTTTTTTTTTCACTTTCAATACGAGATGCTCTAGTTTCACCATCTTCTTTAATACTAAAAAACATGGGACCCATTTCAGCTAACCATTAAGGATCAACAGCACTTACACAATGCATATATTCTTTAGATGTCATTACCAATTCATGATAAACAACATAATCTGGAGCATAACCTAAAGAATATAAAGCACTTGAAGGATGTAATTTACATGGCATACCTGTACGTAAATTTATATAATCTCCAACTCCTTTAATTTTAGCTGCATTCTAAAAATATGCTGAACAAATAGCCTTTCTAACAACATCATATGAGAAATTACAAGTACTCATTTTTAATCCTAATTTACCAGCAATATCTTTTAATTAAGCCCTTACTTCTCTTACTTTTCTCATACTTTTTGCTTAAACAAAATGATCATTACACCATTCAGGTGAAAATTCATGTCTTTTCCATTATTCAAATACATTTAACATTGTTAAATGATCACTTTCTCCAACAAATAACTTCTCTCTAGCAGCATCACTTTCTGCTTCTCTATCTTTTGGTCTATAAAATATTCCTGGTACACTTAACATACTAACAACTGTTAGTATTTCTTCAGTGCATCCTAATTAATCTCCTTTTATTAACATTTTTGACAATGGTGGATCTAATGGGAACTCACTCATTTTTCTACCAAGTTCTGTTAATTCCCCTACATTATCCAATGCTCCTAAGACCCACAATTAATACATAGCATTTAAAATTGTATCTTAAGGAGGAGGATCCATAAAATCAAAATCTAAAAGATTATTAATATTTAATGATTTCAATAATAACACTACATTAGCTAAATTAGTTCTTTATATTTCAGGAATATTATTTTCTAACATATCTTATCTATAATTTAATGAAGAATACAATCTAAAACAAATACCAGGTCCAGTACGACCAGCTCTACCCTTTCTTTAATCTGCATTAGCTTATGATATTGGAGTAACTTATAATGCATCCATACCAATTCTAGGATTATACACTTTCATTTTACAATATCCAGTATCAATCACATATTTTACACCATCCAAAGTTAGAGATGTTTCTGCTATATTTGTTGCCACTATACATTTTCTAAATTCACTTTTTTCAAAGATCCTTGCTTATTCTTCTGATCTTAATTAAGAATAAATTGGTAAAATTAAAAGAGGAGGAGTTGCTTCACTTAATTTATTGAGTTCTTCAGCTAACAAATAACAAGTAGTTTCAATATCTTCTTATCCTGTCATAAATATTAAAACATCTCCAGGAGGTTATTGAATATGAACTTCAATAGTTTTCTTAATTGCACTTCTAACATAATCTTAGGCAGGTGCTTTTTCGAATCTGACATCAACTGGGAAAGTTCTACCTGGTATTTTATAGATAGGTACTCCACCAAAGAAATCACTGAATTTTTTAGCATTCATAGTTGCAGATGTAATAATAATTCTAATATCTCTTCTTCTTTATGCTACTTTTTTAAGAATACCAAATAAAACATCTGTATTTAAAGATCTTTCATGTGCTTCATCCATAATGACAGCAGAATATTTTTCAAGATCAGGATCTTAAAGAGATTCTCTTAATAAAACACCATCTGTCATATATTTAATGACTGTATCTTTACTAGTATAATCTTCAAAACGAATGGCATAACCTACTTTACTACCTAATTCTACTCCCATTTCTTCAGCTACTCTTTTTGCTACTGATACTGCTGCAACTCTTCTTGGTTAAGTACATCCAATTACACCAGTATTAGTATAACCTTCTTCATATAAATATTATGTCAATTAAGTAGTCTTACCTGATCCAGTTTCTCCTACAATAATCGAAACTCTATTATCATGTAATAATTAAACTAATTCAGATCTACAATGAAATACTGGTAAGTATTCTCTTTGTTCTTTGATTGTTTTATTTCTAGCAAAATCACTTTAACCTTATGTAACTCTTTAAAGAGCTGTTTAATATCTAGAAGAAGCTTTGAAATCATAATCTCCATCTTCATTTAATAAATGTCTATCTGGATCTTATTCTTTTTTTCTATCTAGATTCATAACCTTTCCCATTTTGGATCCACTTAATTCCCAAAATCTCTCTCTCATTTTAGTTTTATCTTATTTCTCTCTCATTAACATTAAAACTTCTGAACCTTACTTTGCTAACTTAGCCATATCTGAATTAGGATCTTTGACAATTTATACTTATGTCAATTAAGTAGTATAAACAACTTTTCCATCCAAAAAAGGTGGTTTGATATCATGTACATGTATTACAACTCTTTTTTCATTTTCTTCTTCATAAAAATCCCAAGCATCTGCTTTTCTTTTGAATACATCTGATGCAATCATACGATTAAGTTCCCATCTATTTTATTCTTAATTTTTTTCTGATTATCTTACTGTTTAACCTTTACGTTTACTATATTCTTCAAATTTAAATTCTTCTTTTTAACCTTTAAATACTTCACCTCCCCAATCTTATTAAGAAGCATTACCAATATCATCTTCATCATAATCATACCATTTTCTATCTGATTCTTATTCTATATTTTCCCATTCAAATGCTGTATATTCATTAAGTAATTTATTGCGTTTCCTTTCTTCTTCCAATTTCTCTGAACGAGCAGGTGGCTTCTTAAACCCATCTGCATCTTCTTCAAATTAAGGTTGAGCATTTTTCTGCACACTTGAATTTTCTGTACCTTTGAACAACATAGGTCCAGATGGGACTTTAAATTAACTGCTAACTGAAGATGAACTTCTATAAAGAGATTCCCTATAAAAAGGAGCCTATCTACCTTTACTATCATCTCTAGAACGACTCTCTCTTTCCATTCTTCTACTTTCAATTAAATTTTTTTTATTATTTCATTATAATCCTCAGAAATAAAGAATTAAGCATATAGATTATTAAATTAAAATAAATATAAAATATGGAAGAGAGTTTCACAAGTAATCCAGATAATCCTGAAAATTCACATAACACTAAAGAATTATCTAATAGCAGTCAAGCCTTCTTTAATTTCATAAAGAGTCTAGTGGGAATAGCAATTTTGGATTTACCTTATTCTGCAAATGAATGTGGTTATGGTTTGGCTAGTATATTACTTTTGATTTTATCTTATGGGACAATAAGAACTAGTTTAATGTTGATAAAAGTGGCTGAAGAATCAGATATTCATTATTATTCTAAAATTGTAAAGGAATATATGGGACCAATCTCAGCTTCAATTTTAGATATATTTTTATCAGGTTAGTAAGTATATATATCAAATGTTATTTTAGTTGTTTGCTTGTATTGCATATATAATATTTTTTCAACAGATGTGCTAATTAGCACTTTCTAATCTTCCAAATTACGTTAGTATAATAATATCTTTGTTGGTGATCATTCCATTGTCATTAATCAGAGATTTACATTTCTTCCATAATACTAGTACAGCTGGATTTTTTATTGCAGTTTTTGTATTGGTAGCAATTTCAGGAATTTCAATATCTTAATTTGGAAATGCTTAGGATGTTGTGGCATTTAATGCATCAGGAATGTTTAAGTTTATAGGTGTTGCTATGTTTGCATATGAAGGAATATGTACAACACTTCCTGTAAGATATTCAATGAAAGATTAAAAGAAGTTTCCGTTTGTATTTTTAAGCAGTTCATTAACATGTTTATTTATGTACATTACTTTCATAATAATTAATTGTATAGCTTTGGGTTCAAAATTACAATAAATTATTGTTTTTAATTTACCCAGTGATAAAATATGGGCATTTGCTTTGTAATTTTTATATGCCATATCAATTTTATTCACATATCCAGTTTAAATATATCCTGCATTTACAATAATTGAAAATAGATTAAAAATAAGAGACACTAAGATTATATGGATTGTTGAAAGACTTATAGTTACAACCATTTTATATGTGATAGCATATGTCATTCCAAGTTTTAATACATTTCTTAATTTAATCGGAATGGTGTTTGGTACATTCTTACAATTTATTTATCCTATAACTTTATATTTATTATATTTCAGATCCAATCTGAGTATTTTTTAATGGATTGAAGCTTCAATTGTAATGTTTATGGGTGTAGGTGCTGGAGTTCTTGGTTTATACTTTTCAATAGATGATTTAGTAAAATAAAATAAATGATTACAAATATAATAAAATTATTATGTATAATAATTATATGAACCCTCGAATGACACTCAATAATAGAGGATAACAACCTCAATAGCCAAATGGTCTTAGAAATGATTATTAAAGTGTTGTTTAAGTAAATAGTGTAAACATTATATAAAGGGTATCTAATCTTTAATGGGAATCTCATTTTCAGCTATTTAATTATGTTTATTTGGTTCAATGCTGATTGAGAAAACAAAAAAGTTATTGGAATTTATTAAATCTGGAGCTGTTACTTCAATAAATAAACTATTAACATTGCTTAGAATCAAATAATTTCTTAAAGGGGAATTGACTATGACATAGATAGGTAAATCAATAGTAAACACTAGTACTCAAGTTGGTAAGTAATGGATAATTGCTTTACGATTGCTTTTGTTAGTTGGTATTCTTAAATTAAATATGCAGTCATTCTATTGATTGGTGCGTTGTTAGCACATATGAAGAGAAAAATCAAAGAAAAATAAGAAATTGAAGTTGCACAAAAGTAAGCAGATATTGAAGAAGCAGAATAATAATAATAATTAGATAATCAACTTGACACATCTCAATTACCAATATAATAGAATGATTTCTGGAATCATATTGAAGAAAATATATCCAATTAAGAATTATAACCATAATAATAACAATAACAATAATCAAACCCTATCCCTACATTTAATTATCTTAATGATCTCCCAGGATTCTCCAATAATGGTAATCCAAGTAAACCATGGATGAAATGATCAATTTTATTATTTTAATATATATATATATATTTAATATCATAAATCCTAATAAACATGCAAACACTATTAAAATTATTTACAAAACCTCGAATTCCAATAATTCGCTTAAGTGGAGTCATAAAATAATAATCTGGAGATAAAATATAAGATTAATTGGATAAAATCAAATCTAAAAATTTATGTGCTTTAGCTATCTTAATTAATTCTCCAGGAGGCTTACCAGTTTAAAGTGACATTATTTGTCAAAAATTAAACTTATTCAAATAAAAGCATAACATACCTATTTATACATTTGCTGAAGATGTAGCTGCATCTGGAGGCTATTTTGTACTTTGTATTGGTGATAAAGTATTTGCTGATCAAAGTTCATTAATTGGAAGTGTTGGAGTGATTAGTTAATGGCATGGAATTAAAAAAGCATTAGAAAAATTAGGAATTGAAGCAAAATTCTTAACTTCCAATGATTAAATACATGAAGTAGTAAATAGTGCATTTTCAGATTTTAATTAAGAAGGTGCTACTTAATGGGTAGATAAATTGGAATTTACACATTAAATGTTTATTAATCATGTTAAATCTTACAGAAAGAATATAGTTGATTAAAATGTATTTAAGGCTGAAGTATATAATGGAGAATAAGCAAAATAATTAGGATTAATAGATGATTTTGGTAATTACGAAGAAATACTTAATAAACTACATCCAGGATGTAAATTTGAATATGTCTCATTTCCAACAAAAATGGAAGAACTTAAATAATTAAATAAAGCTTGAGTTTATTATTAATAATAATTTTAATAATATATATATATATTTATTTATCTTAAGATTTTCTTAATTTCTCTACAATTATTAGGTAATTTTTTCATGAAATTTATGATTAAATTAAAAGTGAATCAAACTAATATTCTTTTTTTATTCTCTTTTTTTTTAAATTAAAATATAAAACAAATTGATTTACAAGATGAGGATGAAATAAGAATTTTAGATATATATATATACTTATAGAGTATTTTTATTTAAGTCAAATAAGACATAAGAATGATATTTAGAAATATTACATTAAAATAAGTTTAATATAATTGGAGTATTGAGTATTATCATTTATAATATAATTAATTCTATTTAAAATTACATTTATCTTAATTTATATATGTACTTCTAAATTATTAGAGATTATAAATGAAGATAAAAATGTTCTTCATAAATTGAATGAATTTGGATAATGAAAATTAATGTAATTAAGAAATTCTATTTAACTTAAATTTTAGTAAATTTATGATTGGAAAATATAAAATATGTGAACCAATTGGTTAAGGCTATTCATGCAAAGTTTATAGAGCATAATCATAGGAAAATAATTAATTTTATGCTATAAAAGTGATAAATCATTAATAAATGAGTGAACCTTAAATCAAATTACTTGGAACTGAAATAGAAATTTTGTAAACTTTAAACTGTTAAAACATCATCAAATTGTTTGATATTATAAAGAATACTTCATATACATTCATCATAACTGAATTATGTTAATATGGGAGTTTAGAAGGTAAATTATATAAAATACTTCATAGATCAAATGAATAAAAATAAATAGTTTAATGAAGTGCAAGCATTAAATTTTTTGAATTAAATGTGTAATGCCTTATTGACATTAAAGAAATAAAGTAATAGAAACTACTTATTTAGAAATAATACATAATGATATTAAACCATCTAATATCTTTATTTCATAGAATTGTTTCAAATTAGCTGATTTTGGTTTTGCAATAAAAGAAAATTCAAATTATCAATTTAATTTCGGAAGTCCTTTGTACATGTCACCAGAGACATTAACAAATAATTAACATACTTATTAATCAGATATTTGGTCACTTGGAATTACACTATATTAATTAATTCATGGTTATACTCCATTTAAAGCTTAAAATGAAAAGGAACTTCTATTATGTTATCTAAATAATCCTATTTAATTTAATAAGGAAATCAGTCCTAAATTGCAAGCAATAATATCAAATATGTTAACAATAGATCCTTAAAAAAGAATAACAATTGAAAAATTATAGATATTAATTGTTGAAAAAGAGAATAATATGACATCATCATTTCATTAAAGAACTAAATCTTTATCTTATGATAAATAACCATTCTAATTTAAGGAATAGACATTGAATATTTGTTTATTTGTAAAATCAGTGAGATAAGAAATCTAAGATAATGAATTGTTAACATATGCCCTTACTGGATTAATATTGTATTATACAAAATAAGAGCAAGGTAAATAATAAAGATGTTCTAGAAAATGAATACAATTAGATAACCGTGATTGTATAGTAGTAGAAACAGCCAAATATATTTTAGATGGTAAAAAGTGATCTATTGAAATTCTGTATGTCCTAGTTGATACTCAGCATTAATTTACTTTCAGATTAGCTGAAATAATTAAATCCAGTATATATATAATCTATTATATAATCAGAATTTCTATCATGTTTAAAAAAGTAATGTCAGATTATTGGTTAATTTATATAATTTATATATGTTTTTAAGATCTGGTGAATAGAATAGATAATTAGTACTTGCAAGTTAAAATATTACATTTTAAGAAGCCTAATAATTATTAAGTTAAATAAATATTTGATTATATAAGTTATTATTATTATGTTAACAATATTATTTAATATCAACTTTTTACTTTAATTTAGTGATTTATCAACTTAAATATATTTTTAATATATTATTATAATAAACTCTCATAATTTTTATAAATATAAAATATTATGACTTTAATTATAATTATTATTATTAATCAACAACCAAGATATAATGATGAGATACGTAGTGACAATAAATGATTATGAAACTAGAAATGATGTGATATATTATATCATTTACCTTAATTGTTAAAATGCCTTTAAAACACTATATAAGAGATACTCTGATTTAAAAGCATTAAATGACTAACTATAATAGAAAAATAATGAATTCAAGTTAAAATTATTACTTCCAAGATTTCCAAAAAAGAAAATGTTTGGGAGAACTAAAAATTCTCAAAGTGACATTAAGACTAGAGTAATTAAATTCTTAAATTCTTAGGGTTTAGAATTACAGTAATATTTAGAAACCATTCTCAATATTCCATCCATATGGTCATTTCAATTTTTGAGAGAATATTTACCTAAAGTATAATAAATAGATGAAACTTGTCGATTAGAATAAATTAATACTGAATATTCTAAGGATTTATGTTGGTTGCAAATGGATGAATTGAAAAAATCATTTCTTCAAAGACAAGATCTTTTCCAATCAAACAAGAAAAATAATTAGAAAGGAAATAAAACTTCAGGGTATTATTAGAGATATCATTTTACAATAAATGAATTTATCATTTAGAATGATCATGTTTAATATCTCATCATTTTAACAGATACTAAAAAGACAACTAAATATTAATTTGAAATGAGATATAGCAACCTTAGAGATTGCCATTTATTATTAGAAAAATAATAATTTAAAAATTGTCTCCCTTAATTTCCTAAAAGGAGATTGATAGGATAGACAATTCATAATCCATAATAAATATAAGATAGACAAGATTAATTATAAAGATATTTAAATTAGATATTTAGTGTTTAAGAATTTGTTGAAAGTGAACCATTGGTGTATTTTATTACAAGAATTAAATTAGAAGGCAAATCTATTAGATAAGGTTAAGCAGAAAGAGTAAGTTAATTTTCATAATAAGTGAATGGATCTTCATTTAATGTTAGTTAAGGAATGGAAGAACTTCGAGAATAGAAATCAATTTGATGGGCATGAATCTAAAAAAATATTGTTTATGTTAATTTTTTCTATAGATCTCTTATTTAAATAAAAAGAATCTATAATCTTAGAGATTTATATAATAATAAACAATTTCTTGATATTAAGATATAATAGTTATAATTAATTATAAAATTTATCATTAATCAAATGAAACCTTGGAATAAAAATAGAGCTAATTCTTTATTGTTAAAAGACTCAGTTGGAGCTGCTAAGCAATCAATATACACTATTCCTAATGATATTTATTTTGGTAAAGCAATTATTCATGATCTTGAAGGGGCATAATAAGGTAATATATTATTTCAAAATAGTAACATCAACTTGGTATTATCATAATCATAGTGAATAAAATCCTCCTGATAGAGATTTTATGAAATTGAATAAAATGTGTATTTCAAGTAAATTGCATGATCAGAAATAATTTTATCTGTTCAGAAAAAGTAACGATGCAAAAGTGTTTAGAAGAAGAGGTTGCAGTTAAATTGAAATGAATCTACCTGATGAAAACTTTCGGTATGGAAAACCCTATTTACCTTAATCTCCTATGAAAAATGTGTTAAGTGGCAGTTATATGAATGAAGCTGAATAATTAATGGATAAAAAATATGATGCAATATCAAAATATAAACAATAATAAAATAAAAGACCTTCAACAGCAACTAAACATACTAAAGCGAGTAAATTAGCTTACTAAAGCTTAACTAAATCTTTAAACAAAACACAGTAACCATAATTCAAACTGAAAGAATTTGATAAAGTAGAACCTAAAACTAAAACAAGATTTTGATTTATAATATTTAAAATAATTTATGGAATAAAAACAAAAAGAAATAATTTAATTTTCTATTCTTTTGATTCAGATATATAATAGAATAGATCTATTAATTCAATTAACTTAATAAAGACATATATCAATATTAGATGAATCTACTTTACTATTAATAATTATAATATCTAGAAGATTAAAGAGGAAGAACCATATCAACAATAAAGCAAAAAAAATAGAGGAATTATAACAAGTTATTTGATTTTTTTTAATAAATTGCTAACTAATATCAATAAAGAGTAATTTTAGCAACTTAAATAGAAAACTTAATATAAAAGAAATGGAAGATAATTATATAATATTGATTAAGCAAGAAAATTATTTAATAATAAGATACTCAAATTAAACTTAATAGGATTTTTTCATTTATCATACAATGTAATGATAAAAAAGAGCAAAAAGGATTTTGAAATTTTTATTTGTAATACAATGTTTGATTTAAATAATGCATTTAATTAGTCAATATACTTAAACTTAGGATATTTTAGTATCAAACAATTTAGGAGGATCAACCAAGATTATTCATATTCTTAAATTAAAACAAATAAATATATAGGGTATTAGAAGTCATAAAATAAATAATTATTACTGGAATCTTAATTGATATAAGAATAATAACAATTATTGAATGTGATAAAGAGGTTTGCAAATATAAAAGTAATCATAATAAACCTAAAAAACAAATAAATAATTACAAATAATGAAGCTATCTTAAATTTCATTATAGAAGTTTGATAATTCTATAAATTTTGTGTTAATATCAAAATATTATGATTAAAATTAGAATATAAAGGTTTTATTAAACTAAACCTCAAAGTAATAAATGATATATATATATTTTAATATTAAATTTAAAATTTGAATGATGTAAGAACTTTTGGCTTAAAAAATTGCATAATTATCTGAAAAAGCAGCAGATAATGTTGATTTCACAAAAACAGGTATCATAAATTCTATGTTTTAGAGGAAGTTTATAAAGAATTAATAAAAAATTTGAATGAAGATCTCTCTATTGAATAATTAAAATAATTAGGAAATCAATTTGTATATAATAGAATAATTAGTTTAGCTTGACTTTTTATAAGTATTGTAATAAGATGAATTTATTTGCAGAAAAAGAGCAAAGGAAGAAACATAAGATAAAGATTAATTATTACATAAGGAATATCCACAATTATAAGATAAATTATAAAAATTAAAACAAAATTGTTAAGAAATAGATTTTAATGCTAAAAAAGTAAATGAGACTCTTAAAAAATTACCAGAAATAGAAGAAGCTAATAGAAAATCAATGAAAGATAAATTTTATGAAGATGTAAAGGATGTAAAAGATAAGATTCAATAAGAAGAATAAGATGCTCAAAAATTTGCAGAAGAAAATTTAAAGTATTTATGTTTTCTTATTTAATAGAATTCGTGAAGAAATGCAAGCCTTGATTGCATAATATGAATAAAAGGAAAAGGATTTTTGGGAGAAAGTTAAATAGAATGAAGAGGAATAAAAAAATGATACCAAGAAGTATATGGAATAATTTGAAAAAATGCAGGGTGATGCTTAAAAGGCAATGCAAGAAAAATAATTAATTTAAGATGCATAAAAATAGTTAAATGATAAAAAAATGAAATTATAAGTATACAAAGGAAAATAAAATGAATTTGTTGAGACATTTGAGAAATCAACAAGTACCTTCTAAAATTTAACTGGGGAATTCTTAAAATTAGCTTTTAAAGCCAAAGAAGATGAAGAAAAAAGTATTTTAAATTAATAGAGAGCTGATAAAGCTAATTTATTAACAGTAGAAATAGCATAAAAAGTAATATTTATAATTATATTTTAAAGAATGCAGATTTAAAATTATAAATAGAAAATATTGAAAAAGAAAAAGATAAATTAAGAGCAGAAATCTTAGAACTTAATAATCAAAAAAAATTATAAACCCAAAATTAATAGTAATAAAAAACTAATGGTGAAAATTGATTTATATTTGGGCATTCAACATAAAATAGTCATTCTTATCTTTATTATAAAATTATTAAAATATTCTTTAAATGGAAAAATAATTAGAATTTATTTAATTGATATCAGGATTACATTTTTGTTAAATTATGGATGAATTCTATTGTTATATTATCTTAGTTGATAGTAGTATAAATAAATTAATATATCCATCCTTCTTAACTATATTATTTTATTTAATTAGTCTTTCTCCTATTTAAAAATTAGTTATTTATTATATTCATTTGATTATTGATTTAATTCAATAATAAATATACAATAAAACTATTGAAAATTAAAATTTCTCATTTTTTCTTTATTGAATTGTATAAATAATATAAATGAGAATAATTTGTTAAATAAATATTTTTAATGGAAATTGAATACGAACAAAACATTGTACAACAATCACAGGATCTTCATAAAAATACCTCAGTAATACTTAGTATTATATCTTTAGTATTATAATTCTGGATTACCTTTATCTGAAGATGCAAAAAGAATATTGAATACTCAATAATTGATTACATCTGGAGGCTCTCCTTAATTAATTCAAGAAAGAATTAAAAGTCCAGAAAAACAAGTAAAAAGTATAATAAAATATAAATTTATGAATGATGGAATGTGGATGAAGTAATTTTCCATTTAATGTTCTAGAATATTAATAGATAGAAATGATTATCCAGAAATCATAGACACACCTATTATAGCAATGAATGCATAATTTTAAAATGATGGATTTGAATTTACAATTAATGTGAATGAATTAGTTGAATATGCATTGAAAATTCCTAGAACTAGAGAGAAAATAGTACCTGAGAAATCAAAAATATATGAAAGAAAAAATTATATCTACATAGCTTTATATAAAGAAAAAGAAGGTGACTGGTGGTCATTGAAATACTGACAATATTACAGTGATTAATTTTTAATCTAGAATTTTTATTGTTTTTTTATTATTGATTATTACTTTAATAAATAAAAGAATCGTGGTCATCTGGTGACTCATAAAAATTAATAAGTTCATTATAAAGTTAGGACTACATTAAGATTATACTCTTCCATATATTTTTATCCAATTCTCAAACACATCTATTAGTCAAATTAAATTTAGTAATAGTTAATTTTGAGCATAATCACATTTGAATTAATTTCAATATTAAAGACCATTATTTGATTATTTAAAAATACCTTATATTCTTAATGCAAAAAAGTGAACTTTATAATCATATTCCAAATCCTTAATTACTATTATACATGAAAATTATTCAAATACAATTTACAGTTATTCTAAAAAAAGATACTTTATATTTATGGGAATTTGTATGTTTAATTAATGTAAAGATTAAATATATATTTGTAAATAATAATATTACAAATAAGCTTATTTATTTAATTTAGGATTCAATTTATTCATGAATTTCAGATTGACTCAGAAAATATAAATTAAAATAATTAACATATAAATGTGTTTCTCTAATGATTTAATGGAGAATATAAATAAAACTAGAATAATATATCAAATATTCATTATATTTAAATAACTTAAATAGGTTTTTTAATTTTAGTATTTAGTATTTCAATTTTTGATTGAAATATTTAGAGATTCAATTATTTAATATTAAAAATGTAAGTGTTTTTTAATTAAGTTTATACTCTTTTATTGAAATTCTATCTAAATAAATTCTTAGATTTATGTAATAATTTTAAATGTTTAACATTCTCTATTAAAATTTTTAAAGAATGCATAAAGATAAAATTAAATTGCTTATAATACTAAATTTTATTGGATTTTATTACTAATTAAACACAAAACCTTTTAATTTTTTAGAATTCATGAAAAGATGAGATATAAAAATAATTATAATTAATGGTATTTTAATATTGTGTAGCGTGTGGAAGGAAATCAGAAGGATTGGTGAAATTGCTTCCTCATTTCAAATCCTCCAAGGAATACGAGTATATCCATAAAAAGTGCCTATTATTTTACAAATCTAAATGGAATCATAGATTGGCAGTCAATAAAAAATTATTTTACAAGGATTACTTGAAGCATTGTTCAATTTGTGGAAAAAAAAACTATAAATAAGTTGTTCATTGTTCATATAGGTATAATTAGAATGTGTAATTCGTAAAAGTTTATGTAAAAAGAGCTTTCATTTTGATTGTGTAGACAACCCTAAAATATCTAAGACTGAAGAGAAGAGTCACCGTCCTCCTAAGTTATTGATATTTTGCTCATAGCATGATTCAATAGAAAATGTTGTTACTGATTTAGATGAAACAGTGAATTCCCTATATAACTCTTATATAGTTTAGAAGCAATAAGAAGAAGAACCTCATTCACATCATAAATCTAAACATAAAAAGAAGCATAAAAAGAAGTATTCCCACACAAGATCTCGTTCCCTTAGAAAAAAATCAAGAACTTCAAGCAAAAATTTAAAATTTAGTGATGGAGAAGATTCCGAATCAAAAAAATCCATTTCTTATATTATCTAACCAAAATAGCCCTATACAAATCTTTTAGTGATTCAAAATAATATTATAACTCTTGATTTAATGGATCAAGCTTTTTCTAATAAATTATAGAATAAAGTATAGACAGAAATAGTTACTAAAACACCACCATTAACATTAAATTGTTAATTTTAATAATAAATTCATCATTAAGAATAACTTTTAAAGTCATAACCATTATCTTAACAATAACCGCCATAACTATAAATTGAGAATCATAAAAATGACTATATAAGATAATAAATTTTCCCTTAGATCACTAAAATTACATTAGAAGATCCAGAATTTCCGATGTAAGAGAGAGAAACAAAAAGAGATTAATCTATAGCAAAATGGTGGGAAAAGATTGATGATGTTTTTTTTAAGGGAGAAGTAAACATGCCCTTAACAAAATTAGAAGAATTAGAAAATTTATTTTAATGGCATAATTAAGTTTTAGATTAAAATCTTTTAGATATATCAGATGCGAGTAATTTTGGTAATGCTTTGATTTATGGTTAGAGCCAATAATTTAGTTAAGATATCTATATAGAGACTCCATGAATGTTGTATTTCGAATTTCACAATCTTCCTATTAGTACACTAATTGTAAAACAATCTTTTAGATTCATACGATATTATTTCACTGATTATATTGGTCGAACCAATACCAAAGGATAGATCCTAACAAATCTAAGACTTTATAGATATCCATAAGAAAGTGTCCATTTAATAAAGAATTTATAAATATCTGAGAAAGAAGTACAAATATTAATTTGCTAAAAAGGAGCCAGTAGGAAAAAGTCTTGTTTTTCAAGAATCCTGTGAATTAAGTTAAGAGGATTTTGATAAATGTATAAAATTAGAAGAAAAAATTAAAGTTTAGTAATAACTTTTAGAGTAAAATCTTGATATAGAAAATGAGACATTGGAATAATTGGATATTGTATATCATACATTAAAAGAGGATTTAAATGAAATTGTTCTGTAAAATAATTTAATGAGGGAAAATATCAATAATTAAATTATAGCTATCTAAGATTATGAAGACTTAACAAAATTAAAAAAAAAGTAATAATTGATGATGGATTTATTAAAATGGTCATAAATAGTAAAAGCTTTTATTAATGGATATAAAGAAAAATAAAAAGATGTTTTAAATACATTTTATCCTTGTTTAAATTTGGATTCTCAATCCTCTTAAAAAGCTTAGTTAAAAAAGAAAAAAATACATTCAAAAGAAAATACAAAACCACTTGAAACTGATTGTAAAATATGCTTTGATTATCATTATACCGATTTTAATCCAGTTATTTATTGTGGAAGATGTTCAACATCATTTCATAAAATTTGTTATTGTTTTTTAGGAAATCTTGATGAATAAGATGTCCTTTGTGATGCATGTTAATTTGAATAAAATTAATTAGGAACTACTAAAAGAAGTAAAATATTGTTTTATTTTAGATTAAGCAAAATGCAGAATTTGTAAAAAATTAGGACTTCCATAAAAATACATTGATAATCAATTTTATCATGTTTCCTGTTTATTGCTTACAAATTTAGTCATTATAAAAAAAGGTGTTTTTGAAGTAAAAAGTAGTAAAAATGATATTAAATAATTCTGTAAAGATAATGAAACAAGTACACCATAATGTGCTATATGTGGTGATGTAAAAGGTATTATTTTATTATATCATAATAGGATTTCGATTTACATGTTTTGGAAATGAGACAATCCCTTGTCGTCATGCATTCCATCCTTTATGTGCATATCTTCATGGACTTACAATTGATATAGAAACTGAAGATATAGAATAATGTTTTGCATAATAAAGATTTGGTTAATTGAATGTTCGTATTAAATGTGTATTACATTGTGGAAAAGATTTGCAAGATTTATTACTACAAACTTATTATAGGTAATGATTATGCATAATTATATTTTAGAAGATTTGCATTAAATTATGACCAAGCAGCTTAATGTGGAGGTTAAGAAGTCTTTTTAGAAGATTTTAAAACAACTAAGGGATATAAATATTTATACTCAAAACAACCAATATCAAAGAATGACTCTTTATTATCATAAATATATAATTTAAATTGAACACCAACAACAATGATTTGAGTAATATTAAATTTAAATTATTTAATCGATCATATATTTCTTAATCTAATATATTTAGATATTTTATTTAATAGTTCATGAGATTACTCAAAATATCATACTCTATTTTATTAATATTTGATTTATCACTTCAGAGACTAATATATATATATACATCTTAATCGAGTAATATATAAATTTAAAGTTTAATTCAACCAAACTCATTAAAATAAATAGATAACAATAGGATGTTGATATTATTCTGAAAGAAGTAATTGATATTTAGTTCTTAATTTGGTTTAAAATAATCCTTTTAGTTTATTTATTATACCAGAAGGTTAAAATAAATCTTAACTTTCATATCCATAATAAATTGCATCATTTTTAAATTAAAATTTAGAAATCTTTAATTGATTAAATATATATATTGTTTTTAAATGAACATAATGGAAAATATGCAAAAAATAGAATTAGAGTTTAACGAGTCTTTTCATTCAAAAATGATTATTTTTAATTATAAATATACAAAATGAAATATGATTATAAATTTTTAAAGAATGAAACCTAAGAATAATTACTTCCCTATATTTAATCTAATCCAAAAACAACACAACTTGATCACAAAGAAGTTAAAAAGAAAATAAAAATGTAAGTAAATTTGAAGAAAGTAAAGATTAGATTAGAAATTATTAGCCAGATAATATCCAACTCCAAGATCTCTGTCTCAAAGGGTATACTATTGGACAAAGGATGAAAGTACAATACCAGTGATTCAAAAAAATCATGATTCAAACTCGATTATTGAACATTCTTCAGAATATTTCATGAAGCAAGGAGATTGGAAAGAAGATATCCACAGTCCTATTAAAACAACAGTAGATTTAAGTTCCAGTAAATAAACTCCACCTAAATTCACAAACATTAAAATACCTAAATTATAAATTACAAAAAAAAAGAAAGAAAAAATAGAATATTTAGGCGAATTGTTTACTAATAGATCTAATTCATCTAGCCAAAAATTAGACTTAAAATCTGATTATTTTTATAATGTTATTAATCCTTTGAAAAAAGAAATTAAACCAGATCGAAAAGTTAAATAAGACTGTTTTAATCAAGCTTTTCATATATTAGAAGAAATTATTCCTGCATCTATTGTAGTTAAATAAAATCATGGTTTAATATAATAGTCTTTATCAGAAAGTGAAATTAAAGTAGAGAAGAAAAAAAATCAAACATCTTTTGCAAAAAGACAAAAAGCAAAAGCCTGTATTTCAGATCAACCTCAGCCTAAAAGTTTACCGGAACCATTAGCTCAGATACCAACTTAAACTTTAACTCAGTCTAAAACCTAAACATAACCTCAACCTTAACCCCGTACATAACCCTAAACTCAACCACAACCCTTGTCAGATCAACCACAACCTCAATCCTTACCTCAACCAAGACTTCAACCATTAACTCAACCCCAACCACAACCATAGCCACAGCCTTAAACTTAAGCTTAACCTCAAAATCAACCGCAAAATTATAAAAAAGGATAAAGACTAAAATCTTGCATAATGTCTTATGTTAGAAGATTAAAGAGATGCAAGTTAACTCATGCTTAAGTTATAAGAGATCACGTATTTAGCCCACATCCCTACTCAAAGGATCATTCTATAGAATTTTTCTAAGCTATCAAAGATAACCAAGAGCTTATTGTCATTAGGTTATTACAAAAAGTTCCATATTTGGTTTATGATTTTGATAATGCCCATATGACTGGTTTACATTGGGCTGCCAAAAGAGGATTTCCAAACTTAGTAAAAATATTGATTCAGAATAATGCTGATGTTGATGCTAAGGATATTGTATACAGAACTCCTTTATATATAGCAACAGATTATGCTCATGGGAAGGCATCTGCAAAGTATATAGAAATTATTTAAATATTGTTATATAATTAAGCCTATCCATGGTCTTATGATCATATACAATATTCATAGGTTATAAGAGATGATAAGAAAGTAAAAGAATTATTTGCTGTAAGCAGAAAAATACATCTCATAATTTTGATAACATCCCCTCAATTAAAAGATTAAATTTGGAATAAAGAAGTACCTGCAATGAATGCAATAAAAAATGTGGTAAATTATCCTATTTATCCAGAGCACATAAGAGGAAAAATAAAGTTCAAACCCTAGTGAAATCCTCAAAGGTAATCCTCACATGGATCCTAGATTAAGATAATTTTACACATAAAAATTAGTTCACCTAAAACGTAAGATTGGAAATTAAGCTTACTAAGAAATAGAGAAATAAATTTAAAATGAGCAAGGAATTTTCGAATATGTTAGAAAGTAACCTTTTCAAGCAAGCTGAAAAATTGATCAGCAGTTTTTATATTATAAATAATGATAAATTTAAAACTATAAAGAAAAATTGAAACAATTCAAATTATACTAAAATTAATTGAAGTTCACCTAATTTTATATAATGAAAAAAATAATTATTTTATTTAATTGACTCGTCATATAATGACTAATTAAATATTATTATCATAAATTAAATTAATTTTTAATGCCTAATGTGCTATCCAAAATTCCTATGCCTTAATCATTTCAAAATAAGGCACTTTCAGGAGCTTTATTGGTTTTAATATTAATGATTGTAAAATCGAAAAAAGAGGCTTCATCTCCTAGAAAGATACCTAGAAGATAAGGCTAAGGGAATGTTGATAAAGTATTTATAAACAGAATCTTGGATCTATTGAAAATTGTTATTCCTTCAATTAAAAGCATGGAAGTATTTGATTTGAGTGTTCTAACAGTGTTTTTATTCATTCGTACTATGATGAGTATTTATATCTCATCTTTGAATGGTAGAATAGTCAAAACAATTATTAATGGTGATTTGTAAAAGTTTATAAAAAAAGTATGAATCAATAGTTATATATAGATTGTATAATTAGGTTTAGTAGCTGTTCCTGCAAGTTTTGTTAATAGTTATTTAGAATATCTAAATAAATCACTTTCTTTAAGATTTAGAAGGAGATTAACTGAATACTTCCATGATTAATACATAAAGAATATGATCTTTTATCAAGTTTCCAATTTAGATAGTCGAGTTACTAATCCAGATTAGAGATTAACAACAGATATAGAAAAATGGGCTAATTCATTATCTCAAATTTACTCCAATTTTTCTAAACCTATTTTAGATATATTTTTATTCTCAAAAAAATTAGCAGTTTCAATTGGTTATTAAGGACCTATGTATGTGTTCCTATGGTATTTCTTTTCTGGAGTTTTATTAAAACTAGTATCTCCAGCATTTGGTAAATTAACTGCAATTGATTAAAAATTGGAAGGTGAATATAGAAGTGTTCATAGTCAATTGTTATATCATGCAGAAGAAGTTGCATTTTTATAAGGATAAAATTGGGAAAAACTTAAGATTAATTAATCATATTAATAACTTAATAAGCATTAAATAGTTGTAAATAAACTTAGATTATTTATGGGAATTTTTGATGGACTTCTTGTTAAATATGGGGCAGTTATGGCAGGATATGGAATTATGGGATTACCAGTATTTGGACCCAATAGAGAAGAATATTTAAAAAAAATTGGAAATGATAAAAGTGCTATTACTAGAGATTATGTAAGTAATAGTTCTCTTTTAATTAATTTGGCTAAAGCAATTGGTAGATTAGTTGTCAGCTATAAGGAAATATAATAATTAGCTGGTTACACAAGAGTTGTTTATGAAATAAAGGAAGTATTATCTGATTTGACATCTGGATATTATAAAAGAACTTAAGTACAATAAGAAAATGAAACTGGATAAGTAGTAATTGATTAAGGAAAGCATTAAACAATATAATTAGATAAAGGCTAAGTAAATTATTATTTAAATAATAGATTATTTAAACTGATGATATTATTGAATTTGAAAATGTACCTATTATATCTCCTAATGGAGATACTCTTATTAAAGGAATGAATTTTAAAATTATTCCAGGAATGAATGTTATTATAAGTGGACCAAATGGATGTGGTAAATCATCTCTTTTTAGAATTTTGGGAGCATTATGGCCAGTTTAAGGAGGTACATTATATAGACCTGCTATTGATAAATTATTTTATATTCCTTAAAGACCTTATTTACCTCCAGGAACTCTAAGAGATTAAATTATTTATCCTCATACTAAATTATAAATGTTAAGAAGAAAAATCAATGATTAAGATTTAATTAAATTATTAGAAGATGTTTAATTAGAATATCTTGTTTATAGAGAAAGAGGTTTAGATGCAGCAAATGATTGGAATGATGTATTAAGTGGAGGAGAAAAATAACGTATTGCTATGGCTAGATTATTCTATCACAAACCATAATATGCTATTTTAGGTATTATAACTTATATCTTTGAATAGATGAATGCACATCTTCTGTTAGTATGGACATTGAAGCAATTATGTACAATAAAGCCAAAGCTTTAAATATTACTTTATTTACAGTATCACATAGATAATCATTATTTAAATTTCATGAATATATTCTTAAATTTGATGGAGAAGGAAGATATTGGTTCAATAAATAAAATATTTGAGAATTAAATATAAATAATAAATAATAAATCTATTTTATCTATTTTAATAGTTATGCTCTAATTGATTTTAGTATTTTATCAAATATTTTAGGAATCTTTAAAATTTTAATATTCAAATATATTCTTATTTATATTAAAATTCTCTGCCCAAAATATAATATAGTGTTCACATAAAATAAGTTTTCCCAAATAAAAAATAATTTTCTTAAACTTTATATTCTAAAAATTTCTGATAGTTTGATATTTTTTATTCTTTTCACTCAAATGCTCCATTATTCTATAAGTATCTAGTTCAGTTAGTCAGAAATCAATCCAATTAAGCCACTTTGACATGAAAATGTTCATTGATAAATTTAATTATTATAATATGAGAAAATTTTAAAAGTTCTTGCTATTCGAATCTATCATAAATATAAACCCTCATAGTAATATATATATTTATCTATTTAGCATAATTATATAATCAGAAAAACTCAATTTGATGAGGACTTTCCATATAATGAGTTGAATCAAATAACATAAATCTATAATTGATTATCAGTTATTGAATTAAAATAGTTGTAGATCACTTCGAAATTATCTAATTCTTTTCTTAGTTAATCTTTTTTCTTATATTTTTTAAAGTTATTTCAAAATTTTAAATTGATTTTAATTATGGATTATAAGGAGGTAAGAAATATTATTTCGCTGTTTACTATTTCTTAATTTTTTTGATTTTTTATTTTTGATTTAGAGTGTTATCTTGTATTAGAAAAAAATATTTGATCATGTTATGATTCTTCAATACTCAAATAAGAGGTTGGCTAAACATATTGCTATTTGAATATCCAAATTCAATCTAATTTTCAATAAAATCTTTCATTCAAAAATATCATATGAATTACAATAAATATTTTTATAAAGATTTCTTTTATTCGTTTCTTGAAGCCTCTAAAACAATTTTATCTTATTAATATTCTTTGATTTATAACTTATTTATCCAAAATAATCAGAAAGATAAATATCTACTCATTAACCTTAAATTAATGCGATACCTACAAATTAATAGAAACCACCAATCAATATTAATGCAGGACTTCAATATGTTTTTAATTGATCTAATCATCAAACGATCTCTTACAGAACTAATGCAAAATATATTTTAAATCTTGCTTTTAACCTAAAAACAAAATAAGCATTCATTTTTTAAAATCTAACTACATTTTTAGAAAAATCATTTCAAAAATACATTTCAAATAAAACACAAGCTAATTATAAGCAAAATGTATACAAATAATATATGAAGGCATAAAGAGGATAATCAAGTGCTGAAGACAAAAGAATTAATGTAAAGTGGAAATGAATATAAAAAGTGTAAAAAACACTTATTTTGACTTAAAAGACTAAAAGATTTATATGAAAAAATCCATAAGAATTAAAGTCGTCCAAGGGATTATTTGTAAACTGGAATATTCATTTAGATCATATAATTAAATTGGATATTTATTCATTTTCTTTCGAATTATTCTAAAACTAATTTGAATTATTTATTTATGGTTTTCTAAATGCAGATTAGATTCATCGTTAATAAGTGCTTATTTTATTGAATTTATAAAACTAAATTTTTCTTGGTTTGCTCTTCATAAAGTTTTGCTTACATTCAAGTAAACCTATATATTATAAATTTTTTAGCAGAATTCTAAAATGACAGATAGCACTAAGTTAAAATAAAAAAAACATCCACAATATCTTATAAAATTTCATTATTAAAAGATACTAGAGGAACTAATAACTTAAATCTTAAATAAAATTTGCACTTTAATACATATATTAAAGTATTAGCAATGGTAATTTTCTTTTTTTCAATGAAAAAATATTTAGTTATTATTATAAACAATAGGGATGCTGGTAGTTGATGAATGAGATACGATAATATTAAACATAATTAAAGAGAAAAATGCTCTTTGTGTTGAAGGAGTCATGAGAATGAATGATTTTTCGCATTTTTAGAGCTCATTAATCAAGAAATTGTAAATTCGCTATGAAGAATCAGAATTTGAGTTAATACTAGAAGATTCTCCAATATCCAAAAGTAAAAGAATTAGAATGTTAATAGTTGCAGTATTGGTTAATTTTTGCCTTCTCATGTTAGAATTCCTTATAAAAGAAAACTGATAATAAATTTAATTTTATAAATGAATAAAATTTTCAATTCTAATTCCTTTCACATCTTAATTAGAAACATCATTAATATCAAATAGTTTATCCATATGAATAAAAATATACTTAGAAATCCAAACTAAATTATCTTAAATTACTAATAGTTCTCATAATTAAAAGATTCATGAAAAAAAATAATAAATTTTTAGATATTCAACTATGAGAAACCTAAATATAATAATTCTTAATAATAATAAATAAAAATGAAAAATTCCTTTTTGAATTATAATCTATTGATAACCCTAATATTAAAAGATAAATGTTTAATTAAGAATAAAAGATTAATTATTAGGAGTAAATTTAAAATAAATTAATTAGAAACTAATTAAATATATGATCTTATATAATAAATGAAAGCTAGAGTCCTATATCTACCAAAAAAATAAAGGAAATATACCAAAATAAAATAATTATTCTAAATCTGGTCTTATTAATGGGAGGAATTGAAAATGAATGCTTATCAAAATACTCAATAAAACAATAATAATAAACTAAATAAACACAAATAAATAACAAACAGTTTTAATAAATTGTGAATATAAATTCTAGCCCCAAGTATAATTTGATAAATAAGTTAAGAAAATCAAATAGTTAAGGAGGAGGATTAGCTGTAGGTTTTCATAAATAATTTATAATGAGAGATATATCTAATTGTTTATAACTAATAAATCTAGAATATTAACTTATTTAATATGCCTAGGCTTTAGATATTACTTAATCTCTATTCACCTTAATCATCAGGATACAGATAAAATTTAATAATGAAATAATAGTTTTATATTAAATTAAAATAAAGGAAACCTAATGTAATATTGAATATATTAGGAGATATAAATTATAAAAACAAATAGTATTTAAGAATTATAAGATATTATACCTTAAAATTAATATGCTTTACCAGAAAAAGAGGTAATAAAATCTAAAACAGATATTTTTATGATAGAAAAAATTATATAATTGACTAAGAATTTATTTAAAATGAGTTATCAGATCATCTTATGATTATTAATAAATTAACTATAACGTAGAAATAATATATTTAACAAAATTTGAGTTTCATATAAATAAAGTAGCAGTTTAACTTTTTAATAGGTAGTTTAGCGTAAGTTAATATTTTTAAGATTTTATTAGATTAAGAAAAAGAATTGGGCTCAAATAATTTAAATAGAATATGAATAATGGAATAAATTTAATCAAAAGTAAAGTTGAAGCAAAATTAAGAACTTCTAAATCTCGTATTTCTGATTATTTATTAAAATTACTAATCATTACTAAACCTAATACGAAAAAAGGGGCAATAATGAATTGTTTTATTGATGATAAGGATAATTTAATTACTGATGATTCTAATATAAAAACTAATATAATCAAAATATTAGGGTAAATTTAAGGAATTTAGGATTATAATCCTATACCATTACTTGAATTGGATTCAATTTCTTATTATACATACCCATCAAATAGAATGATTAAAATAAGTTTTTATTTTCCCTTCAAGCGTGCAATAATAATAATTAGATTGGAAAATAGATTTCGATAATGGATTAATGTTGATGGTTAAGTAAAGAACAACAAGAATAGTTGGCGACTTTATGATATTAAAATTGAGGATGAATTGAGCAACATGTATGATAAATGTACAAACCTGAACGAAGATTCTATTGATAGCATACCCAACCTTTTTCTCTCTGGCAGTGGCTTCACTGCATTCAGATAATAATTAATTGCAATAAGAAAATTTTTTCTTATAGCCAGATAACTTGATTAATCCCTATGGCTGTATGACATTGTTGACTAATTCGAGTTCCCCTTATTTGTTAGGGCGTTCTGCGAATACATCTTTCCCTTAGCTGTATTTTCCAATGATTTTACTCGAAATTGGAGTCAAAGGATTGTATGTTTGCCCCTTGTGTAAGGATTTTACTCTATGGGAAAATGGTCTGCGCCAAATTATAACAGTCAGGAGAGTGTTGATCTCGTCAGACTTTTTCGTTTGTCAGCAGTCAACAAAAAATGAACATTATAATAATAATAATAATAATAATAATAATAATAATAATAATAATAATAATAATAATAATAATAATAATAATAATAATAATTCTTAATGTAAGATAAGCCCTCAATTAAACTAACTATCTAATGTGTTTACAAGAAACAAGAAAAAAAATTAAATCATGTTCATCTTACAACTATTTTAATAAAATTAGGGAACCTAATCAACAGGAAGTAGGATATCTAATCATCAATAATTTAAAAATCATTTGCTACAACAATTTTTAATGAATTTAATTTGAAAAAAATAATTCACTTATAATAATTATATATTTTGCCACTTTCATAATGAATAATTAGTATTTTCTAATTTACAAGATCTGATACCCCATAATCAAATAACATATAAAAGAATACTAAATGGAAATATAAGAGGAAGTAAAACGGAGTAGATTTATTAAGAATCCTATCATTCATTAAACACATTGAAAATCCTAATTAACAAAAAACGTAAAAGTAATTTATAACGCTAATTTAACATTAGAAACATTATATAAATACATGAAGATACATGATTAATTCGAAAAAAAATTTTAGAAACTTTAATTTCTCAATAATGTATAAACTGTAAGAATTAAAAAAAAGCTTTAAAAATGGAGTACCTTAACGTACCATTTTTAATTAATATATAATCAGATTTACTTATCAAAACTCTAAAAATCTAAAATTTATTAAAATTTGTTGATTCCTATATTTTATATGCTGATGATTTAGCCTTTAAATGACCACAAAAACACATTTAATAATTAATAGATAATTTATTTAGAATAACGAAATAATTAAATTTAATTATTAACACATTAAAATGTGGAATAATGTAAATTGGGAATAAAGTTAAAATACTCATCAAACATTCAGCATTTATAAAATTATAAATATTTAGGTGTATTAATTTATGGTAAAAGATCAATGAATTATCATTTAGAATAAATTGCAAAAAAAATGAAATACTTAAAATTAGAATTCTTTAAAATATCTATTTTACCTATCATTAAATTATAAAATAAAGGAATTGAAAAATAAGTAAAATAATAATATAGTTAATCCTTAAAATAATGGTTAAGATTACCAAAGATAACGCCTGAATAATTAATTATTAGATTAACATCAAAATTTGAATAATTATGTTCCCTATCTCAATTAAGAATCTAATAATTATTGACCAGGCGCTTCAATCTAGAATATAATGAAGATTAAAATATACAATAAATCCAATATAAGCTTAAAATATAAAGTATATTAAATTTACCGTAGAACATCCGTTAAGCATTTTTATTAACTATACGATACTTGATTGACATAAAGTTTAATAATTGATAAATAGAGAAATAATTATTTTATTTAATTGACTCGTCATATAATGACTAATTAAATATTATTATCATAAATTAAATTAATTTTTAATGCCTAGTGTGCTATCCAAAATTCCTATGCCTTAATCATTTCAAAATAAGGCACTTTCAGGAGCTTTATTAGTTTTAATATTAATGATTGTAAAATCGAAAAAAGAGGCTTCATCTCCTAGAAAGATACCTAGAAGATAAGGCTAAGGGAATGTTGATAAAGTATTTATAAACAGAATCTTGGATCTATTGAAAATTGTTATTCCTTCAATTAAAAGCATGGAAGTATTTGATTTGAGTGTTCTAACAGTGTTTTTATTCATTCGTACTATGATGAGTATTTATATCTCATCTTTGAATGGTAGAATAGTCAAAACAATTATTAATGGTGATTTGTAAAAGTTTATAAAAAAAGTATGAATCAATAGTTATATATAGATTGTATAATTAGGTTTAGTAGCTGTTCCTGCAAGTTTTGTTAATAGTTATTTAGAATATCTAAATAAATCACTTTCTTTAAGATTTAGAAGGAGATTAACTGAATACTTCCATGATTAATACATAAAGAATATGATCTTTTATCAAGTTTCCAATTTAGATAGTCGAGTTACTAATCCAGATTAGAGATTAACAACAGATATAGAAAAATGGGCTAATTCATTATCTCAAATTTACTCCAATTTTTCTAAACCTATTTTAGATATATTTTTATTCTCAAAAAAATTAGCAGTTTCAATTGGTTATTAAGGACCTATGTATGTGTTCCTATGGTATTTCTTTTCTGGAGTTTTATTAAAACTAGTATCTCCAGCATTTGGTAAATTAACTGCAATTGATTAAAAATTGGAAGGTGAATATAGAAGTGTTCATAGTCAATTGTTATATCATGCAGAAGAAGTTGCATTTTTATAAGGATAAAATTGGGAAAAACTTAAGATTAATTAATCATATTAATAACTTAATAAGCATTAAATAGTTGTAAATAAACTTAGATTATTTATGGGAATTTTTGATGGACTTCTTGTTAAATATGGGGCAGTTATGGCAGGATATGGAATTATGGGATTACCAGTATTTGGACCCAATAGAGAAGAATATTTAAAAAAAATTGGAAATGATAAAAGTGCTATTACTAGAGATNCCGTAGAACATCCGTTAAGCATTTTTATTAACTATACGATACTTGATTGACATAAAGTTTAATAATTGATAAATAGAGAAATAATTATTTTATTTAATTGACTCGTCATATAATGACTAATTAAATATTATTATCATAAATTAAATTAATTTTTAATGCCTAGTGTGCTATCCAAAATTCCTATGCCTTAATCATTTCAAAATAAGGCACTTTCAGGAGCTTTATTAGTTTTAATATTAATGATTGTAAAATCGAAAAAAGAGGCTTCATCTCCTAGAAAGATACCTAGAAGATAAGGCTAAGGGAATGTTGATAAAGTATTTATAAACAGAATCTTGGATCTATTGAAAATTGTTATTCCTTCAATTAAAAGCATGGAAGTATTTGATTTGAGTGTTCTAACAGTGTTTTTATTCATTCGTACTATGATGAGTATTTATATCTCATCTTTGAATGGTAGAATAGTCAAAACAATTATTAATGGTGATTTGTAAAAGTTTATAAAAAAAGTATGAATCAATAGTTATATATAGATTGTATAATTAGGTTTAGTAGCTGTTCCTGCAAGTTTTGTTAATAGTTATTTAGAATATCTAAATAAATCACTTTCTTTAAGATTTAGAAGGAGATTAACTGAATACTTCCATGATTAATACATAAAGAATATGATCTTTTATCAAGTTTCCAATTTAGATAGTCGAGTTACTAATCCAGATTAGAGATTAACAACAGATATAGAAAAATGGGCTAATTCATTATCTCAAATTTACTCCAATTTTTCTAAACCTATTTTAGATATATTTTTATTCTCAAAAAAATTAGCAGTTTCAATTGGTTATTAAGGACCTATGTATGTGTTCCTATGGTATTTCTTTTCTGGAGTTTTATTAAAACTAGTATCTCCAGCATTTGGTAAATTAACTGCAATTGATTAAAAATTGGAAGGTGAATATAGAAGTGTTCATAGTCAATTGTTATATCATGCAGAAGAAGTTGCATTTTTATAAGGATAAAATTGGGAAAAACTTAAGATTAATTAATCATATTAATAACTTAATAAGCATTAAATAGTTGTAAATAAACTTAGATTATTTATGGGAATTTTTGATGGACTTCTTGTTAAATATGGGGCAGTTATGGCAGGATATGGAATTATGGGATTACCAGTATTTGGACCCAATAGAGAAGAATATTTAAAAAAAATTGGAAATGATAAAAGTGCTATTACTAGAGATTATGTAAGTAATAGTTCTCTATTAATTAATTTGGCTAAAGCAATTGGTAGATTAGTTGTCAGCTATAAGGAAATATAATAATTAGCTGGTTACACAAGAGTTGTTTATGAAATAAAGGAAGTATTATCTGATTTGACATCTGGATATTATAAAAGAACTTAAGTACAATAAGAAAATGAAACTGGATAAGTAGTAATTGATTAAGGAAAGCATTAAACAATATAATTAGATAAAGGCTAAGTAAATTATTATTTAAATAATAGATTATTTAAACTGATGATATTATTGAATTTGAAAATGTACCTATTATATCTCCTAATGGAGATACTCTTATTAAAGGAATGAATTTTAAAATTATTCCAGGAATGAATGTTATTATAAGTGGACCAAATGGATGTGGTAAATCATCTCTTTTTAGAATTTTGGGAGCATTATGGCCAGTTTAAGGAGGTACATTATATAGACCTGCTATTGATAAATTATTTTATATTCCTTAAAGACCTTATTTACCTCCAGGAACTCTAAGAGATTAAATTATTTATCCTCATACTAAATTATAAATGTTAAGAAGAAAAATCAATGATTAAGATTTAATTAAATTATTAGAAGATGTTTAATTAGAATATCTTGTTTATAGAGAAAGAGGTTTAGATGCAGCAAATGATTGGAATGATGTATTAAGTGGAGGAGAAAAATAACGTATTGCTATGGCTAGATTATTCTATCACAAACCATAATATGCTATTTTAGGTATTATAACTTATATCTTTGAATAGATGAATGCACATCTTCTGTTAGTATGGACATTGAAGCAATTATGTACAATAAAGCCAAAGCTTTAAATATTACTTTATTTACAGTATCACATAGATAATCATTATTTAAATTTCATGAATATATTCTTAAATTTGATGGAGAAGGAAGATATTGGTTCAATAAATAAAATATTTGAGAATTAAATATAAATAATAAATAATAAATCTATTTTATCTATTTTAATAGTTATGCTCTAATTGATTTTAGTATTTTATCAAATATTTTAGGAATCTTTAAAATTTTAATATTCAAATATATTCTTATTTATATTAAAATTCTCTGCCCAAAATATAATAT